AAAGAGAGAGAGATCGCAACCCCAGAAATGGCCTGAAGTGGTTCAATGAAACTTTAAACCGGCCTACATGCATTACGTGTACGACCCGGCAAAGAAGGATGGACCCCAGAGAACAAGCCTTCAGGCGGAGTTCTGGTGCCGAAGTGCCTCTCTAGTTTCGACAACAGATCAAGTGGTAACAAAGGTCAGACACCTGGAGTGAGCGAATCACCCACTCCGACATCATTACTCACCTTGTGACGGATCTTGGATCGATCAAGGCGAATACCGCACTATATCCGAATTCCTCAAGGACGACAAGGGCCATGTGTACTCTTTTTGGCCTTTGGTCAACCCCCGGCTTCACGTCTTACGTCCGTTGATTTCACCGAAACAACCTCGATGCATCGTGACTTCGGTACGCATGCGGGCCATCACTGGTGCCCTCGCAACATTATTACAAGCCACTACGCAGCACACCATCCCCCCCCCACCTCTTACTCCACCATTTCGCCTTCAAGCGGCCACACTGGCCCTTCCCCATGGTTTTCCACTACCCCCCGGCATGACCTTTGAGCCCTTCTTGGGAACTCTTCTCGAAAACACCAGCAGGAGAACGGTGGTAAGTCTCTTACAGTAGCTTCCCGTATAAATTCCCCGTGCCCTCACTTTCAATTCCTCAATACTGGACCTCCAAATATTATTCGCAAATCATTCCCATTTCCAATGCAACCAAATATGTCATCTCCCGTTCCACCTGTTCCACAAACCACGTCGGCCAAATGTGTCACTTGCGAATAGTCAGAATGATGACACTCCACATGGTATAAAGAAAGCTGCCGAACTTGCTCACGTATCCTATTACCGAATACCCAGTACCGACGAAGAGCGGGAAACAGAGGAAAAGAAACACCAAGCTCCCAGCGGAAGCGAGCCAACCCTCCACTTAACACATACTATCACACAAAACTTTTACAACCTCACATAAACCACGTTGACTTCAAAATTGCAAAACCTAAACCCTAAATATAAGCCACATGATTCATTCGATTCTATTCACCATTATCCTGTATTAGTAAACGAGTTAAACTAGTACTGGAAACGGAGACGACCCAGAGGGCATATGAATCATACTCTTTAAGAATCAGCAATGAAAATGCTGATTCTTAGGAATCTGCATCTTGGAATCTTGGAAATGATACACAACGACAAGTGCACATAACATATAAGAAAGCCTTAAACGCCATCGTTCATGCACTGAACGAGATGCCCGCACTATCGTTCATAGTCCTGGAGACCTGTCAGGAATCCACCATCCTAGAGGAGGAAGTCATGAGCCTTGCCCTCGACATTGTTCGAACTAATCGAGAATGCATTAAAGAAGACAAAAATTGGGTGGCAGCCATCAATGAAACTAAACTGGAAGAAATTGTCAAAGATGACACCCAAGACAAACCGGGACCAGCACCTTCTATTTGAAATCCTGCAGTGTTGGGCCGGGCCAGATGAAGAGAAAGAGAAACACGCCAAAACGCTAGTACAAAAACACATCTGCCTGGATGAACTTGACCCAGACTTTTTGACCTCAACTGTGTTACCATCTGGTCTTGCCGGAACCCAGCAAGTATACAATTCATTTCAGATCCAAGCACTTCGTGCCAAGGAAAAGTATGGCAGGCTTGCACGAACAGCCATAGCATCAACACCGGTCTGGACCAGTTCAGGAACAGCAATTTCAGCTATTGGGGATATGAAGACTGACCTGTTGAAGTATCCTCCCATCAAAATAGGGAAGAAAGTTGAATGGACCATTGAAATTTTGAAGGATGCTGACAATGTCTGGCTTGGGATGGCGGTTCCAGGACAGCTCGGAAGCAAATGTTGCTCTGATGATGCGCAATGTCCGGGAGTGTCGTATTGTGCAGAGGGGCTTGTGGAGTGTTGTGGTAAAAAAATTCGAGGTGATATTCCTACATTTGAAGCAGGCTCACAAGTCACGTTGACATTGAATGTTAAAAACCATATTGTGGAGGTGGATGGATCTGTCAATGGAGGACCCACAAAAGCTCTTGTTAATATAAACAACAAAGCTGAGAAAGGACACATCCATGCGGTGTCCTCCAGACACAATGGCTCTGTGCGCTTTTTGCGCATCAAGGAGATCTAGGTAATTTCGACGCGGTCGAATGGTCCTCTACATATGATTAGGTGGCACAATATCACCATTCATTGATGTTATTATGCTCTCGGAGCAAGCAAGCATTCGTATTTTTTTTCTATTCATTCTAGAATTGCAGGCCACAGCTGCTCTAGCTCGTGCGTCAAATGAAGCAACACTGTTTTAATAGCTGACAACAGGCAATACCGGCAGTGATTTCAATAACGTGGATAGTCCTGCTCACGCATTTTGCTGTTCGTTGATCCGCCGTTCGTTGATCACTTCGTCTATAAGGTCGTTCAAGTAGATGTTCCTGCATGCAAAGAATCAAGAGGTGATGGAGACAGCAGTTTTGAGATTTTCGTGAACGCACAGGACTTCTCCCTCTGAAACAATAAAGCAACAAAATCTACTCACTCATCCCGTGCTGGTTGCTGCTGCTGCGGTTGGCCATCATCATTCATCATGTCACCCATGCGGGCAGCCTCCTGCGGTGTCTTTAAGAGAGGAATCCCTTCCAGTCTCACCTGTTCGACGCAGGCATAAAACCCGGAATGAGAGAATTGGCGACTGTTCTTTCCGACTAACGTGACGGTGACCACATTGGCAATCAACGACGGGGGAAAGACCAAATGTTGCCACGGAATGTTGCGTTGCAGAGTTCGATTCTGTCGCGGCTGTTGGAGCAGCGTGTAGGGCAGCCGTGGTGATTCAAAGACGGGTGTCTCTCCTTCCAGGACCATTTTCAGAGCGGTTCCTTCTTGGCGTGTGGATTGATTGTTCTCGTCACTGACCAAACCAGGACGAGTTCTTTGGTGACGATACCCATTTGGTAGTGCATCCACGGTGCACGGAAAGCCCGCTCCTTCCGCCGTGGGTTCCGGATCTAATTTATGCAGAGGCAATCGATAGGCTTTGACCAGGGCATAGTGCCACGTATACGTTTGTCGTCGTGTAAATGGATCGAGCAATGGACGCCATTTCAAATGGGACAAGACGGCCAATGGGCAATCGGTGGTAAACAAAAGTGTGTCGGTACTGTCTTGAACCCGCGAGGGCTTGGATGACCACCACTTTTGATATCCACGTTGTCGTAATCCAAAAAGAGCCAAATTTTGTAGAAATTCACCGTGGTTGTTACCAAGGCCACTCAATACGTTTTCCAGTAATTCGCTGGGATTATCGGTGGAGCTTGCCAAACAGACGCGACGACGATGAATTTCAAATGCCGTTCCGTCTTGAATATTGTTGTTGTTGCTGGCGTAATTTCGCTGTCGAATAGCTTCGGCTCCCGATCGGTTCATCAGACGACTGCCATAGTAAAGGCCTGCTGGAAGATTGTTGTTATTGTCGTCGTCATTGTCGTCATTGTCGTCCATGGTATCGTGGGTGGGAGCAGCGCCACTCAACAAGATACACAACCGTTGCAATTGGTGATCATTGAGGTGAATGCGTTCCAACCAACTCCAATCATCGCCATTGCCATGTCGTCGACGAGTGTCTTGCAGCAATGCCTCGGCGTGGAACAACCAGTACGACTGGGGGATCACCAATCGATGGAACGACTTGGACACCCGACAACAAGATTGTAGAATTTCGAGGACCGGAACGTAACTCAGAATCTGCATCCAAAGCTCCTCTGAAAGGTTCTCATGCCGACAACAGCCGCCATTGTCGTACATGTGTTTGTCGTCCATGGTGTAGTTCCAAGGTGTGCTTCTTCTTTCTCCAACAAACTACAGGAAGTGATCTCTTTGGCAACAACATCGCTGGGGGGTTGGTACCAAACATGCAGCGAGACAAGGTTGTCGTTTCGTGCTCTCTGTTGTCTGAGATACGTTAATGCTTATATTTCTTGAACGGTATTCAAAGCACCCAAAGCGAATGAGACATTCAATCCATTCACAAAGACCCTGGCCAAAACTGGCCACCACCATTGGAAACCATGACAACCTCACCCCAGGTTACATGACATTGTATCCGCCCTTCCAGTACGGTAGATCTTCCAGTAGGTCCAGCCAGTTGTGGTACATGTACTCGCATCACCTGGTACCGGTACGGTAGCTGTGGATAGCTACTCGAAACACTCATGGTTTCTTGTGCACTAAATAAAACTGTGGATACAGCTTGCTGGTACGTATTTGCAATACTAGTATGAGTATTTATACTACTGTAGTACGATTATCATGGGGGCTTTGGACTATAAAATACAGCAACGTAAACGGCCCATTGCTAGTCCTGGCTACACTATTCAGAGTACCGGTACAAAAACTACAAAGGAGCTAAATTGTGGTCAACATGGAAACTGGTCACTAATTGTGATATAGACTCATGCTATGATCTTCTTATTGTCCTTTGTTCATTCACCAAAAGGTTCAGGGTACGACAGGCTCTGGGAGTGCTGGAAACTGTCGAGGAATTCATTTCTTGTAAATTGCAATTCATATCCCAATAAGCAACACCATCCAAACTAAAGCCCACACATCCCACAGTTTTTCTATCAAGGCAAATCGATTGATTATTGCCAAAATGGAACTTCTTTGTCGTGATTTCCAGCCGATCCATAAGAAGCCAAGGATGTACCTCCCAAAAACGTAATCTAGCGAATTGTTGACTGACTACTACTCGGCCAGCAGAGACTTTAAGGCCCCCGTGATAATTTCAATCCTCAATGGACGTTCATGCTTTTGCCGTGGCAATGTCCAGCTTCCAATGGTCAAGGGGTATTTTTCCACGGTAGCCAATTCCATTTTCCGTTCGGGACTTGTTTGCTCCTCATCATTGTATCCACCGTCCACCAACGCAATTATCCCCTGCAAGTTTTGCTCTTGAAATGTCAGCACAGATCGTTCTTCTTCACTTCCCGCCACAACTCCTAAAAGTGATTTGCCACGGCCATAAGCGACTTGAAACTTTTTCACCCGAAGTCCTCCATTATTATTTTCTCCACCGGGTGCTTCTTCTCCAGCTCCTTTTGCTGCAATACTGGTACCAGCCCTTTCTAACACCCACTTGGTAGTAACAGACATCTCCAAATGATGTGGACTAGTCTCCGTCACGCGAAGCTCCAATCCGATTCCTCCGTTTGTTGGGCTGCTCATCTTGAGACAGGGTACTAGTAGTTTGCAAAGTGCACCTGGTTGCCTGGTTGTCTCTTGTCTTGGACGAAAAGAAAAGGAGATCCGAATCTTTTTTGAATTTTGTGAGAATTCAAATCTGGCAAACAATCATCGCAGGCATTATGAAACGAAAAGTGTTAAATCTCTGAGTAAAATTTACCAAACGTACAACAACTCCCACCACGACTTGACAGGACTCGTCACTCCTCTTCATTGCTGCTGCTACTTGCACACGAACCCCTCTTCTTTACATCATTCCAACCCTTTTGAGCAACAAAGGCTCCACAATCGATAACAACAGCAATCGGTTCCAATAGATTAGTGGAAAAGAGAAGCCGATTAATTGACAGGAAGGTTGGTGGTTCAAACCCTCATCGAGCTGGAGAGTTGCCCTGTGCGAACGGCGGGTTTGAACCACCCGCCATTGGCCTCAGCCGACCAACTGCAGTTGCAACACTGTTCACTACCCAAATATTCTAATGGCTAGGATATCTGGAGGTCGGGGTTCGACTCCTCGTGTGGGTATGGTTGTTCATTCTCCTGGCTAGACAATAATGCCAGGCAATCTTTATTCCTTGAATCTGTCTGAGCATTTACATGCAACTTTCTAGAAGCGTCTGAAAAATCCATCTTTATCATACTTCTAGACTCTACTTTCCTTGACTTCGAGTGGACCGTCTAGCATCACTTCTCAGCGTCATTCGTCGTTTATTGCTGCCAGTTTGTTCTTCTGTTTGTTTGGTTCGTTTCTTCATTGGACGTTCAGTGGTCGGTGTCACAACTCGAGGTTCACGTTTTCGCATGCTTCTCGGGGGAGAAGCGCAGACGGTAATGACGGGGATTGGATCTCGTTTTGTCGCCTTTGGCCATCGCAATATCCAAGTAGCATCCTCCAGTTCTACGGGCCACATGTAAGAACCAATGTAGTCCTTTCCGTCTTCTTTCCATTCAAATTCCTGGTAATGCGCTTGATTTTTGGCCAAGAGAGCATGTCGATGATAGGAATGAAGTATCTCGTAGCCCAGCCATGGTGGCATGACCGTGGTCTTCATGTCGACATCCAATCCGTTGTCTTTCTGGAACGGCCTGATCTTGTCGTTATTCTTGCCTCGTCTCGCCCATTCCAACATTAACACATTCAAGTAGCAAACCAGGGCATCTTCGTATCCTTTCCACATGAGACAATAGCCAGCCTTGCTAACACACGCGTATTTGGGTTCGTCCGACATTCGAAGTGCCCTCAAAATGATCCATCCTTCTTTCTTGGAAGAACTCAGTCTCTGATCGTCCAAACAACGAGCAGTCTTTTCGAAATCACTATAAGGGAGGAAAGTTATCGTCATTGTCTATTCTGCAGCAGTTATCTAGATGATGACAGCAAAGCGTCTCCTGCCTTCCTGCCTTTGATGGAAAGAGAGACAAACCGAACGGTGGTTGTGAGCATGGGCAGCACAGAGCAGCAAGAAGATCCAAAAGATATCGGAGAATGTGTGCGTCATGTTCCTAAAAAGTCTGCACCAGGTTTTTCTCCGTACTTGAGTTGTCGATCATGTCCGGCACCGCCGCTAGCACAACATAACGGCGCTACTCGGGAGATGCAAGCCACATTGGTGGCAAGCAAGGTGTTGCTTCCCAAGCACCATGCTCTTGGTATCCTCGCAACCCCAGAGATGTTCAGCCAGCGCTGACACCGGTACGAATATCCAAAGCAAAGGGCCACACGGACCGAATGTTGCATTGCCGGCGAAGAGGCGAAGAGGCAGGACTGGCTGAGAAATAGAACCCTGGAACGCATGGTTGCGAAGGCGCCGCCAGAGGATGTAACGACTGACGGTGTTTGTTGCAGAAGGAAATCCAACAACCAGCTACGCGCCTGTAGTTGCTACGACGCCCCCACGCATCATGCAGCAACTTCGCTTTCAGACGGGCATCCGGTTCATTTCGCAAGAGTCCACGGTTCCTACTGTACAAGGCCGAGGCAGAGGCAAGGAATCGAGTGGCGACTGTACTGGAACAGGCAGAACCACGACAGCAGCCCAGCACGCGAGACCCGACGTCAACTTGACCACCTGAATATTGCGAAGTCGTTCCCGAACAGGTTGCGAATGAACTAGCTAGAGAAGAGTCCAACGCTGTGCTGCAGTGAATGTGGTGGCTCCGAATGTTCGTCGCTACACTGCCATTGATGACGGATTAGAAGAACCAATGCAACTAGCTGGCTCTCGCATCTGCAGCAAACACTCCAAGTTGGTTCCCTCGACTCGTCGAGACGAACTTCGCATTCAGACGGGCTGCCACTTTCGCGGTTGTCGGCGCTGCAAGCTCCACTACCAAAACAACCCCCATACTTCAGATTATTCAAACAAATTTTGCCACTATCCTCAGCTTCTTTCCAAACAGCAATCACTGACAATGAACGCGAAACTATTGCTTCCATTGCTCTTCCTTTGTGCGTGTACTTTCTCAGCTACAGCTGATGAGACAATGCAGCTGACATGTGACGTTACCTATTCCTTCTTTGGGGGCACAACTGTTCGATCCCCAACTACAGAGGAGCTGGATGGTTTAATGGTACAGAACGAGGCGTTCTTCACAGATCTACTAAATGATGACTATCCAGAGACATTTGTGAGCATTTCAGGGATGGCTACAACTGGTACTGTGGTCCACACAGAAGACAAGACCGTGGAGGTGTCCTTCGAAGCCCCCGTTCTGTTCACAACAGCTCCGACACCAGAAGAGGTGTTTGCCGTGATTGAAGGGGCCGACTACACTGTGTACATTATGAACTATGTTTGGTACAGCGAGCCCCTGGGAAGCTCTCTGTTTTTTGACACACAAAGTGTGTATGCGTCTTGTCTCCCAACCACATCTGACAGTGGGGACGATGACAATGGTGCCTCAGATGATGATAATCCATGCATCCCTTGCTTCTCCAGTGTTGCCACAGTTCAAGTGCTTGGAAAAGGAACAATACCAATGGCTGATCTTCAAGTTGGCGACCATGTATGGAGCAGCAAAGGCAGATATGAGGAGGTCTATGCATTCGGCCACTACAGCCGGGAAGAGCCTGGTAGCTTCCTGCAGATTCATACCCAGGATCCGCAGGGTGGCTCTAGCCATTTTGCCCCATTAGAAGTCACTGGGGAGCATTTGGTCTATGTCAAGGGTCATAAGAACCCTATCCGTGCTGATTCTCTTAGCCCTGGAGATGTCCTGGGTCAAACAGAAGAGAGAGCTCGAGTTGTCACCAGAATCAGCCAGGTGAAGAGGCATGGTCTGTTCAATCCTTTGACTCCATCTGGTACTCTTGTTGTTGATGGCATAGATGCCTCAAGCTACATTTCCTTCCAAGAATCAAAGGAGTATGTTGAGTTGCAGGGTGGGCTACCAACAATGCTCTCTCATCACGACTTTGTGCATGTGGCACTGTCTCCATTCCGTCTGCTCTGCACAACATCATCAGCGGCAGCCCACCTAACTTGCAATTCCTACAACGATCATGGACTGCCATTCTATGTTTCATTTGGGATTACCCTGATCAGGTGGGCAAATGAACAATGCCTTCTACTTCAGGTGCTTGTCTTGTCATTGTCTTTCCTTCTATGTGGTGCATTTGCCTTGGTGGAGCAGCTCTTTCAAGGACGAGCCATCATAGCTTGCGTTGGCTTGGCCTGTTCCTTGCACTTCTGCTGGTGGGTTGCCCCGAACACAAAGATTATGTAGGTACATTTCATGAGACGATGTTGCCTCCTCTTCTGCACCAGGCCCCTATATGCGCATGGAAATAATAGCTAGTCGCGCCCAACTTGGATGCTTGAAGTTGTGAGGGCGACCTCTTAGCTGGAAACGTCGTTTTGGTTATTATAGCAAGGCCAGCCTCTTTCGCTAGTGCGTAGTGCTATCGGTACGCGTAGCTGGCTGCATTGTCAGAACCCTTCGTCCAACAGAGAAGCCTGCGATTGCGATGACGGCAGAGCCAGAGCCAGAGGGAACCGCGGCCATGACAAGACATCCGTGTCCTCTCGCACCGCAAGCAAAGTGACCAAGTGGACAGTATAGCGAGGAATCCCTTGGCTCCTTTCAAGTCGAGCCGACTCCTCCATCGGGAGCCAGCCACGAAACCCATCAATGTTCTAGACTGACACTAGACACTAGACACTAGACACTAGACTACATCGGGTACTGTGCTCTGGGAACACTCTAAGAAGCCCTCCCATGTGCCAAACCAAGACAAGAACGAATTCTCTTCAAACGAGGAAGTCATCTGAAAAACAACACTTCGCAATTATTGTCCTGGTCGGGTTCAAGTTTGAACTCCTCGAAGGTCGGCGTTGCCCAAGATTACCGGTACAGTAGCATCATTCGTAGCACGCCTTCTTGGCTTGTCCTTGTCGCTACCGGTATAGTTTTAAGGTATCGTCACACGGAGTTTGAACGGCCCACTTGGCTGGTTAACTCCTCCACACCAGGACCGCGAACTTTCAAATCAGATCCCGCGCTCGTTTCCTTTCGCACAGGCTGACGAAGTTCCCTTCGCGCTATCACCCAACCTGTAGATGGTTCTGATTTTATGCAATGGGGCACAAGGGCATTGCCCAGCGAACATACTTGGGAAAAGAAACATTTATCAATTGCAGCAAAAAGTGAGTATTCTAAATATAATTTACTGGGATTGACAGAGTCAACCCTTCAGGCTGGAGTTCTGGTGCCGAGTGGCAGACGATAGCACGAGGCAACCAGAACTGTGGCGTGAGGGTGGGTGGACTCTGTCAAACACAGTATTTTAGCACTCTAACTTTTTGCTGCATTTGACAAAGCCACTGGCAAGCAATGAGGGAGGCTCACGTGAGCATTGGAACCAATGCAACTAGCCAGTGATAGCAACCTTTGTTACTGGTACTTCAAGCTTTTAGTTGCTACATCTTCCCTCGAGGACCGCCTTCGCTTTCAGACGGGCCTCGTTCGTGGCCAACGCCGCAACTCACTGTCGTCGCCTCTCATACTTCAAAGTCTCCTGCAAACATATAGCTTTACTCACGCTATTTCTCTCTCCCTGCTGCCTATTAATTCGACAACAATGAAGATCGCCCTGTCTCGTTTGTTCCCGCTGCTGTGGCTTGGTGCCTGTGCTCTCTCAACCGCCACAGCTGCTGAAACAGTGGTGGTAACTTGTGATCTGACTTTCCAGTTTGAGCCTACCATGTTTTGGCAAGATCCCAACCAAGAAGAACTGGATCTCTTGATGGCAGAAACCAAGGCATTCATGGAATCTGTCTTCCGTGAAGATTATCCTGGAACTTTTGTGAGCCTCTCAGGTGTAATTCTGTTGTCTTGGACTGCGAATGATCCAATCGAGACTCTTATTGTGAACTTTGAAGCCCCAACCATGTTCACAGTGGCTCCTTCAGATGCTGATGTATATGAATCTATGGCAAATGCTGAGTGGCACTACGACTATCTTGAGAACTATGTCAATAACATGGAGGGACAGACATGCTGGTATGCCATTTATGGCTTGGTTGTGTCTTGTTCCGTGGTGGGTAATGATGACAGTGCGGATGAAGGTGATCAAAGGAATCCAGACATCAACATCCCTTGCTTCTCCAGTGTTGCCACAGTTCAAGTGCTTGGAAAAGGAACAATACCAATGGCTGATCTTCAAGTCGGAGACCATGTTTGGAGCAGCAAGCACAAGTATGAGGAGGTCTATGCATTCGGCCACTACAGCCGGGAAGAGTCAGGCAGCTTTCTGCAGATTCAAACTAAGGATCCAAAGGGCAGCTCGAGCCATTTTGCCCCACTAGAAGTCACAGGGGAGCATTTAGTCTATGTCCTGGATCATAAGAACCCTATACGCGCTGATTCTCTTAGCCCAGGGGATGCCTTGGGTCAAACAGAAGAGACAGCTCGAGTCGTTTCCAAAATCAGCCAGGTCAAGAGGCGTGGTCTGTTCAATCCTTTGACTCCATCCGGCACACTTGTTGTGGATGGAATAGATGCATCAAGCTACATTTCATTCCAAGAATCAAAGGAGTATGTTGAGTTGCAGGGTGGGCTACCAACAATGCTCTCTCATCACGACTTTGTGCATGTAGCCCTGTCTCCATTCCGTCTGCTCTGCACATCATCATTAGTCGCAGCCCACCTTATTTGCAACTCCTACAATGATCATGGGCTCCCATTCTATGTTTCATTTGGGATTACTCTGATCAGGTGGGCAAATGAACAATGCCTTCTACTTCAGGTGCTTGTCTTGTCATTGGTTTTCGTGCTTTGTGGAGCCTTTGCCTTGGTGGAGCAGATATTTCAAGGACGAGCCATTGTGGCTAGTGCTGCCTTGGCCTGCTCCTTGCTTTTCTCCGGGTGGAAGGCTTTCGCCAAGACAAAGGTTGTTTAGGTACCCCACAGTACTGCGTTGAATGACACATGGACACCATTGATATATTCTTGCATCATCATCTGTCTTCAATCTCTAATACTTCACACGCCACGATACGCAGTCCCACGGGAAACATGTTTCACTACGGTACCACGTCGCTACAGCAAAAGTTAAGTTCGGTCTCCACCGGTACGTTGGCTTGGCGACTACTTGCCCCTTTTGTTGGCTTTCCTGTGCGCAATGCCTATGCACGCCTGTATGTAATCGTAGTAATCTCTTAGTAGTAGTTTATGCATTACCGGTACACCCACAATACAACACATCACATATAATAGCTCGAAGAGTCCAAGGGAAATCACCGCAAGACTCTCGACAAGCCAGGATCAGGCTCAGCACCATCATTTTGAGAAACATTCAACGAAGCAGCTATAGCAAGACGCCGCCAACACCGTGCCAACCCAGCCTATGCCTCGATGGTTGGTCCCTGCTGTCCATCGTTCTCGGACAGATTATCTTCGGATAGTTTCTCGCCCTTGGTCTCCTCCACGTTGAGCGTGTCTTCCACTTCCTCGACTTCCTTGACGGGTTGTTCTTGCTCAGCGGGTTGCTCGTCACCGGCTCCATCGGGGGTGAGGGCAAAGTGACCAGGTGGAAGAGCCAATGGAGCATATGCCTGGGGGAGGACAAATCCAAGAGTGAAGCAAAAGACCACAACGACAAAAGTCAAAATGCCCATGACTTGGTATGGCTTGTCGGCGTATCCACCATAGTTTCCAAAGATGGGAAGTCCCTCGTCGGTCTCGGACTGAGCCAAGTTGATAAAGAGAATGATCAGAATGTGTGGAATGAACTGTTTGATGAGGATGCACCAGATTCCGGGAATGTTTTGAGTGACGGGACGGATGCGTTCCTTGAGATCAAAGATATTCTCAAATGTAAGTGCCCAGAGTCCTTCGGAAAGAGACAGTTCTTCTCCCGATGACTTGATGAAGTTCTGGAGCAGGACAACGGAAATGCCAAGAAAGACGTTGTACCAGACGAGCAGAGCGATAATTCCCTTCCAGACAGCTCCCTCGTCGACGCCAAACCAGATTCCACAAGCAATGAAGAGACCGGCAAAGTTGGCCGTCATGTAGGCACCAACGGCAGGAGCTCCGCACTTGGCCACCGTCTTTTCGATTCCATAGACCCATCCGGCGGCAAAGCATTCAAAGAATCCCACAATGAGCATGACAAAGTTGATGTAAAAGTCAATAATGTCGAGAAAGTTGAGACCAGCGTCGGTGGCATACATGAGCGAGAGCAAGAATCCACAAAAGGAGATTCCAAAGTGGACCTTCCACTTGGCGGTTCCTTGAAAGAACTTGGTATCCAAAATGACAGTGGAAATGGCTTCGTTAAAGGCAAAGGCGGAATCAATACCGAGCAAAAAGAGGTCAAAGAAGAGGAGTCGGACCCAGTGCTCGCCGCCAGGAAGAGTGCCCAGCACGACCGGCCAAGTTCCAAAGACCAAAGAGAATCCAGCGTAGGGCAACTCGGTGACGGGAATGCCACTCGTGTGGGAGAGGTGTCCCAAAGCGGCAAAGACGGCAAATCCACTAATGAAAGAGAACATGGAGTTGGAGAGGGCAATGACAAAGGCGTTGATGGTGACGGGATCTCCACGTGGACAGTAGGAACCAAAGGCCGTCATGATACCAAAGGTGACTCCAATGGAGAAAAAGATTTGCGAGACGGCAGTAGACCAAACATCTCCTTGTTCCGTGAGCACCGACAAGTCCCAAACGCCAATGTATTCCTTGATTCCGTCCTGGTATCCTTCCAATGTCAATCCACGGATCAAAAAGACAAACAGGAGCACGATTGGCAATCCCATGGTGAAATAGGTGATGCGTCCGACCCACTGCACACCAAAGGCGGTTCCGAGGAAACACATGGTCCACACCAATGCCGCGCATCCCACATTGGCCCAAACCATGCGAGTGGGTCTGCCATCGTCTCCGAGTGTCTTGGCACCAATGATTTCTCCGACAAAATACTCCACAGCGACCGTTCCGTTGGTGTCGGGATGTCCCCAAGGATCGTCGCTTCCAAACGAGTCAAAAAAGGCGTGGACCACCCAAGCAATGAGCATACTGTAGTACACCACCAACATGAATCCAGCCGCCACCGATGCGACACCCACGCCGCGCATGCGAGGATGAAATCCACCAAAGACATTGACATCTCCCGTTTGGAAGAATTGACCAAATCCAATTTCCAAAATCAAAATGGGAATACCAATGAAAAAGAGGGCCAAGAGGTACTGTAGACAGAGAAAGAAAGATGGATACGTGAGCATTGGTGTAGTGTATAGTGTGAAAGCAAACTCGGAACGTGTCACGCACCGGGATGAAAAAGGCGCCTCCTCCGTAGGTCACAGAGAGTGCAGGGAAACGCCAAACATTTCCAAAGCCGACGGCAGCACCAATGGCTGCAAAGTAAAAGGCAAGGCGGGAGCTCCACTGCTCACGTTTGAGTTCCGTCATGGTCGGAAAACGATGGATGAAAAAAGATGGAGTTGTGTGCTGATTTTTTGGTTTCGTTTGCACCAAGCGAAGATTGTGAGAAAAAGTGTGTGAAAGGAAATCGAAGGCTTCAGACTTGAGAACTGTTGCAGACGGCGTGATCGCGTTCCGTCAGTGTGACAACCAATCAAGCCGCCCAACGCATGACTCCCGTAAAAGATTAGGACCTCTTTCTCTTTTTGATTTTCTGTGCAATAAATGGTCCCACATAGTAAAGTGGTAAAAATGCTGACACACTCTTGGTTTCTAAGCATTGGTACCACTCCTATGCAGGAATTTGTTTAACCGCAGTTGACATTGGTACATGCTTCAGTATTCGCGGTACATCAGGCCCCACACTGCGGATAATGCTTTCTCTACACTAGATACGACGAAGAATGACGGAGCACCCGAGCCTCCTACCGTACCGTACACGAGGTAAACTCTGTAACACTGCACAGCAACAGCAACAACATCAGTTCTATCTTACCAGGCACACTTGCATTGCTGCACCGCTAACTGGTACCGGTTGCTAGTGGAGCAGCGGAGCATGCTGGTAGGTACCACTGTAATAAATCCTCGCCCTAAAAGCAGGATTTAGTCCTCCATGAGACCAGTGTGCATGCTGTGCTTCCACACTTCGCAATTAATTGACCCAACCCCAAGATTGGTTGAAGGGGGGTTGAGCCTACACAAGGAACATTGCTCGGTGTCATTGGCGTGCCGTGTGCCGTACCATGGTCTACTGGTTTTTAATGGTTTGCTTCATTTGTTGACGCGGTCTTGTCAAGCTCGCTGGTATGAAGAAGGGACAACTGTACAGCCCTCCAGTGAGGTATGCGTGGTTCAAAGTTCTTGGGGATGATGTCAAACCACTGGGATGACACCCGCCACAGCTGCAAATCAAGGGCAGCCAGCCATATCATAGTTGATGCTGTACAGCAGAATCAAGTCGATTGGGAAGAAGCATCTGTGTGCCCAAGAATGGTCTTGTCCTCGCTCACGAAATTTGAGAAAGAGGTGCGAATTGGCACCCATGTACCGGTACGTACCGGTACGTACCGGTACAGTAGCACATGCACCGTAGTGGGGGTACGGTAGGTGAGACGCGGCGTGATCTACCATAGTAATGCAGAGTGCCTAGCTAGATAGCAATCATACTTGTTTTATTGGGAGGACAGACGGTCCTAGCTACCGGTAGTGCTGGTTGGTGACGTACCGCTCACACGATCATCCGCGAGACCCAAACTTAATTAGGGTGACCTCCACACTGCTCGCTTTACTCTTGTGCTGCCATGGTTGACGTCAAGAGATATCCATTACTGATATTGGGTGCCAGAATGTACGCGACATCTCGTCCCACAATGCCATGAAACGGATTGAGTCGAATCGTCATGTCATCGGGCACGACCAATTGTCGATAATTGGGAAATGCGTTGTTGATCGTCGTGACAACGGATGGAATCCATTGGTCGACGGCAAATTGTTGAATGAGTTTGGTTTGATCACTAAAACAAAAGGGTGTCCCCATGCGCAGTATCTTGTGCATGGCCGGTGCCCATGTCTTGTAGCTGGCCAATCCGGCATTGAGCCCCACGACGGCATGGGGTTGAATGGTGTTGGGGACATCTTCGTACAAGGCATATGTGGGGTCGACCCGGACCCGTAATCGGCCGCCATGTTGTGCCGTCACATCCAAGACGTAGTTGGATGTAGTGAGTAGATTGTCAGAGCCGGCGGCTTGTTCGCAAATGGCCTTGGCCGCCGGTGACAGGTAGATGAGTTCCAGGTCGATTCCGGGCATGAGGTGGAGGAGTTCTTGCAAGAGAGGGATTTGGTTGAGTTCTGCTTCGACGGCTAGAACGTAAATTTGAAGTGGTTCTGCTTGTTGTCCTTCTTTGGGATGTGGATCATACAGATGCAGTTCGTTTTGAAGCATGTGGTACAATGTCAGCACATTGGTCATTAAGAGCGGTGCCACACTCGAGGGAGGCAAATTTCGCCACGTAATGTAGTCTTTCCAGCCCTGAATTCTCGTCGAAAGTACTAGTGGATTGGGTGGTGACTGCGTCACATCAATCTGTTCAGGTTCGTTTAGTGCCGTCGTCCATCCCTCTTGCATGCTGGGCCAAGCCGTTTGCAGTAGCATGTGTCCATTTTGAAAGCCATGCTGGTCTTGTCCAACCGTATGATAGGGCGTCAGAACATCGGGAATGGCCCAAAATCCTTTTTCGGCACCCCCCAACAATTGTTTCCGGGCCAAGAACTCGTGCAAATGAAAACTTCCATTGCTGCAATGCTGATTGGCCCAATCAGAAAAGACGTCGCTTCGTAATTTCACTCCGGCGATGGGATGATTCTGAAATTCGGCAATGGCCGCTTTGAGTTGAGGGCAAATGTCCTTGTGCTTGCGTGGTTTGGTCGGTCCGTCTCCTTTGCCCTTCCAATCTTTCAATTGACAGTCACGGCTGCAGTACTTGACGGCATGGCATTGGGAACAAGTGCTAAACGGTTGTTGGGGCGCGCTGGATTGCTTGCGATTGCAGCCCAAACAGACCGCATTGCTGTACGGTGGTCCTCCTTCGTCAAGAGGATCGCGAATGCGAGGCAGAGGAACGTCCGGTTTGGACCGGACATTCTCCTCTACAATGGCAAACATGCTCATCTTGTTGCATGGATTGGAGTGTCTATTATTGATCTTCTTGTTCCTGGCTTGACTAATACTAGCTAGACTAGCTATAGCCAGGCTTCAACAAAAGATGAATGAGGTCAAATCTTTGAGGTTCCACGTGGAATGATAGTATCTTTGCGACGCTGCGACGTCATGCACAAAAGATCCTTCGTGTCGAGTGACAGTCCAGGCAACACACGCCCATGCATGCAGGGCCAAGTCCAGGCAAGCACAAACCGAACGAATCAGGGAAACAAACAACAAATAAATCCACTCGACAGCAGCAAACCGGTCTTTCTGCAAACCGGCGGTATATAGGACCCAACCTTCGCCTGAGCTCCTGGTTTTTATCACCTGTTACAAGCTAGCCAGCCAGCCTCAAACTCCACAGCAGTTTGTCCATATCCCACCTTCGATTACAAGTGAGCCTTCGCAAAGGGGAAAAGATCGAGAGGCACGGTACGCTACATCTGCAGCCATCATAGATACCGGTAGTAGTATCGGTCAAAAGTCAGCCAAGGTGACTAAGTCACTCTCGAGCAGAGTTGAATCGACACTTCTTTCCTTTTGAATTTATAAACTGTGAGTACCGTACGGTACATCAATGTCGATGTCAAGACTGAGCCAAGACGACATCACTGATCTCAACGATGATCAACAGGTAACAGCTGCACTCGAGCCGTTTCCCCAAGTAACCCAATCCTCACGAGCTGCCTCAACTTCCACATTTGATTACCAGCTGAGCATTCGCGAAGGGAACAACACCGAGAGGTCAATCTGCAGCCAAATATACATGTAGATTGGCAGTATCCAAAGTAAGCCAATTGAGGTCACTCCGACTCTCTGATTTCCGCTTTAATTCTTGTAAAAAGCAGGTCAATGTCGACGTCAATATCAAGACCGAGCCAAGACGATATCACTCATCTCAAAGATGACCAGCAATCAACGGTAGCGATAGCGGCAGGTTCTCAACTGCCACCGGAAACGGCAGTCCGTCGAGAAGGACAAGTCGTGGCGGAAACTACCCAGGAAAACAACAAAGACCATGCCGAAGAACCCACCATAGGCAAGAAGGATCACGAACAGCAGGAAGCCATCCAAACCAACAACAACAAACCTCAACAAGCAGTTGAAGAAGTTTGCTACGATGAAGAAGATATTGAATGGCACGCTCCGTTTGGGGAAAGCACCTTTACGTTCCTCTTCATGTGCAAACCCTGCTCCCATGCCTTTGTCTATGCACTCTTTGTGTATCTCCTTCAATTATCCTTTGTGATTCTGGCTCTGGTGGATGCCATTGATGCTGGAAGTCCCAATCCCCTGCAACTGCCCCCCATGGTAGGATTACCCACCACACTGGCACAGGTGGTCATTCTGTTTGTGGTGGTGGCATTTCAATCGGATTTAATGGAAGCCGTATCAAAACTTCATGATGGCTACTACCCACCCATCATTAGTGTTTTCCCTGGCGCAACCTATGCCACTTGGCTCATGTCATGCATTGCACAGCTCATCATTGGATTGCTAATCTTGGTGGTGACATTTATTTTGACAATGCAAGTTGACAATGTGGTGAACAGCATGCTCAATTTTGCAGCTCTGCATTTCATTGCTGACATTGATGACATTGGATTTGAATTGGCCAAGCTGGGATTTGTCTCTCACAAGGTCCAAAGGAGTGTTTGGCGCGTGGCAGACTTTAAGGTGCCCAAACAAGACAAAGGAAACGCACTGAGACGTGGCCTCTATTTGGGCACCCTGGTTGGCATCTTTGTTGGGTTTGCTATTCTCAAGGGTCGTCAATTTCATGGATACTATCTGCCAACCTATCTTTTTGTGCAGTTTGATGATGCTTATATTGCCAAGCTATCGCACTACAGTGGCGCATTCGAAGCAGAAGTTGCCAGGACTGCGGGACACAGAAGTTACCATGACATTGCAACACAATCAATCAGTTTGGCCTACTGTGACAAGGAAAATGCATGGACCTTCTCTGAAACCAGCGATCCCTGTGATTTCTTTGCCAGGTCGGTCAAAGTCAACACCTATGATGTCACGTCCATTCCTTGGAGCGACTGGCTTGAGAAAGATTCATTCTCGAGATTGCAGCCATTTGAATCCTTTAGGCTACTCAACAATGACTGCGATGAAAAGACCTGTCGGGGGAAATGTGAGAATGGGCGATGCACGTGCCCACCAGACAGTTTCGGTTTTGATTGTGAATTCACAACAGTTTGTCCTGCGTTGATTGTAAATGGAAAACATGGCCCTTTCCCAGAAGCTTCCCTGGATGGTACGGGGATTACCAGAACCTATACCATTGGTGATCGATATCATCTGCTAAGGGATGAGAGAGGAGAACTGGTCAGAGTATATAGCATGCCAGTTTACTACTCAATCCGGAACTTGTGTCAATGGTGGAGTGTGCACTGACAACACCAGAGAATGTGTCTGCGTGAGCCCGTACTATGGTGCTGCATGTAGTCTTGTCAATTCAAGCCTCGAAGGGGGGAAATGTTTTGTGAATGAAGATTGCCAAGAAGGGACCTGTAACACAACAATCGGTAAATGTATCTGTTCCGAGCTGGGTAGGCATGGTGTTTTGTGTGAGCATAAGCACGATTGCACACAGAATGGATGTTTTCATGGAGGGCTATGCAGCAACGAGACAGGGCTTTGTGAGTGTAAAGCGCCCAGTCAGGGATTCAATTGTGAAGAAGTTCCATCTTGTCAAGAGGATGCTGATTGCTTGGAACCAGGAACGTGTGCTCCAAGCTTTGGGTTTTGCATCTGTCATGATTTCCTCAACTATGGTACTTTGTGCCAAAACAACCGTGACTGCAGGATTGTTGGCTGCCACAACAATGGCACATGTCGAGATGATGGCTTGTGTTCATGCGACTTTCCGTTTGATGGTTTCTTGTGTGAAGATGTTCAAGTCAAAGTATTGTAATCTTATCCAATACTCGGAAACTGTTGTTTCTTCGGCCTGCCAGTGCTTCGCAACAGTCTCAAGCGATTCTACTCTACAACCAAATGACTGATTTGAAGAACAGTTGAAAACCAAATGTTTTGATGACTATTCTAGACTGCATGGCTAGCTGTTACGACACAGCGGAGCAAGCAAAACACAGTTATCAGAATGTGCACTATATAGCTAGACTATAATACTTTAACCTGGACATACTCACACAAGAACCCATGGAATGGAGAGTCACATAAACATTTGCCATCGTCTTGGCAAGTGCCGTTGTTGTGGCAGCCAACAATCGTGCAATCATGTGTATTTTGACACAAATCGCCAGCGTGAAGGGTATCATTGCAAAAGCAAATCCCAAAGAAACAGGTCCCTGGTTCCAAACAATCTGCATCCTCTTGACAAGATGGAACCTCGTCACAATTGAATCCCGTAGTCGGCACCTTACATTCACAATGTCCTGATTCCTGGTTGCATAACCCTCCGTTTAGACAACTGTCCTTTGTGCAATTGTGTTGATGCTCACAAAAAACACCGTGCCTTCCTGGTTCGGAACAGATGCATGTTCCAGCTGTTGTGTTGCAGGACCCATTGTGACAATCGTCATCCTCGAAACATTTGCCCACGTCAAGGGTTGAATCAACAAGTTGGCATGCAGCACCATAGTACGGTGTGTTGCAACTGCATGATCTGTTGTGTTGATTGCACACTCCACCATTGACACAACCAAAGATAGTACAGTCTTGGTAATATTCACACGCAACCCCCACAGTAGCAGGGTCCGAACAATCACAGTAGAGCCATGAACTAGAAACATCACAGAATCCTCCATTGAAACATTTTCCCTTCTCATCAACGCAGTAGTGTACATCTTCACACAGCTTGCCTTTCCAAGGATCTTCACATCGACACACACCAGAGATGTTGTCACAAACTCCTCTAGCTGAACATGGTGTCTTCTGATCATAGCACCGTTGAACAATTTCGCAAGTCCCACCACTGTAACCAGGATTGCAATCACATAGGCCGGTCTCTTCAATACACTCTCCTCCAAGGGGATCGCAGAAACCGCCATGAATGGGAAGGCATGAGAGGCATGACAAAACTGTATCAATGGGATCGCCGACATCAAAAGAAGTACTGTTCTTGTCTGCAACCACAACTTCGGACCATCTCAATCCAACAGGGCTAGGAAGAAACTGTGAAGTTTGGAAGTCCACGGGATCGCTCATGAACTTTGGAATATTATATGTGGCGTGGTGGCCATGGAATGACCAATTCTGCAGAAAGCTAGCAGTTCTGTTTGGCACATATCCTCCTTCTAGCAACAACTCAATGGAGGACAGCCCAAGGAAGAATTCATTGGTTACTGCCCATCTGAATTCAGCAACAATGAAACAAAGAGGATTAGAAATTCGCCAGGCTCGGCTAGAATGAGCAGATCTGATGTCTCACCTGCGACCTGAGAAGAAAATGATAGATGCTGGGAAATTCCTTTTTGAGTAGTAAACTGGCATGCTGTATACTTTGACGAGCTCTCCAGTTTCGTCCCTTAGCAAATGAAATCGATCCCCAACTGTGTAGGTATTGACCAGGACATCATTACCCGATGCCTCGGGAAACGGATCAAACTTTCCATTCAAAATCATTTCAGGACAGACTTTAGTGAACTCACAATCAAAGCCAAAGGTGGCAGGAGGGCAAATACAAAGCCCTTTTTCACATTTCCCCTGGCAAGCCCGTGAATCGCAGTCTTTGCTGAACATCTTAAATGATTCAAATGGCTGCAGCCTGGTTAATCTATCCCTGACCAGCCAGTCATTCCAAGGGACGGTAGTCACATCATAAGTGTCGGTGTTCAAAGTCCTGGCAAAGAAGTCACATGGATCGTTGGTTCCTGAGAACGTCCATGCTTTTTCACGGTCACAGTATGCCAATAGGATTGTCTTGGTGTCTATATCGCGATAGCTTCTGTGTCCTGCAGTTCGAACATATTCAGACTCAAACAACCCACTGTAAAACGCCAATTCTGTATTAAAGGCATCCCCAAACTGCACAAACAGATAGGTCGGAAGGTAATACCCATGCAACTGCCGGCCTTTGAGAATGCCATAGCCAATAAACAGGCTGACCAGAGTAGCCATGTAGAGGCCACGCTTCAGTGTGTTTCCTTTGTCTCGTTTCGGCACGTGAAAGTCTGCCACTTGCCAGGCACGAACTTGGATGGGGTGGGTTACAAACCCCAGCTTGGCCAGTTGGAATCCAGTGTCATCAATTTCGGCAATAAAATGTAGAGCCGCAAAATTCAACATGCCAGCAACAACGTTGTCGACTTGCATGGTAAGAATAAAATTTGTGGCCAAGAGGAAAATTCCTGCTATTAGCTGAGCGATACAGGATACGAGCCACGTTGGATAGGTTGCTCCTGGAAATACCTCCATGATGGGAGGGTAGTAGCCATCGTGGAGTTTTGATACGGCTTCCATTAGATCGGACTGAAAGGCAACCACAATAAAGATAATAACTGCTTGTGCCAAAGTGGTTGGTAGCCCCACCATTGGTGGCAGTTGAATGGGATTGCTGCCTCCCAGATCAATAATGTCCACCAGCATCAGCACCGTAGTAGATAGCTGTATGGAGTAGACAAAAATAGCATACCAAAATGCCCGGCTGTTTGGCTCGCACATGAAAAGGAAGGTGAATGTGCTTTCTCCAAAAGGAGTGTGCCACTCGATTGCTTCTTCACTGGGTATGGCATCCGCTTCGATGACGCCATCTTTGTGACAGTCCTTGGATTCCGATGCCGGCGATAATTTGTGGATCTCTCTGATTTCGGGAACAGCGTCCTTTGTCACTGATGCTGCCTGAATTTCTTCTTCATGTTGCTTTTCGTTGGACGACTTTGGCTGTTCTGGACTCGTGGCATTGCTATCGTCTCCCTCCATCTTTGTTCGTCTTCGAATTCAGAACGTTCAATGGCATGCATGCATGGCGATTTGAAATGTCCAGCTGTTGTGCTGTTGTTGCCACTGCGACCTTGCGCTAGTGCGGGTTCAGAAATTTGGGCCGTGACGCCGGTGTTCTTTTTCAATTCTCACGGTAAGGATGGGGTTCTGTGGATCCGAATCTGGCACGCTCGCCTCCAGAAGATCTTGGCGCCACGATGGCCAATGAACCTCCAACAACGGTCACAATGGCCTACAACAGTAGCTATCGAAATCCATCATTGCTAGTAGAAACACCCCCCTGAACGAGCCAGGAGCATCTCGTCGTGATATCTATCTTGGACAGCAAAGCATTCTCTGTGGAGGGACGAGGATCTACCCGTTTTTAGCATTTTCGAGTTCCCAGCATCACTCAAGGCGCTGCCGTCAAGGCTCTCTGACCCTATCTATATAGGTGACACTTTGTCATCCTGATTTCCAAGTTCGGCTGATTATCTCGCCTTGACTTATCATATACCCATCCATCCAACCAACCAACTTTCGGTTCTGGTCTGATCATTGGAATTATCCATCTGCTCGAGACTCGCCCACATACACTACTCCAGACAATGCCGACACGACAATCCTCCTCTTCATCACCAATACGGTCACTCCTCCAATGGCTGTTTCTACTGTCGTGGTCACTACTACTGTTATCGCAGTCCCACACAATGGTCCAAGCGAGCAGTTTTATAATGACAGTCCCAGCCAAAGAGGAGGAATGTGTGGTCATGTTTGCTCCCGCACGTTCCAGCATTAATGGCAATTACAACATTCTGGAAGATCATTTAAAAGCCGAACAGGTCACCATTATTGTATTGGACGACAATGGCAAGGCATTTTATCGATCCAAATACAATCGAGATCACGGGAGTTTCAGTATCAAACACTATACCACCGAACGCTTTCAACTCTGCGTCCAGAACCATTTGTTCAATCGACGACGATTCGACAATTTACCCCGCAGCGTGGGCATTAGCATTCGTGTCGATCCACCCACCAAGGAGGATCTCGATGAAAAAACAAAATCATTAATGGAATACTCCGAAAAGGTATTTTCCGCCGTCAATGATCTCAAGGGACATTTCAGTTTTCGAAAGGTACGAGAAACACATCATCGACAAATTGTCGAACGCATCTTTACCGAATTACTCTATTGGACGGTGGGCGAAGCCATTTTTGTCGTGCTGTTGGCCGTTGGTGGGGTACTCTATCTACAACACGCCATTAGCAAAACTATACTATAGCTATCTATAGCTAGGTCTGGTTATTGCTTACGACAGCTAGCTAGCCAACTCAATAATGTAAACAGCCCAGCTATCCTAGCTAGAGCATGCAAATAGGGTGCAAGCAACAGACATTAGAGCTCGAGAGAGACACCAGCTTCTGGTGGACTGACTGGGATGTAGCCTAGCTGGAAAATTCAAATACTATTGTAGCGACTTTCCCAGCTTTCAACCATGGTTCAAACCTCGAGTCTCAACTAACCCGCTGGGAGTACGTACATGTAATGGGTCGACCCATTGAGTCCAACCTTCTACTCCGATGCAGAGATGGTGACCAAAACCAGACGTAGACTGTTTTCTACTTGGGACGACAGCGTATCATGCCACAGCAGAGCGACCAAAGCTTTTTGCTACCTACCTCTAGAGCTAGCTAATTGAAGGTTTCCGGTCGTTTCTTTTCCCATTCTTGAATGGCAGGAACCTCTCCCAATGCTCTCACACATTCTGCCAATCTGGGACAATCGTCCACATAGGCTTGCTGCACGCGGTCAGTCTCTCCATCAAAGAAACTGGCAACTGACCCAGTCACCACCGAAGGTTTGGGTGTGGCAAGCAGATGATAAATGGCAACATCTGCCAGAGTGGGACTTGGTCCTCCCAAACACCATGGACTTCTACTATCGCTTGAATTGTCCGTTGCCACCACTGCCTTTTCGAGTCTTTGGCAGTGCTCCCACAGAGATTTTGGCTGATCACGGTCGTCATCATTTCCCCCAGTGGCAGAGAACCAAGCTGCCTTGCCATTTTTGTCTCTCCTAGCTCGAAACCAAGCCGCCCTCACATCGCGGCAGTTCTCGTAAATGGCATCCATCTTGGCTTGCTCCAGAACATCTCGTCCCGCCAGTCCGTGTTGAGTCGCCACAAACTTGGCAATAGAATGCGATTGACCCAAAGTCTCCATCACTACAGTCTTGTTACTATTGTTGTTATTGTCACGACCCACAATTTGCAACAAGGGAAGTGATCCCATGTTGATGTCAAAAGCACCCGTCGAGGCATCTCGCCGAAACTCTTTGCCAGGAGAAAAACCGTGGGATGCCAGTGAAATGGGGTATCGGACGTCCTCCCAAGGAACACCACTCAAGGACAGTGTCAATCGGCAAACCTCGCCGGCTCCTCGAATGTTAAAGTACACAAATCTGTAGTACGATGAAGACAAGAGGGTATTGGCAGCTGCTGAAGAAGCCATTGTGTTGCATTCTAGAATCTGACGTTTTGTGAGTGAGAAAAATGAGGCTTGAAAAAATCCGGGAAACAAAATTGTGAGAATGGTGAAAATTTGAATTGTGAGGAATCGAAACTTAAAAATTTGATTTTGCGAGAAATATTAGAAATCACGAAAATTGGAATTGTGAGAAATCGAGAAATCAATTGTGAGAAATCGGGAAATTGGGAATTGTGAGAAGTCCAGGGAAGTACAGTCTGCCCTCTCTACATGTAATATATATAAGGGGGGAAGGTGGATCTCAGTAAATATAACAGTGACACTAAATATAGTACGTTCTGGAGGCTAGCCACTAGTGAAAAACGAATGGATAGAGCCGAACGGCGCCGTTTGAATCGGCGCCGTTCATGTTGGTCTAGGTCGGATTGGATCCTTTGGTATGGTTTGTGTGAAATTGTTTGGCAGCTCACCTGAATTGTTTTTGTCTCGTCAAAACCATCCTTCGAAAAATGCACGTAAACAACCAGGGCTTGGGCTGGCACCGACGAGACAGCCTCGGAGAGGTGCGTGCAGAGATACCGCAGAGGTACCCAGGAATGACACCTCCATTGGATCGATATCGGCATTTGACATGCTGTCTCGGTCAAATTGAAACGGTTGGAATGGATTGTACGACGTTGTTGGGCTGCTCGAAAGAATTGTTCCTTCATTCACGGATATCCGGGACTGGGGGGGACCTCGAGATTTAATAATTATAACAGCGAGCAATAAATACAAGATTATAATTATTACAGCGGGCAGACTGTATGGTATGGGGGGCGCAAGGCTACCACATACATACATGTACAGCAACAACCTTAGTTATAAAGGACCAACAAGAGGATCAAAGTGCTTGAATTTGCGGGATCCACAGAGACATCAATGAGTGGCTTTTAAAACAAGGTGCAATGCAGAGCTGTGTCTTGATATAACACCAGTTGGGAATAGGAATATTACTAGCTAGTTGCTTTGTTGGGGTTGACCGTAGCACACCATTGCAAAAGTATAGTTGTTCTCTAGAATAGAAGTTGGATTGATGGCTGCCTACTTTTAAAATAGCTACGGTGGATTCTACAAATATGGTTACCGGTACCTGGCTAGCTAGTGGCTGGTGGATGGATCCCACCGTTTCAGTATAATGGATGCATTGGTTCCCCCAAATCCAAAGCTGTTGCTCATGGCAAACTCCATATCCTTCACTCTGGCACTGCTTCCCCTGACGTGCTGAAATCCATGCAATGGCTCTTCCGCTTCATCATCAATGTTCTCTAGGTTGCAAGTTGGTGGAATTTCCTGGTGAACCAATGCCAAGACGGTAAAGGCGGCCTCAATGGCCCCCGCTGCACCGAGCAAGTGGCCCGTGGCTCCCTTGGTACTACTGACGAACAAGGGATGTTGTTGTCGTGTGGTTGCTGCTTTGGAAAATATTCGATCAATGCATTTGGCTTCAATTTCATCTCCTTTGGGAGTGGAAGTGGCATGGGCATTGACATATCCAACGCGGGACAACAATTCTTCCATTGATTCCAATGATTCCATGCCGTGAGCTGCCTGAGTGAGTGCCATTTGCATGGCTCGTCCTGCCCCCAATCCATCCGGATGCGGAGCCGTCACATGAAAGGCATCTCCCGTGAGGCCATAACCGCACAATTCGGCCAAAATGGGAGCTTGTCGTGCCTTGGCATGTTCGAGTTCCTCCAATACCAACACGGCGGCTCCCTCTCCCATGACAAATCCATCCCGCTGTTGATCAAACGGACGCGAGGATTGGGTCGGCTCTTGTGTAAAATTGGTCGACAATGCCTTGAGACGAGTGAATCCGGCCAGACTCAGTGGATCGATACATGCTTCGGCTCCACCCGCCACAATAATGTCGGCATTGTTGTATTGAATACATCTAGCAGCATCTCCCAGGGCATGAGTGCCTGCAGCACAGGCTGTCGATACGGCATGATTGGGACCTCTCAAACCAAATTCAAGCGAAACTCTGCCAGCTGCTGTATTGGCCAAGACTTTGGGGACAAAATGAGGACTCAACCGTCTTAAGCCTCGGGTTTCGACCATGCGGGCCGCTTCCACAATTTCACGGACTCCCGACATGCCACTTCCTATACAAACGCCAATTCGATCGGGATCCATGGAGGGAATGAGAGATGTTGTCGTGTCCTTGTCGCCGTCAGATGATGATTGTAGTAGTAATTCTGCTTGTTCCAAGGCTTCCCTGGCAGCTCGCAGTGCCATTTGGACAAACCGAGGTGTTCGAGTATCATGGGTCAAATAATCATCATCACCACATTGAACCGGTGCTGCTACCTGACAAGGCAAGGCACGAGCCGCCTGTAATTCTCGCTCCAACTGCTCTTCGGGCAAACTTTGGCATAGCAAGGCATGTTCCAGTGTCGTTACTCCAGGCTCGGTGTTGTCCAATGCTCGCTTCCACGATTCTGTCAATGTGTTGCCCACAGGAGTGATGGCTCCCATACCCGTCACAACCACTCGGCGTAGTGGTACCAAGGACATGGTCTAAAGGAATGGATAAAGTCAACTGTATTGCAATGCTCAGCTTTGGTTTGGGGCCTTCTGGATCCAAAATCTTTTTCTTGCGTTCTGCGTTTTGCGTTTTGCATGGTTTTGGCCGTTGGTCCTGGAGTGTGTTGGAGGGTTAAAGGCTAAATTCATATGCCCCCTGGGTCGTCTCCGTTTCCATAAATCTTTTATTACCAACACCTGAAACAGTATTCGCGCGCTCCGCGCGCTCATCCCTTTCTTGCTTCGCCCCGAAACAGCTCCCTCGCTCATTCATGCGAAACTTGTGTGAAAAGCGAGGCGACTTTCATGTGCATGTACATGCGTTGACTGTATCCCGTCAATACAATACTAGTCAAATACGTAGACTTCTACAGAGGCCTCTAAGTATTGCACGCCGGGTATAATTCAAACCTCTGCCCCCAACAGTACCCTTACCCCTAAAGCAAGTCGTCTCCGGGAGACGAAATACAGCTCTAACCTTAGTTCACGGACACACTTCTCGAAGAGCTTCTGGAAGCTGAACTGCGACTGGAAAAAAGTGTTCCCCTCAAGGAAGGGGATGGGTGTCACACTTTCCGTCTCCAACTGGAAGACTACTTTGGAAATCAGGTAGTTGCGGTAAATAAAGTTTTCTATACAAACATTAGAAGTAATTTTAACCCTAAACTTACCTCAACTATCTGTTTCAAACTGTCTTCTTGTAAAACTGATCGTAAAACTCGGTGCTGGGGGCATTCATGCTTCACTTCCTGGCTCTCGATTGATGTACGTATGCGATGTGGCATCGTGGCATGGGGAATACAAAAAAGGAGTTGCCAAGATAGATAGAGCGCAGAGGTTCCTGATGCCGCTGGTACCGGTAGCAGCTGCGGTGGTGTTGTGCTACATGTACGTACAGCAGCTCGTACAGCATGCTTGGTTTTGGGTGGGAGGATTTGGCGAGCGGGCTATTTCGATCACAAAAATGAAGCAAGTCTTCTTTTGCACAAGCAAGAGCAAAAGCACCCAGCTAAACCACAAAAGTGGCCACTCACAACAAAAACCAACACCAAAAGACGAAACTATGTTGCACTGGATCAAGGACCGAAGAGCCAAGAGAAACGCCAAGACTAAGAATAAGAAGAACAGCAGCACCAGGACAGTAGAAGACCCAGCAAAGGAAATAATCCAAAAGCCAGTTCCAGGTATGGATCCAACGGATTCTACCTCCAGCGTCGCCTCCTCCAATGGTACGCCTCGCCAGGTCCAAAAGCCTCCAAAGAGAGTCTCTTCTCTGGACAACCGTCGATCGGACCATTCTCGACGAATGTCTCTTACGGACAGAGACTTTGATTCCCTCCTTGTGCGATCCCGTGGCTGGGTCTTTGATCCTGCTGATGGCAAGTCCAGGCCCCACCATGATCGACAGCACAATCGAGCCATGGCGGGAAACGAATATGACAAGTATGTCTTTGCACCCAAACAGCCTATCATGGGCTAGAAGTAAGTAACGGGTGAAAAGCAATGGTTGATACGGACCCAAGACCACAAGGAGATGAGGGGGTGGTCTAGCTACTGGTCCCACTTTTGCTGCCTTCTCTGGGCGGGGCGGCAAGACATACACGCTGCATCGAGCTCAGCAATAGTTGTACACGTACGGTAAATAAATGTAAATTGAGCTAATTAGACGGAGTTGAATTCTTGATTTCTTGCTTCTTGCATTTGATGGCTAGCTAGCTACAACTCCTCACTAATCTGAAGAGTGGCGTGATATCGCTCGTACTAGCTAGTGGTTTGCTCGGCGCCAAGCAACAAGCCTCAAAAACCAGCATTTGGTTGCGTTGGAAGAAATAGGTTCTTGTGACAACTACCGGGGCAAGCTGCTTGCTTGGAAGGGGGATGACATTTCAACGGGGATCGTCGTTCAGCGACTGGCGTCAAAGGCTGGAAAAGAATCAAGCAACATAAGTTGCAAGCAAAGCAACATAAACTATTGAGAAGGGGGGTTTGAGCAGGGAGGTTATCTACGGAAGCGAATTGCTGCCAGCTATGGAGTTCGCCTTTGGTGGCACTTCATCGCGACATCATGTTGCACCTCCTTCAGATTGATTTGATTCGATTTGATTCGATTCGATTCAATCGAATCGAATGATGCACATTTCTGGTTTGAATTCTTGACGCCACCACGCACTTGATGGGGGGGAAAGGATCCTGCCCTGGATCCAAATGGCCATGCACAAGGGCACCAACACGAGACCATGAGACCATCAACGTCAAGAGCCCCACTATGCAACAGGAGCGCTGCTGATAATACTCTAGCTACCTACAGAAGCAGGTAACTAAGAATCTCAATTATGATCGCCAAGATTGCCTTCTTCGCTGCCCTCTGTGCCGTTTCACAATTGGATTCGGCGCTGGCTTTTGCTCCTGTGGTTGTCCCCACCAAGACATCGACATCCACAGAGCTACGGGCACGTTGTGAAGCCGCACAGCAAGCATGTGGAATTGCAGCCGCTGCTATGATCGCTTTGGGCGCCTTCCATGTGGATGCGGCCCATGCAGCTCCAACTGCAATTACACTGGAAGCTCCCCAGGCTAGCAGCATCCTGGTTTCGGCCTCGATGGAATTTGTCGACATTGGCTTGCCATCTTATCGCGCCGCTCTAGACGCACCCGTCAATACCAACCTCAGTGGAGGTGGGAAAATTGAAACTGGAGAATCGGCCGATGTGGTGGTGGCTGCCGCTAGCTCTGAAAAGGCGTAAGTGCCGGTCGGCTGCTCCAACTAGAGGAGCCCTTTTTGCTACTTTGGCGTTGCTCTCGTTCTTCGTCACTTGCCACCAAGCCACCAGTTGATTTTGCTCACCGTCTTTTTACATTATTTTGGCTGATTTCCTCACTGAAATTATTTCTACCCTCATCTACGGATACATAATAAATGTCATCGCAGTCCTGCCGTGGACAAGGCTGCAGCTGCAGCCTCTGCAGCAGACGCCAAGGCTGCAGCCAAAGCGGCCGCCAAAGCAGCTAGGGAACAACAAATTGCGGCAGCAGAAGCGGCCGCGGCGGCGAAGTAACCTAATGAAAAGAATATTTTAACTCCATCATTCACTACCAGTATCAGCATAATCAGCTCATAGGGGTTGAGAAACAGCCACTGGCAAAAGAAGGGGGTTCATCGAGGCGTGAGGGAGGAGAACGTCAAAACAGAAAACTGACAGAGGCAAAGGCTGGAAGGCAAGCAACTATAGAAGTTGCAATCAAAGCAACATAAACTGCTTCTGGGCTTGTACGTTAGTACCATATTTGGAAGTTCCCTCTTGTTGGCACCTCTGCGACATGATCCTACGGAAGAACCGAAGCTTCAATCCGAGCAATGATCCAAGCCCTTTGGCCCCCATGTTGTTCCTTAATAATTTATCTCCCCTGATCCGGGAATCTAGTCCTGAAATCCCACACTTCTTTGCCTAGCTATAGCTGGCCCTACCAGGTACCAGCTCAGCTATTGGAGTAGCTGGCTTCTGTAGATAACCTCGCCACTCCCTACTGTACTCGAATACTGTAAACCCCTTTTGGGCATACTAGCTAGTAGTACGGCAAAGCGCCGAAAACCGAAATGATTGTTTCCGTCATCGGAAAATATATTTATTTCGCTTCGGGTTATTATAAACTAGATAGTAGCTAATTCATACGATTTTAGCAAAAAGTGACTGAATTAAGTTTAGGGGGGTTTTAGAGTAGGGAAATTATCTACGGAAGCCAGCCGGGGCCAGGCTTAAGCAAAGAACAGTCGAAATTCAGGACTAGGTTCTGTGGGATCAGGGGCAAGAAATTGAGGACCATTACGGGGGGCAAAGGGTTTGGCTTTGCGGGATCTTTCACAAGGGCAATTGAGATACGGGTCTGCATGAAGAACATCATTTGAGAGTAGGAAAATTGAGTTTTGGAGGCAGTAGCAGAAGCAAGGCGTTGTAAGAGAGTCTTGGCTTGAGGGGCAAGCATGCCATCCACGGAAACAACAAAGGGGTGGAAGGAAGCGCGATTGGACTCGCACGCATCTTTATATTTGGAAATTTTGTCGCGTTCTTGTTGGGTTAAAACTTTGACGGGATCTTTGTTGCGGTAAGAGGCACAGTCCAAATCAGTGACACGTACGTCAATAATAATTCAGTAGGTTTTAATCAGCACAAACTGCCGAATCGCTAAAACACGAGCTTTCACTCTGTGGTAACTTTTCGGTTGTTTGACTTTTTCACCCCCCTTGGGAATCATCAGTGCTTGGGCTATTGTGGTACTTATGAAATCGAGGTTTATGTCGGCATGCTCCGTATATTTCGTTGCAGGAGTTGATCAGCTTTTCTGGCGATTCTCTGGATCGTTTCAGTATCTCGAGTCGCTCCCTGTTGCATAGGCTGCAGTGTCGTGTCCCGAAGGTCTTGACAGTGCTGATGGGGTTGCCTTGCCATAGGATAGACGGTAGTTCGCATAACAGAACATAAAAGGCTTGGTACAGAAAGTACAGCGGGACCGCTGTACCGCCATCGGCCCAACCGTACACTACCGGTATAGATCCGCTGTAGAGGAGATAGCCAATCAGAATCGTTGGATCTTTCGATGACGTCAGAATCGTTGGATCTTTCGATGACATCAGTCGTGCATGCACATCATGCACATCAGTCGCGCACACGATCCATCTCTGTGTCAGCTCGATCAGTCTCTCGTGGTGTTGTTTTCGTGTTGTTTTCGAAAGACCGATCGAGCATGCATCCAGAGGATTTCGCCAAAGGGTTTCGAATTTGAGTGAGATAGTGAAGCAAGACAATAAAACCGAGGTCATCCCGCCCGTATTCAGTAGCCGCAGAGGTACTTCGCAGAGGTGTACTTACTGCATTCAGTAGCCGCAGAGGTACTTCGCAGAGGTACTCACCGCAGCCGAGTATAGCCGCTTTCATCGCAATCCTCCGACGACGATGAGTGCGAGTACGAAAGAGGCGCAGGCTGGTATCGACCACTACATCCGGAACCTGTACTCCAGTGGACGGTTCCCCAAGGTGGACGACAACGGCATGGTGTTCTTGGCGGCTGTTGGCAAGACAGGACGACCTCTGTGAAAGCTAGAACTCCTCTAGTGGCGGGGAAATTGGATCGGCATCTGCAGAACCATTTCCCGCAGGGAGCAGTCCACGGAGTCACATCCCCCGTTATGAGAGCCCTTGCAAGGAAGGACGAAGCTGCAGGCCAGTACCAAATTACAAGTTTCTTCAAACCCGGGAAGGTCATCGACAAGCAATGGAAGGCAAAGGAACAGTCTCTAGCAGCCATGGAATTCGAGATCCCATCTTTCACTCGAATTTTCTTCTTCATGCCTGAGATATTTGACCGCAGCATCCTGGAAAAGCATTCAAGGTACAAGTGCATCGACCCAACGACAGGCAAAGAGACCAGTGGACTCAAGACTCCATGCCCCCATTGTGGCACCAATGAGCATGTGTCTTGGTTGTGAGAAGTAGCCTGAAGCAAGGCCAACACAGAACAGTTGCTTGCTTCAGGGGTCGCATCCCAATCTACTGCTTTATCTACAAGTGTGACAATAATCAATGCAGTGGTGAAAGGAATCCCCTGATAGTGTGGAGAAGGTGTCAACCCACACATTCCATGGCTACAGCCCACTGGTTTACCAACTTGGTGGTTGGGCCCCAAGGGGCCCAATCTTTATGTTCAGAGCCCCCTGCGGGGGCTCAACCTTTATAGTTAGCTTAAAAAATTTCGATAGACGGTAGTTCGCATAACAGAACATAAAAGGCTTGGTACAGAAAGTACAGCGGGACCGCTGTACGCCATCGGCCCAACCGTACACTACCGGTATAGATCCGCTGTAGAGGAGATTAGCCAATCAGAATCGTTGGATCTTTCGATGACGTCAGAATCGTTGGATCTTTCGATGACATCAGTCGTGCATGCACATCATGCACATCAGTCGCGCACACGATCCATCTCTGTGTCAGCTCGATCAGTCTCTCGTGGTGTTGTTTTCGTGTTTGTTTTCGAAAGACCGATGGAGCATGATCCGCAGAGGATTTCGACCAAAGCAGAGATTTCGAATTTGAGAGATAGTGAAGCAAGAAATAAAACCGAGGTCATCCCGCCGTATTCAGTAGCCGCAGAGGACTTCGCAGAGGTGTACTACGCATTCAGTAGCCGCAGAGGTACTTCGCAGAGGTACTCACCGCAGCGAGGATAGCCGCTTTCATCGCAATCTCCGACGACGATGAGTGCGAGTACGAAAGAGGCGCAGGCTGGTATCGACCACTACATCCGGAACCTGTACTCCAGTGGACGGTTCCCCAAGGTGGACGACAACGGCATGGTGTTCTTGGCGGCTGTTGGCAAGACAGGACATGCCTCTGTGAAAGCTAGAACTCCTCTAGTGGCGGGGAAATTGGATCGGCATCTGCAGAACCATTTCCCGCAGGGAGCAGTCCACGGAGTCACATCCCCCGTTATGAGAGCCCTTGCAAGGAAGGACGAAGCTGCAGGCCAGTACCAAATTACAAGTTTCTTCAAACCGGGAAGGTCATCGACAAGCAATGGAAGGCAAAGGAACAGTCTCTAGCAGCCATGGAATTCGAGATCCCATCTTTCACTCGAATTTTCTTCTTCATGCCTGAGATATTTGACCGCAGCATCCTGGAAAAGCATTCAAGGTACAAGTTCATGACCCAAACAGGCAAAAGAAGGACTCAAGACTCCATGCCCCATTGTGGCACCAATGAGCATGTGTCTTTGGTTGTGAGAAGTAGCCTGAAGCAAGGCCAACACAGAACAGTTGCTTGCTTCAGGGGTCGCATCCCAATCTACTGCTTTATCTACAAGTGTGACAATAATCAATGCAGTGGTGGAAAGGAATCCCCTGATAGTGTGGAGAAGGTGTCAACCCACACATTCCATGGCTACAGCCCACTGGTTTACCAACTTGGTGGTTGGGCCCCAAGGGGCCCAATCTTTATGGTTCAGAGCCCCCTGCGGGGGCTCAACCTTTATAGTATTAGCTTAAAATTTTTTCGATAGATGCTAATTTCGATGCTGTTCCTTTGAATGTCGCCGTTAAGTCGGAATGGTGAAGGAGCTGCGAAGTTTTGGAATTCGTTGGCGAAGTGTCTTGCGTATGAATCTGACTTGCGTTTTCCGTAGAGGAGACGCATGACGTCGGTGAAGTGTTGGTATGTTCGTTCTTTGACGTTTTGTTGGGTTGCCCCAACGTATTCCTTGCCCGAGTTAATGCATTTGATGCAGTATATGGCCAGTTTATTTCTACAGCTGTCGTCAAATCAGCATTGGCCGTCTTTCTTGTTTCTTGACTAGCTAACCGTTTGATTGATTTATAAGTCACATTTTTAATGATAATGGGGTGACGATGGTTTCTGTCCTTGCAAGATTGCAAGATCGGCCACTGGTTGGAGTACCACCAACTTTGTGGAAGCTTCGCGTCGACAGTTGAATGAGCAAAACTTGGCGACAGCATTACTCCAGTTTAGTCTATTGAAAATGAAGCCGTTGGCAAAGCAACGAACAGAAGTACAAGTAATGGCCAGCCAGCCGAGACAAAGTGGGCATCAACACTCAACAATGCTTGCTTGGATCAAGCGTCGGAGACCAAAGAGGAAGGCGAAGAAAGATGACGTTCACAAGAATGAGGATTCATTAAGGGAGGACGACCACAACTTTGAGATTCAGGGCAGAGAGTCATCCACTGATGCTACCTTTAGTGCTTCCCCCCCTTGCAATGCTTCTCCGCAGAGCTCGCCGAGGAAAGTCTCGTCTCAAGACAAGCACCGAAGATCACTTGAGCTGACTGGCGGGGACTTTGATACCCTCCTTGTTCGGTCCCGTGGCTGGGTCTATGATCCTGCTGATAGCGAGACAAAACCACACCATGAACGACAACATAACAGAGCCATGGTCGGAAAGGAATATGACAAGTACATCTTTGCTCCCCCGGAGCCAATTGACGGCAGTTGTTGAAACCAGGTGGTATGATGAGGGCTGAGCGCAAGAGCCAGACCACATTGAAGTGGGGAGCTGGTCTGGCTTAGGGCGGTGATTGACTTCATCAGGGCGGCAAGGGAGGGACTTGCTAACATTGGTACATGTAGATGCACCGTAACGATAGATCAAGCTACTTTCAAACATCAAACGACAAATTAAGATTCTGATTGTTGGGGGCAAACAGGCCGTGCAAGCGACCTGCATATGTTGCCTAACCGTTTGCTTTACGATAGAGGTGCCCAACTAATCAAGCGTCCAATACACCGCAGTTGCTTTTGCTCCAGTTAGCATGCCGATAGCTAAGCTGCTGGGTTGTAGCCCTCTTTTTATTAAGAACCCCACGTCATTTGACTTGTCTGGCTTGTCCAGGGCAACTGGCGGCCAGTTGGTTGTTAGATGTTGAGTCTATGGGTGTTCCAGGTGTTGCTTCCTCGGAAGAGTCTATTCTAGCTAGTGGAGTCCTGTTGGGCAGCACACTGGCTTTGCTGTCTAGAATATCCAATCACGCATCAGAACTCTCGAGAACCTTGGCTTCTCTAGCTAGCTCATCGCTCTAGCTAGCTATATATTCGTAGGGCCAAACAAACAGCTACCACATTCGCAGCTCATTTTGGGTTTAGAGTAGGGAAGTTACATGTTTCTACAGAAGCCTTAGGCAAAGAAGAAGCGGAACTGGAAGCATGGCAGTGTAATTTTATGTTTGCGTTGCTTCTCTTTTTCTTTCCTCTTCCCCTTCCATCTATTCTCTTTGTACAGTAGTGGGCCACCGGCTTGTCTATTGTCGAGTGTGTGGCTAGAGGGGGTACGGTAGAAGCTCTACTATTAGCTCTACTAACTAGTGGTAGGCATGCCGGGAGGTGGCAGGGCTCCACCGCATGAGGCATGTTGATTAAGGAACCCAAGACGGTACCAGCATACCGCTCCTTCTCGCATCATCGGTTCTGTGTTCTCGCTGGCTACCTGATGTGGGCATTTGCTGCCTGGTCATGGCATCAGTGTCGGTTGTCTCTATACCTCAAGCTCAGCAATAATTCCAGGCGGAAGGTGACTGGAAGTAGTTTGAGCCTGCTTCGGTATTGATCCAACATTGAAACGTTCGGACTCGGTGCCCATGCCAGCTGGTGCGTCAAACTCTGCAAAGCTCTCGCCAGTTTGGTCCAACGAGGACATAAATGATGATCTTGTTCCCGTGCTCTTGCTGCTTTTTACAGCCACCCAGTACGTCGTCATCAAACCCTTGCCTTTTGCCTCAACCTTGTCTTCCCGCTCCGTCAACCAATCTTGATGGCCATGACGAATCAGCTCATCTGCTGTGGATTGAGATACCTGAATCTTTCCAGGAACTCCATTGCTTTCCATTCGAGATGCGGTGTTGATTGAATCTCCAAAAAGCTATGGGAATTGTTACAAGGTCAATTACCCGCTGTAGTTATATGTGCGATGGGAAACATAACACAGCTGCTACCTACCTGGAAACGGCCTTTATCTCCACGCAATATTCCACCTGTTATTGGACCCTTTGGGCATTGGAAGACGAAAGAACAAAAGAACATAAGCTCCGTCCCTCTCTGGCACGTGTGAACAGGCACTGCCAAGGCTGTTGTCTAAAACAAACGTACCGAATGCATCCCTACTCTCAGTTTAAGGTTGGCGGTATCTGCACCAAGTCGGTCAGCGAGTTTGTATGCAACAAGTTGTCCCATTCTCACCTGGCATGCTGCCGCAAACTTTGCCATCCGTGGTGCATGGTCCTCTTGAGGGTTAGGGACTCCTGGAAAGAAGAATGCGAAGAAAGGCAACGAGAAGGCAACAATCAATTGTATAGGTGAGCATCGTCCCTCCTCAAGCCCTCTTTTGCCCAAACTCTTAGCCTATACCTGTGACTCCCACCCAGCAATCACCAATCTACACCAACACAAGAACAGTGCATTCCAAAAGCAGTGAGCCTTGGGCGGTCATGATACATGCTTGCCGATGCGGCGACAACGATTTCTAGATTCAGGACTTACTGTCTCAATCTTATACACGCCACGCTTCCACGCAATGCGGTCAAAGCTCTGATAAAGTGTTTCCAACAATTCAAACACATCGGAAGGAGTACGAGTGGAACTCCACTTGGTAAATCCCGCCAGATCCATGAGGAGAATAGTTGCGGATTCGTAGAGAGTAGCAATTGCCTTATTGCTTCCTACTTGAATTCCTGCTTCACCTGGATTCTTCCACTTTCTCCTTTCAGCATTGCCTTGGGGTTCGTCTTCAAACAGACGTTCTCTGACTTGCTCTGGGTATAGGGTGGAAATAAGAGCGCGGGATTCCACAGCTTTCTTCATCACAACCTGCTGTCGCCGGGCGACAAGACAGTCAAACACAACCAGCACAAAGATTGTGAACAAAAAGACAGAGGCCATAATGGAAGCATACACGGCCGGCTTGTTAGTGATGTACTGGCTCTCAAGTTGTTCCGTGGGATAAATGTACAGGACGTATTCCCCGAAATCGACTTCCACAGTGTCATATGCTCGGTCCCTGGGGCTGTGTTGGACCTGCAAGGTTTCTCCCATGTTTTGGAAGACAAACATGTCATCATACTTGGAGGCATGGGGGTCTTGGATCCCCAGGTAGGTTGCTTTTGGACCTTCTATGAGGTAGCTGAAGGGATCACTTTGTTTGCTCTTGATTACAGCAATGAAGCCTCCAAGATTTTCGGGAACAATCTTCTCAAAGTTTAGCCGCCACATCAGGGGCGACATCAAGAATCCAGCCACAGTCCTGTTTGCCCCAAACGAATCGAACACAGGGTAAATCAGATCAGTTGTGGTATCTCCCAAGAAGAATTGCAATTCGTGTCTGTATTGTCCACGTTGGACGTAATCATTCTGCTTTCTAATTGGGACTAATTCCTTGAGTGTGATGTTGCTCGGATCGCGGACACCACTTGCAGGACCGAGCGCCGCATGTTGAGTTTCGAGCACAGAGAGCATTGAATCTCTAGAACTGCCACGGGACAAGATATCACCATTCAATAGGAATTCCAAAGGAATGATGGGGGACATCTATTGCAATGGCAAGATGGGACGGGGATTTTCAGCGTCCATGCGTAATGCGTACAATGCAATACATGTACAAAGAACACTTACCTGCCAGAACGGAGCATACGGTCCACTTTCTGGTGGCTTGGGAATCGACGGTGGAGGGCCGCTCTTTGGTGGAGGTCCCAGGCCAAAAATCTGCCTTGTGTAGCCCGGCAGCTTGGGTGGTCCTTCCTCCCCAGCTGGTGGGGCTTCTTCTAGGGACCTCTGTGGCGGCTGCTGTCCATCCTCCGATGGCTCTTCATTTTTGGATCTGTCTGAACCTGGAGCGTCCTTGATCACGGCTTCCTCCAACCCATAGTACTGATTCTGCATATCCATGAACTTGATTTCCTCCTCCCACTGCTCTTGCTGCCATTGCTTGTGGTTGAAGGCGTAATCTTCCCAGCCAAGTCGATTTTCATCGGTCACCTGCGAGATATCACAATGTAAGACATTCATTCCGCCACAACCATGCAGCCGATTTCCTTTAAAAGTTTAGTTTTGCCAAACCCTTCCATTCGCACTTACCAAGGGAGCATACTCCACGTTGATGGTATCTGGGCAGACGGAGAGATACATATGATATCGTTAGGATGAATTGAACGTCTTTTCTAGCCCAGCAAGAACAATATCCTCGTTTACAAACCTGCTTGTACCCTCGTTTGGCCAGCCAGCATGATCCAGTTATCAATGGTCACGTTGGGAAAGGTCAGGCCGTTACTGAAAGGAAGAAAAAGTCGTAAGAATGAGACCCAAGGAAATCCATTTGATCTTCCATTCCCCACATACCTCAATGCGTAATTCGTGATAGTGGCAGAGAGCCCTCCAACGGCAACAATCTTGCGATCTACCGAATCAATGAATGACTCTGCCAACTTGTTGCCGTAGATTTCAAACACAGTCCGAAAGTCGTTTTCCTGTTCATTTTTGGTGTAGAAGTAAACCAGCAATGTCACGGCAATTGCCGTGAAAACGACAACACAGTAGACAGCAACACGAACATAAGAGACGGCTTTCTCCTCATGTCGTTGCAGCAGCTTGTTCTTTTCCTCAGCTTCCTGCAGCTGACGAGCTGTGGGCTTGCCCTCATCACAGCTCAAGTCATCGCCCTCACTCTCGTCACCCATGATGCTGGGGTCTTCTTCTTCGACGGCTGCCATGGTTCGAGCACACTATCTCTTGGCCTCTTCAATTGATCAATCTCTTTTAAAAATCCTGTGTTGTTGGAACTAGAGAAATCAGGACCACAAATGCACGAGCTATGAGTTTTGTGCCACGAACAACAAAGTAAAAGAATAAAATGAAGTGCCAGATAGCAGTGTGGCGAGGACTTGTGCTGGTACGGGTACCCGTAGCGGTAGTCGCCAAACAGTCATAAAAAACGCTACCTCCACATACGTTACGTGCACCGTGGCACCATGAGAAGGCGACGGAGTACCGGTGAGAAAATGACTGCATTATTTGGAGAAAACCTTAATTTGGAATTAACACCCTCTTTCCCAAGCAAGTTCAAGCTCTTAATGCTTTTCGGACTTTTGGAGTAATGGTATTATTAATTAAAGAATGGTACCAGCTGCTTTGGACAAGATAAGTCCAAAGCACGTACGATTGGACAAGTAGTCTAAAATAAATGACGTCATAATGACTTACTAGTATCCGATAGATGCAATGGGATTCACAGGGCGTGCTACTCACAGGGAGTACCCGCGGTGAGTACCGGAGTTGAGTACGTGTATTGAGTACTGAGTATACTCACTACCCGTACTCACAGCATCCCCAAAATCGTGAGTAGTACTCACTACCCGTACTCACGGATCGCTGGACCTGAGTACTTTGTGAGTATTTCGATGGGTACTCGGTGAGTATTTTCGATCGATACTCACACGAGTACTCGCGAGTACCCGTGAGTACTCGGTGAGTACTCGGTGAGTACTCGATGGGTACTTTCGCTCGCGAAACAGCAGGAAAGATCATTATTTTCCCACATGGACCCAAATTGAAGGAGGAAAGCACTGTTTGACTACTGTTTGACTACTGTTTGACTGTTTGTTCTGTTCCAAGCCACTGTTGTGTTCACCATGGCTGATGCTGATGATGAAGAGGGTGGTCTATCCATGGCAGAGGTGGAGGTAGCTGTCAATGGTGGAGGTCAAGATGAAGAAAAAGAAGATGCTGAGGAAGAGGCTGAAGAAACCACTGTTGCAAATGAAGCCATGGCTGTGGCAAGTGGAACTGATTTGACTTCCCTTATCATGGAATCAAAGAGTATCCCGAAGCTGGAGCGCAAGCCACAGGGTATTTCCAAGGTCTGGGACTGCTATTATTGTGTGGAGGTACCCGACTCGGATGTTCTGGATGTCCTGCAAAAATTGGATGACTCGGCCTACAACAAGATCAATGGAGGGATGGTTTCTGGGAAGCAATATGTTGCGTGCCGTGCATGCCTTGAAGATTCCAGCAAGCCACTCTGGCGTTGCCTGCATATGCCAACCTACAAGAAGGACGGGTCAGGTAGATTTGATGGCACAGGCAATCCTGGCAAGCACCTGAGGAATCGACATACCGATATGTGGGAAGCAATGCAGTGTCAAGGTACTACATTCTCCTTTGACCGATACATTCGTCGGTCTGCGGCTCAAGTTGCCCTCGGTCCAATGGCCATCGCTCCACCCGCACAAGTACCCCAACAAGTACCCCAACTAGGTCCAGTGGGAAGCCCGGTCAGTCAAATTTCTCAGCCTAGGTCTCTTGTTCATCAAATGAGTGCTGATGCTGGAAAGGCCAAGGCTCTTGCGGAATTCAAGGAGGCACAGCATCGTTTCGCCACAAACAACAACATTCCTCTTCGTGTTTTGACGAACCACAAAGAATGTCCAGAATTCAGCCACATGATGACATGCGCCATGGTGAATGGTGCGACTCTGATGAAATGTCCCAACCATAGTTTGATGGGACGGGAAGCCCATACAAACTACAGAGCCAGCGATTACAAAACATTGATTGCTGCTGTCGGAATGCACATAGGAGAGACCGACGAGTACTACCGCGAAAAGTTTGGTGTGCCAAAGGAATTCCTGACTGTCTCACATGATATTTGGGACTCAAACAAGAAGGAGATACTTGGGGTGTATCTGTTCTGGTACAACCCCAAAAGGAAGTGCTATCTACGAGTTCCTGTAGCACTGGTGGAATCGTTAGACAAGAAGGGAGATCCCACCACCGATCAGATTCGCCGCATTCTAAAAGCCTTTGGTGTCGAGGATCGAATGATCTACAGGGCCATGAATGACACTACCAACACGGCTCTAATGGTGGGCCGCAATCTGGCTGGAGGCAACAGTTACTGTGCCATGCACGAGATTCAGCTTGCTTTCTCACATGCCACAGGTCAAAGGAAGCGCCGCACTAACAAAAAAGTGACCGACGAATTCGACGAATGTCAGAATCTTCGAAAGGAAGCAGAGGACACGGCAAAGTGGTTAGTGAACAAGAAATCCAAGGGCAGATGGAAGCAGTTCGTCAAGGAACTAGCAGATGTTGGCCGGCAAGCCCGGGCTTTTTGCTTCTCGAATGCTACAAGGGCGGGTGGCGAGGCTTTGTTCTACACTACATTCATCCAGAGTAGGTGGAACATCCACCACAAATGCAGTATTGATGGTGAATGCCCAATGATTGAGGATGCAAGGTTCTACATCATGGCACAAGTCTGCGTGGAACCCCTGTTGAGCTTTCGCTTTTGTCCAGACAGATATCTTGGTGCCAGTTCGTATACTGTGTATGGTACATACCGTGTGTTCGCCACTTACTGTTATGCCAAGGTTGTGTGGGTTCCGGAGACTCGTCGGAGCAAAGCTGTCAACGAGACCGACAAGTGGAATGGCACAGCAAGTTACTACCCAACCAAGTTCGATGGTTCTCCAGCAAAATGGGAGGATCCACTTGAAGACGATGAGGGAACCTACCTTCCCTCGACTACTGAGAGGATTGGTTTGAGGATGGTCCCAGTGAAGGACCTCCATTCGATTCCCAAGAAATTGTTCAGGCGAATTCCAAAGGAGTTGCAACGATATGGTGCGAATGTCAACGACGTGAAGCAGAATAACAAACTCCTGTCCTTGATGTGTAATCCTTTGGGTAAGACTCACATGTTGGACGACTTGGAGACACTTGTTGCTTGTGTTGAGGCTTCGAATACCATACCAGGAAACAAAGAGATGGGTAAGAATGTTCGGAAGAAAGCCGAGCAGCAGTTCAACATTTGGGTCAAACAGATGTGGAGGAGACTTTCGATCGGGCAGTGAAAAAGCGACTGCGACAGCACCTCCGAAGGAGCCTCAAGCCAAGGCCAAGATTGACGATCCTCTTGCACAGGCAAGGGCAGCCAAAAAGAGGAGGGTCACTGAAGAACCTGTGGAAGAAGGGGTCGACCCCATCGTGAAAGCAATCGATAAGTATTTGAAGGAACCTTTTGACTTGGTGTCTGCCCTTGAGAAGCAGACACGGAATCCTGTGGAACGAAATGTTCTACTCACACTTGGCACTGAACCGGAACAATGGTTGGACAACATTGAGGTTGTCAAGAAATACTTCGACCTCCAAGAATGGTGGGAGACCATTGGGAAGAGGGACCATCCCTTGATCTTTGAGGTTGCCATGCGCATCTTGGCCATGCCCAACAGCAATGGCTTCCAGGAAAGAGTCTTCAGCTCTTCCTGGTTTGATGGAAACCTAAACAATGCACAGAAGGTTGACCTAACCTTCCAAATGAAGCTCCTCTGTTACAAAAACAGTGCCTTCATTCAACATTACAGGAAATGCATCAATGACATGCGCAAGGAATGGGACAGGAGCAGAACCAAGGAGCTGCTCAAGCTGACGGCAAGCAAGCAAGAAGAGGAGGACTATGACAGTGACCTGGATGCTATGCTGGACCTATTCATGAGCACCCCGGAGGGCCCAAAAGGCCAGTCCTGAGGAGCCCACAGCTCCCCCCTTAAGTAAACCTAGGTAATGAGTACCAAGTGAGTACTCTATAGTACCCACACAATACCCGTACTCACACAGTATCCGTACTCACATGACCTCTAGAAACGTGAGTACTACCCAGTACTCGTACTCACATGACTCTAGAAACGTGAGTACTACCCAGTACCCGTACTCACAGGCTAAAACAGTGTGAGTACCACACCCTGAATGGGAACCAGACGTGCAAGGTCGCACATCTCCTTGGTAACCTCTGAAGATGAAAGATTTAAGCCCATGACCTATTACGAGGTCCCCCTGGAAGGCAGCCGATCAGCCGATTAGTACTTAACCCAGAGCCAAAACCAACTTCAACTTGGCCTCTCTATGTCCTCTGGATCGCTGAAAGTCGTTCCCATTCGCGCATTCGCGCTGCGCGACTTTACAGTGACTCGCGCTGCGCGAATACAGCAGAACGAATTCGCGAGTTCATCGCGACCTTACGCGACTTACATTTAAACATCGTTTTCTTTACTACAGTTCGTGTTGCGCGACTTAGCGCAACCTTATGAAACGTTCTGGCTTTTTTAGCGATGGCACTTGTCAACACCACCGGTACCAGGTACGCTGTACGCTGTACTCTAAATCGGCTGCCTTGCCGATGACTGCATGGAAGTAAGATTGAAGCTTTGATCGACAAGGGACAGAATTTTTCAAGGAGGAAAGCCAACTTATCAAGTGGTTGGCTTCGTGCCAAACTCTGCAATCAGGAGGTGTATGGTACGGTACATTTTAACTAGCTACTAGTACTGTACTGGTAGTCTACGAGCAGTTTTGCATGGTGCAATTTGGGCAGAAAGCCACCGCTTACGGCACCTTGTTACTCCAATCAGGTTTCCGTTACCACCCTGGTCCTACCCTTCGAATGAATTGGTCAACGACCTTGGCGTTGCTGGCAGGCCATGGTCCCCAGGCAGAAAGGCGTGCGGTACATGTAGTGTAGACAAGGTACATTGAACCACCAACTTAGACTTCCCTGAGGTTGTCCCGAGTCAGTCCTGTGGATTGCAGAAGAGGACCAAAGGATATGCCTTTTTAATTTTTGCAAGGGTACTTTCAGACAGAACCAATCTACAAGTTTATTGGGTATCTATCTCATCCTCTTGGCTAATTAATAAATTAGGCCATCATGATAGGAGCAAAGAGTTCACAGGCAAGCTTCTTACATGCAATGCAATCAAAGAGCCATTGCAAGGGCAGCCATGATTGTCGTCACGGCCATCAACACAAGGGGTCGCGGCTTCCAGGCGGCACTAGCAAGCGGTGCGTCGCAGCCGGTTAGGGCAAGCACACTGGGCCGGACGCACTTGTCGTCGTGATAGAGATCGTGGTTACAGATTTTGTCCTCGCAGATACTGGCATCCTTGGTGCCACAGAACATGCCGGTGACAATGGCTTCCTCTCGGAACACCCAACAGAGTTTCTGTCCAAAGGCTGTTGCATTTCGAAAGGTACCGGTAAATTCTTTGTTGCGGCTCACATCCCAATTGGAAATATCCATATTGAACGCAAGTGCTTCCCTAAAGTACGTTCGCATCAATCGAGTATAGTAAATTGTCGTGTCAATGAGTTTGATATTGGTTTGTTTTCAGGTTGAGTACCAGCACCAAATGTAAGAATTCAGGTTCCACTAGCAGATGGTGTCTAGTAGAGTCGAGTCAAACTTACCAAAACATGGTGGACATGTCCCGGACGCTTGTCACATCCCAAAATGAAATATCCGTGTTGAACGAAGAAGCTCCTCGGAACCTGATTGTTTCAAGAGAAGAAACAAACATCGACCGTTAGTAAGTAAATAAATGAGACCGAGTGGAGCTGTCCAGGTACGCCATAGACTTACATATCTGCCATACTTTTGACTTGCCCAGTTTGCCAGGTGGAAATGTCACCTGCAAACGCCGTGGCGGCTTGGAAGCTGTCCAATTCAAATAGTTGCAAAACGACAGAAAGTGAGCAAAAATCTGACTTTTTTCTTTTCAACCCAATCTTTTTTTGTTTCTTGACTCACGTGCTAACCATGGAAGTCACCTTGGTAGTATTCCAATTGGAAAGATCTTGGTTGAAACTTGTGGCTCCACTGGTGTCGTCAGTCAATCCAAGCGAAAAAAAGAAGTATAGGTGAGAAGACCATTCAACCGGTAGCAACGGAATCCAGCAGGGTACAGGAGAATCTTCTCTTACAAAAACATGCGGTCCATGTCAGTAGCGCTTCGTGTGTCCCAGGAAGTGATATTGTCATTGAAACTGGCGTGTCCCTGGAAGAGTCCTGCCAAAGAAGAACCAGAAGGGAGAAGAGGTTACCAGAAGAAACAGAAGAAACGGTAGAATTGAGTATTACGACGGCGAGAGAAGCAAATCCAATTGGATTGATTCTCCAACCAACCAAACAAGCAACATAAGAAACGGCACCGTACCTTTAAAGTCATCTACAAGTGAGACATCCCACACGTCAATAGGCCCATAGGTGGCGATGACTTGCTCGGTGTCATCGGCTATCCAGGATTCTACCGCCACACGCAATTCTCCGGAAGTTCGGAACGCCGAATAGTTTTGACCTTCGACCACAGGGAAACAAGCCACCAGAGCCCAGGACAAGAGGAAGGAAAGCAGCTGGTAGTTCCTCATCATCATGGTCAACTAAAACAATCTTTTTCGTCTTGTGCTTCCTTCTTTGGTATTGGTCCCTGGTTCTTTTGGATCTTGTGAGCAAAATTTTGGGTTCACCTTTTGTAAGCCTGCTGGTCTGAAAAGGGTTCGGGTCATCCATGACTGGACTGTCACTTAGAGGACCGTAGAGGGGCGTGTGGGAGGTGGGAGTGAGTTTGAGCTCGTCTGTTTTACCATTTTTCTTGAGTTTTGCTCAGGCTTGGCAAAAGTTAGACAACATGACATTGTTGTGCGGATGATTGAGTTCTGCTGCAAACACCATGCGTATCCTGACGACAGGGGCCTTCCTTGCCTCACCGAATGTCTGGCGGCTGAACGATGGGGCAGTCTTTTTTTGAGAGTCAGGGGCCTGAAACATGTTCTACTCGAGGTCTCGCTCCATTGACTTGATTGCAGAATGGATCGGAATACTGTCCATCAGGATCCATTGATTCGATTTGATGATTTCTTCTTAGCGCGTTGTTCCATGCTATGGGACCGACTTGGGGCTGTCTCGATTGGATCATTCCGTTCCCTTTCTCTCTCTCGACTTCCCGAACGATTCGCTTGCCTTGCTCGCCTTCGTGCGCTCTTGCCTTTTGGAGCGAGTAACGATTCACTCACGATTTTGATTCCTTGATTCTGATGAGAAGCAAATCGGGACAACACAAGGTCTCCTTTGAGCGACCTGGTACGTAGTAATAACTCTACTGAGATCCGACTTTATAGGGCACCCCCCAAATCGACTCGACTATGCTCCCCTGCTGATCAATAATGGACGCGAGGGTTGATTTGGACCTGCGGACGGCTGAGTCGAGTCAATGATTCTGATGATAAAAGTCAACTTATCTTGACGCCGTTTCTCGAGTTTTTCCTATGTAGTGTTGTCTGTTCTATGGTACGGGTACCGTAGCACAGGAGGCGAATCAATACTGAAAGGGCCGGAAAGCAATTGCGTGGCCTAGCTAGCTACGAACTGCTAACGTTCTGTCGAGATTGGTTGAGCATGCATTTATTTTATTAGGTTTCATCAACGTACTATTTGTACAAGTTGTTTTTGTTTTGCCTTGTGTTTGATTGTTGTAATCCAAACAGGAATGGGCAATTGTTACCCATGCTCTCTTGCTATCGTCAGTTGGCGGATAAATCTGACTAGCTAGCTGCTAGCCAGCTACTAGCTACCATAGCCATAGCTTGTTTAGTTAGGCACTCCGAGCTCTTCTACAGCCCACCGAGGACCGCTGTTGTTGTTGTTGTTGTGGCTGTTGATCGCCGTGGTTGCTCAGATTGAGTTTTTTAGACGATGATCGTCGCCCATCCTCACCACTTTCATCATTGTAGATTTGAAATGCCAAGGCTTCGTCTTGCAACGCCACTTGATGTGCGGCCGCTCGATCGGCCTTGCTGTGTGTCGACACGAACACCATGATGAGATTGGTGACATCCGATTCCAGCTTGCGCAAATCTTGCTGCAATGCCAAAAAGGACTGTAGAAACGTATACCACTTTTTCCGAATGGCATCTCCCGATCGGAGCCTCTTTTCCAATCCTCGTATACAATAACCGTCGCTACTGCTACTGCTACTGCTATTGCCAGTCGCCAGAACCCCACGGTTGCTCTTCCACACCTTGCGGGCCAAGTGAATCTCTCTCCGTGCTCGATCTCGCAATTCATCCGCATCATGCCACAGCAGGTCCTTCTCCACTTCGGTCAAACTACCGTCGTACACCACAATCTCGGGCACCGGGCCGAATCTCACTTGACGCTTGGTCACGGCGGCTGTCGATTGATCCAAGGGCTCTTGTTGTTGTGGCGGCTCTTCTTCCACATGGTCCGACATCTTCGTCTCTTTGCACCCACTCGCGCTCCTTTTCGGCGTTGTGGCTCGGCTTTTTGCGGACAATCGACCGGCACAAGTAATGTTTGGAGAGAGAGAGATAGAAGAGCTTGAAGCCTTCTTACGTACCGTACTGCATACAGTTCGTACCTACCTCAACAGCTCCTCGTCTACCTATCTCCTATCTCTCTTGCCGGAAGCCGGAAGGATGTATGAGTCCGGAAGCCACAAGGATGTGTGAGTTGTGTGTTCGTGTGTTCATTCAACAGCACGATCACTGGCGGCTGCTGGAACAATGGAGCTCGATTATTGCTTTGCAAACTACAGAAAGATTTAACAGAACACTTCCGCACCATTCAACTTCTCCTAAAGGGAAACTTGGGCCATAATACTCAGAGAAAGGACACCATCCATCAGGTGAAACCGAAATAGTCATGGACAATTCGGTATTTAGACGTATTTGAGAATCCATGACTACCACTCACACATTCCTGGCATAATTCACTTCCTTGTTTGCTTGGCTAGCTCTTGGAATCAAGTAATGTAGTGCTACTTGTAGGGAGGTAGAATGGATAAAATCACATAAAAGCAAACTGATTTCACCTCTCTTGTGGGATGATCATACATAATGCACGCTGCGCTTGCAAAAGTCATTAAGGAAATTGCCAAATAAATCAGGCATCTTCAATGGTTGCTCGCTGACGTACTGAGCTCGTACCAATCAGCGTACTGGCAACGGCGGCAACCTGGTAGACAGATCTAGCCGGGTAGTTCCGGTAAACAAAGAGTTACATGTAAAATCTCTGAATGTTTGAATCAAACAAATGTATTACCCGATCTACCTTAATATCACAGCTGTCCCTCAACAGGGAATGCAGTTCGTCTGTTTCCCTTGCTATTGAGATATGTTTTTAAAAGTTCACCTGAACCCTGAAGGCATCTTAGCAAAAACTCAAATATCTGCACTGAGAATATTTTGTTAAAATTCAGGGTCCAAAGGCAGCATCTTAGCTTTCTTGCCATTTCTATTGACCATACTAGTGGTATGGTACATACCAACATTGCTACTCTGCTTCCCACCTTACTGAACATACCCTTAGGAGAAGAGAGGAAAGAGCAGTGTATCATCCGCTGGAAGCAAAATTTTTGACTCTTAACACCTTTTTTTTAAAGGTATTTTGTTATAGAAAAGTGTCAATCTCTTATGTGCCCAAGGGAGAGTGCTTACTGGCTATCTTAGCTCTAGTGCAGATCTGAGTGTCTCAAGTAAATTAACATTCCAGCAAATCTCAGTACTCGACATCTGATCTCTGACACTCTTAATATTAAGGGAGGATTGTATGCTTCATCAAGCTTTTCATCAGCTGTTTTATGTACAGAGCACTAAGGAGTATCGTGTACTGTAGAGAAGTAGCTTATGCTTCTTGAAGCTCGTTCGTGATGGGGCAGCATTCGCGACTCTAAGAATTAAAGAATTGATAATGATGCGATTTGACATTTACAATAGAAATAGGTTCGAGTGCCCTTCTCCTTCTCCCCTCTTGAATCAGATCCGATTCTCAATCAGTTTTACCTCGGCAGTCTTGCTGCCAGAGCCCTCAACCCCTTTAATTGTTTTTCCTGCTACGGTGGTCCCTGCAGGTATAAGGGTAGGGTTAGAATACAAATAAGTCAGCAAAAACTAAATAAGTATCCTAGGATGGTGCTTTTAAACCAGCTAAAGCTATTTACATGCATCCTAGTAGGGGGGTCTGCGTCTACCAGGAAAAACTCTAAAGCCAGCGAAAGCTATATAACTTGTTTTCTAGCTAGCCAGGGGTATCTGCTTCTAGCTTGCTATGGGAATCTGCTTCTAGCTAGGGGGATCTGCTTCTAGCTAGCTAAGCGCAAGTTAAGGAGGTACCACCCGCTTTTACTCCCGAGTTTGTTTTGGCCAGTCCATAGTCGATAGCTAAAATAGAAATCAATGTTGAACCATGGTCAATCCACACCTAGTCAGTCTCTGACGTTTGCAGCGACTTTTACCCGGAGATGGAATCTATCTTTTTGGAATTCTTTTTTATTTTAGCTGGCAACCGGCGACCATGGCCAATTCTGTGGCAACAAAAGTAAACAACGGCAAGTTATGAATGTTGCCTCAGAAGAGGAAGGAGCTGAAACCTCTACAGACAACCCACAGATTGTAACTCCGGCAGTGGTAGGAGGAGATGATTCAACTCCGGTATTGAGAGAAAGTCGCCGTCAGAGAGGAGTTACACCCATATTGCCTTGTTTTGCCATCAGTGAGAACAAGGCAACAAGCAACTATCAGAGAGAAATCAACAAGCTAGCTTCCGGAAACTGGGTGGACGTCATTGCGAAGAGGCCTGGTTGGGCCCATTCGATGTTGAACATGGGAGCGCCGAAGAGGAAGGAACATCCAAAACCAACCCCTTCTCCAGTAATCGACAATGTTGCAACTGCCCTCTCTCCTCTAGTCGTGGAGGAAGACACAAGGAAGAAGTCACCAACTCCACGTCGACTGATCCTGGAGCACAAAGGGTTATCCCAATTAGTCAATGGCAACACACGATGTTTTACATGCAGGCAGCCAAGTGTCCAGCTTACATTCAATACTACGTGTGTTGCCTCTGTCGGTCAGTTGACCCGTGGCAATGAAGAATGCAAGTCATTCGGTGAAGTGAAAGAATCTGATGTGTCCAGGACTACCCTTCCAAAGCTCTCGAACCACACAACAAACCTGGATTTTTCGTGCAACGTTCAGTTTGTGTTAGCTTTCCTTTGGTCTGGAGATGGTGGTGTTGAAGCACAACGGACACTTGCCATGTTGAACTTACCCAACTACACCACAATGCCGAAGAAATCTTTCTCCAACATTGAACTTGCACTAGCTCCACATATCCGCGAAGTTTGTCACAAGGCCATTGTGGACAATTTGGTGGAGGAAGTTCGCAGGAGTAATCATGGAATAAACTTAAATTTCGTGGAATGGGAGGCATCTGTTAGAAAGGGTGAAAGGCCAGAACAAAGAGCGACCATCAATGGTGGAATGGATATGGGATGGAATCAGAAAGGCAGTGGCCGGTCATACAACTCACCATCTGGTCATGCCAGCATTATGGGAGCAAACACTGGGAAACCATGTGTTATTTGTCAGAGATCGAAGTTCTGTCGCAAGTGCCAATACCATCTGAGCAGAGGCTCCGGTGGGATGGAGTCCCAATCATTGTTGATCATGGTTGAGGAATTGTATGACTTGTACAATGTTGCGTGGACAAGATCTGCACCGATGATGACTCCACGATGAAGGCTCATTGCAAATGGAGCAACAAAGATTGGTTGACACGCCACAAACTCGACAACTACCCATACTGGGTACACCAAAAAGGGAAAAGCAAAGACTAGATCAGACGACACCTTCGCTAGCCGGTACCAGAGCCAGTGTTTGTTGCCGATCCTGCTCACCGAAAGAAAACATACCGCAACCATCTGTACGCGATGAAGGGCAAGGGTGTTAAAGCAAGTTTCGACATGACTGGAGGCGACATTCTTCGTTTGACAACTTACTATGTCTACTTCCTGAAAAAGCTTCCGTCCATGCCTAGAGAACAATGGGCTGATGCTGCCAAGGCCGTGCTGGAACACACATTCGACAACCATGAATTCTGTGGAGACTTCTTCTGCTTACGTAAAGAGATGTCAGAAAAGGAAAGGAGTGAGTGTGGGAAAGTGTACAGGAGCAAGACAAAAGACAAGTCTCTCTACGAATCATTGGTAGATCCTTTCAATCAATTTACCATGATGGAACGCCTCGATGAATCAAACCATGACATGACAACTAACGCCAATGAATCGCTCAACAACACAATAGCCTGGCTTGCATCCAAGAACAAAGTCTACGCCGGTTCACTCTCCCTCAAAAACCGGGTTTGCATTGCTGTTGGCATCACTCTGTTGGGTGTGGAGGAGTTCTTCAGTAGACTGTTCCATGCCCTTGGGTTGGAAATGGAGGAAGGAACCACCTATTTCTTGCGGCAACAAGAGGAGTATCGAAAAAAAAACAGCAAGCGAAGGACCATCGAATACAAAAAGAAAAGAAATAGGGAAACTTACTTGAAGCTCAAGGAGTACCAGGAAAAGCTGGAACAAGACCGAAAGGACGGCCGCATGTATTCCTCTGGTATCTCCATTGCCAAGACAAAAAAGAATCCAGCGAAGAAAAGAAAGATTTCGAAGAAAACTGATACTACCGGCAAAGTGTGTGGAAGCTGTGGAGAAGTTGGCCACTCGCGATCCAGTTTTCGCGGATGTGTCATGTGCGAGTTGACACAGTCCCGATGAATGGAGAGGATGCAGAGCCTTCAACTGATGGCCAAACAGAGATAAGCGAGCAAGACATTGCTATTGCAACTCTACATCTTGTAGATTGTATTGGATTTGGCGAAGATTCGGAAGCCGTGACTGAGGAACTGGAAGAGCTAGCCGGTGCGCACGAACAAACAATCGCTACTTCTGAAGAATAGAATTGTAGAGTAACAAATAGTTTGAGCATCTAAGTAATTGGATTATACTGTCAGACTATAGAACACTCTCAAATCTGGCGACACAGTAACTTTTTGCTACGTCGCGAATACTTCTTCCTTGACACGGTATCAACGCACTCCTATTTCATTTTGGAGGAAAGATCTTCTTCGAAACGTCCTCGCTTACGCGATCGCTCTTCAGTGGACAGGAAACCAGTGGCCTTCGCATTGTTGAAGTTTGGGTACACCAACCAAATACGTTGAACAACACAAGATGGCAATGGGGATGCAACTTCAAACTGGAAGATGTTTATTGCGTACCAGAAATAGCAGCACCAGCGCTTGTGAGACTGTGTCAGGCCTTTGAAGTCATGACTGCACACTCTCCCATTCGTTTTCTTCAAGATGTATTTCTTCAAAGAATGGAGGAAATCATTCTTATCCACCAAGCTGAGCGGGGCTTCATTCACACCACACGTCAAGAGACCATGTTCCTCAACGCAGTCACACTTTTTGGGCTTGTCGTCAACTTCATCCTCCGAATGATAATCTTCAACTGGCTCATCATCAACACAAAGGTAGGCATGATTCATTGCGTCAGTGACAAGCTTCTTGATGCTGGGGACCACAACAAAAGATGCATTATGAAACTCATCCCTGTCTGCTCTTGCCACCATCTCACTTGCTGCCTTTTTCCTTACCCCTCCTACCCCCTCAAACTTCTTTACCAACCCCAGCTCTCTTCAACAAAGAGCTCGTGATTTGTGGTGAATCATGGCTCCGACCTCAGTGTACAAATCCTTAGATAGCTAACAGGCGTCGCACCCTCTCAGGAGGCCAGTGTGGCCGGTGAGCAGACTTGACTGTGGGAAATACCCGAGCCTTAGCTCGTGGGTAGTCCTCAAGCACATCTCGTCTGAATCCGTTATTAGACGTTCAGTTTTTTTTTTCACTTGCTGCCTCAGGACAAAGAACCATAAAATTCTCATATGGGTCAGGCTTGAACTTGGTCATGAAAACGATTTCTTTATTGTCCTTGCAATGGCAAACATCCTTCGTACGGAGCCTGGTCCGCCTGATGTCACCTTCCTTCACGACATTTCCCACACGTATAAAGAACCAGCACCTCTCTACCCCGACGCAAGTTAACAGCCATGGCTATTGCGAACGCACACATCCACTGCACGGGTCTCTACGTGATCGGTGGAAGGAACGGCAGCGGCAGCCATATAACTGCTTTGGATCATGGTCGGTTGATAAAAAAAGCTCGATAAAAGGAAGAATAACACGAGATATTTCCGGGTTCCTACCGACTGACGTGCAGACCTGGTGGTACCTCCTTAAGCACTAGCTAAGCACTAGAGGTATCTGCTTCTAGCTAGCTAGCTAATAGGGTTATCTGCTTCTACACTGAAACCTTTCTGCCGAGGTTACACAGCTCCGCTGGCTTAAAAATCAGATTCTAATCGCGTCGCTTCCAAGCGATTTCAGCCTGAGTGCCCGTGTTCTAAACTACGTACATGTACGTATCTACATGAATCATACGGTTGCTACCGAACTGGAGAGCATCTAGACTACTGGTACTATTTAAAATAGTACAGTACTGTACATGTAGATCTAGCTAGAGACTACCCTCGGAAGATTTTCGCTGTTCACTGTCATCTGGACGTCTCACAAGCTTTTTGCCGGGATCCTAACAAAGACATGGTTTGGTGGAGAGCCCACTGAGTAGTAGCCACTCGTGCAGCCATGCAGCCAGCAGTCGTCTGATGTGCAAGGGGAGCGAAAGGGGGGCGCGATTTGGTCTTCTTCGGCAATGGCGACAGCGAGGGTTGACGCTTCGGTATCAAAGGTGCAAACAGGTTGACTTTTCTCTAACTTTTCGGGTTCGCTCCCGTCCACACGTCCACACGTCCACATCACACATCAGCCAAGAAAGTCAAAACTTCTTGTTCTATGCACTCTATTGCTGTTGTCAAACTCATCCATGTTGGTCCAAACGCCAAATCCAAACCCAAAGATTCATCATACATCGCTACTAATCTCACTTGACGCATCAGTTTCTATTTGATTGAATTCTCATCACCGTTCGTCAAGCACGGTCGCCATACTGGTACCACTGGAACGCCTGTTCTCGAACCTTCGTTTCTTAGAGCGAACGCCCATCTTGTAATCCCAGCTCACCTGGCTTCAATCTGGATCGAACGATCTTTTTGGGCCTTCAGAATCTCAATCGAATGATTAAGTCAGCGGGAGCTGCGATACCTCGGCAGAAAGACAGATAGAAGAAGGATGATCATGTTCGAGATTGCACCCATCTTTCAAGCCAGCCCTGGCGAGAACACCCGACTACGTCGTGTGTTGCCGCCCGGTATCATTCATTCCCTCAGTGCAACCTTCTTTATTAAGCTAGCCCTGGCGACAACACCCGACTACGTCGTGTGTTGCCGCCCGCTACTCTATAATTTACCAGCTGCCATTCCCTTATTGTAACTCTAACCTTTACAGCTCCTGCTGGCTTATTGTGCTGTTGTGCTGATTGCACTAACCTTGAATATTAATGATTTATTCCTACCCCTAACTTGTATTGAACCATCAATGTTCAGTTTTGTTGGCTTATGACTATCTCTATCCTTATTCTTTGGCTTCACCGGAATAGGAAATAGGAAATAGCATTTAAGTCAGCGGGAGCTGCGATACCTCGGCAGAAAGACAGATAGAAGAAGGAGGATCATATTCGAGATTGCACCCATCTTTCAAGCTAGCCCTGGCGACAACACCCGACTACGTCGTGTGTTGCCGCCCGGTATCATTCATTCCCTCATTGCAACCTTCTTTTTATTAAGCTAGCCCTGGCGATCGTCGTGTGTTGCCGCCCGCTACTCTATAATTTACCAGCTGCCATTCCCTTATTGTAACTCTAACCTTTACAGCTCCTGCTGGCTTATTGTGCTGTTGTGCTGATTGCACTAACCTTAAATATTAATGATTTATTCCTACCCCTAACTTGTATTGAACCATCAATGTTCAGTTTTGTTGGCTTATGGCTATCTCTATCCTTATACTTTGGCTTCACCGGAATAGGAAATAGGAAATAGGAAATAGGAAATAGCATTAAGACCATTCAATACCGGGGTCACCCATAGCACAAAACCCAAATGGTTGGCATCGAGTATCGCCGGCCGACCTGAGTCCAGTGAGTCAAATGCGATTTGGGCGATTGGGTTGAGTATGCTCCAACGCAAATCGGCACTGTTTGGGTAGCCTCAACTGCCGACCCAAACCCATTTGACTCATTGGACTCAAATTTACTTAAGGAGAAGAATTGCCACATCATCAATGACATCATTCTAACATCACAATACGAGCGTTGAGGTTCTCTTTCGCGAGCAAGCATAGCCTTGCTGCGAGTATGTCAAGCCACCCACCATTTGGGTTTTGTGCTATGGGTGACCCCGGTATTGAATGCTCTAAAGGGGTTGAGAACTCAGGCAGTTTACCTGCCGAGGTAAAGGGGTTGAGAACTCAGGCAGTTTACCTGCCGAGGTCAATCCAAGTCTCAGCCAAGGTGCTGCTTCTCAATTCTATCCAACACCAACACCGCTTTAGAAACACAATACATGTAAACCCAGCTTCACCCAACTCTGGACTATTCCAAGGAAAAGAAATCCATTGATTGGTACCCTATAGAGACTCCCTTGGTGACATGAGATTAGGTACAATCCTGCTTCCCTTCTTTCTGCTCGTTTTGGTGGATGCAACATCAGTGGTGGAATCTTTTTTCGATCGAGGGTTGCAATCTTCTTCCAATGGCACAGAAGAAGAAGGAGGCATGATGATGTTGGGTTCCAACATGCACGACGCCACACTGCCACCGGAAAGCAACACCACTGATGCTCCCGCAGAACCGGAATCGCCTGGATTCACCATTGACGTCTCTGAAACAGGACCTCCTTTGGATACTTCAGCGACTCTTGCCACGGACCCCCCTGCTCCCGAGGCCACTGACGCCCCACAAGCAAGTCCTTCGGCTACCGATGCTCCCGTAGAGTCCCCGTCTCCACAAGTCGACGCAGAAGAACCAACACCAAGCCCCGACTCAGGCACGACAGCAGTGCTGTCCACAACCGGACGTTACTACGCGACAAAAATGGTCTTGTTCCTGGTTTTGGTTGGTTCTTTCTGTTTTTAATTGTGTAATGTTTGGGCTTTTCGAAAAGAGTCGGATGAAACTGATCACGCTGATTTTGTTGTTGTTGGAAAGGGGTGAGCAAGCTACTGGAAGGAGCAGATATTTGGTGTTACTACGTCGTCAATAGAATTTTGCTTTGAATGCTGCAGCAGATGCCCGCGGGTGGCCCAACGAATATCCATGGTAGTGGGGAGGGGCGTCCTTTTTGCTTCTCCCGGTCCGTGAAGGAGACACATTAGAGTGTTGAGAGTTCAACGTACTTTGACGCCTTGGTGATGCAGACATTTTGAGGGTCCTAAACTTCTAAAAGGCCGGGCTACCGGAACTAAAGACCAACACGTAGAAATTTCTATTACTAGCTTTGTGCTCTTTCGTAGGATTGCTAATTGGCGCCCACAAGGGCCTCACCGACCACATCCAATGTACTGGTACCGGGAAGCGCGCCACAACCAACCAAACACTTGTGTCGACAAAGGAGACGGTCAAACGAGACTTTTCTAATCTTTGCTTTCGGTGATAGTCGTATCGTCCTCGCCTTCCTCGTCGTCGTCACTGTCCTCGTCGCTGTCCTCGTCGCTGGCACTGCTACTGTCACTGCTGCCATTACCACCAACTTTAACTTTGAATGGAAGGCCATTCATCAATGGTCTTCTCAGATCAACATGTTGCTTCTTCTTTGCCGCCGAGTTTGCAGCTTCATGTTCAGCATGGACAGTTGAAACCATGGCGAGGACCATGACGGCCAGTAGGGTCAAAGCTAGGATTCTGTTCATGATGTATGTTTCCGTTGGTGCGGGTTGGTAGCTAGCTGTTGTTGGCAAGCTGCAAAGGGACAGTTTGTGAGCCGTGAGGAACCTAACAACTAGATTTGCAACAATCGGAGAAGCAACCGGCGTTGTTTTGCCAGATGCATCGCGGTAGCTACATAGGGGAGGTGGGGTGTACAGCTCTACTAGTTCCGGTACCGGTACAGTCGTACCAGTTCCTAGGTGAGACACAGTTCGATTTCCCAGGTCTAAATGAGGGGATCGCTTGCGTGCGGGATGGTTTCACCAGATGATAGAGAAGAGTAACCATGCACCAATCTTTTCTTGGATCTTGCAAGACACTGCATGAGAACTCCTCCGGCAAATCCATGTTGTTCAGGAGCCTTGTGGCCAACCAGATGAAGTCAAGTCTGTGAGGTAGAAGTAAATACATTGATAGTGAAAAGTGGGTTTAGAGTTTAGAGTAGGGAGGTTATCTAGCTACGGAAGCCAGCGAGAGCCAGGCTTTGGCCTTTTAATGTTCTTGCACAGCCAGCTCCTTTCTTGCTAGCTTGCTGTAGGTTGCTTACCGTGTTGTTTGACAAGTGGCAAGCAGTCGGCAACGACCAGGTGGTTTTAATTCATTCTCACTTTCGTGCTCTCTCAAGTACGTAGTGGTAGTGAGGTCTGAGTTCGATAAACTCCATTTCTGCTCTCGAGCTGTTCAGCAAAGCATCCAAGCATCAAAGCTGAATCCCGGTAGTGCTGACGACCAGCACACCAACTAAGTTCCGTGCTCCTGCATGATCCCACACACAGTACAATTGTCGACTAGCAAGAAGCAGCCTTCCCACCCATCATCAGCACACAAAAATCAGTTGCCTAAATGTATAGTAGTCTCCAATTTAGTATTCTCAAGTTAAACACTCCCAAATTCATCAAATTCACAAACAAACGAATCGAATCAATAATCACACTTCTTGTCTTCTCAGACCATGGGATAGTAGGCCACAAAAGCAAACAGCATGCCCATTTTTGCAGCCAACCGAACTGCAGCACCTGAATCAGGAGCAGGTGCGGGGGCGCTGTCGCCCGCAGGAGCATCAGTGGCAGGAGCATCACCAGCGGGTTCTGTTGCATTGGTCACTGGGTCACTTTCGCCCAATCCAAGCGTCTCTGTTTCATTGCTGGCATCCGTCGCAGTGGCGCCATCCGGAATTGGCTCAAAGGTTGTGGATCGACTGACGGTTGCCACCAGGGGTTCAACGCAAAAACCGGCGTATGGACTGGGATTGTATCCAGCAGCTTCCGCAAGACAAGCATTGGAATAGACACACGATGCTGACGCATACACAGATTCATCAAAGCAAATGTGTGGTTGATATTCCAGTGTGCAGATTACATTGGGATCAGAAGCAGGACAAGAAGCGGGAGTACACTCAGCGGAAACCCATCCAGCCCGATTGGCAAAACACAAGGACAGATAAGGGCATAGGTATGGACCACACAAGACCTCTTCCACCTCAAAGTCACTGCATGTATCAGCTGTGGCATCTGAGACAGGACAGTTGGCGCTCCGACACTGAAGGTTATTGAAACCAACTGCTTGTGCCAAACAAGGATTGGTATAAAAGCAGTCCACACCGTCGCCAGAGTCGCATAGGACCTCATTGACCTCAGTGGTACACACAGTCCCGGAGTCGGGTGCCGGACAACTTGCTGGGGGTGTAGGATCATTCCGGGACACACATCCAGTGGCTCCAGCCGCGTTGGCAATGCATGAATTATCGTAGGAACATCCATTGTCGCAATCTTGAGGATCATATTCTCGAGTGCACATAGAAGTGGCAGGTGGTTGAGGACAGTTGGCACCGATACAACTAAGTTCGTCTTGGCCCGCTGCCACAGCAAGACACATGTTGGAATAATAGCACCCCAAGGGGTAGCAAACGACAGGGTTCTCATCGGTAGTGCAGACCGTGTCAGGGTCGGGCAAATCGCAGCTGACCGACTGACAAACAGCGGGATCCCTGATGTCGTGTCCTGAAGTTGTCACAGCTGCATCGGCTTCACAATAGTTGGTGTAGTAACATTCGTCTAGACAGCGGATTGGATTAAAGTCAAAGTCACATGTGATGCTGCCAGGGAATGTGGGACAAGCATTGACGTTGTTTCCCGGGATATTGACTTGCCGGACACAATCTCCAGATTCTAGATCTTGACCCGATGCTGTGGCAAGACATCCATTGGAATATTGACAAAGGCCCGTTCCGTCCACGAGGCAGATATATGGGTCGAACTCCAAGGTACACGCCACACTGTCAGATGGGGCAGGACAGTTGGCCGCATAGCAGGCGGTGGGAGGAAAGCCAGCAGCCTCAGCTTGGCAATAGCTGTCATACTGACAAGGCAAGTCACCGCAAGTCACAGGATTGCTCTCCGTAGCACATGCAATATTTGGGTTTGGATCGGTACATGCGGCAGGGTAGCAGCGAGAAGGAGTGTACCCACCAGCATTCGCCAAACACATGTTGTCAAATTCCTCTGCACCCAAGCCACATTTGACAGGGTCACCTTCGGGGGCGCAAGCTACAACTTGAAGGTCACGTTCATCAGTGGCCACTGTGTTGCCAATGGCAGAGAGCAAGGTAATCGCTACAACAGCAACCCTCATGGCAATGTTTCTATGAGAAGAGATACGAGATTTGTGGTGTCCAGAAGTCCAGAATGAATGAGGCCCGTCTTGGATCTTTTTTTGAGAAAACCAGCACGAGCGATGACTCAACGGCCAAGGTGCGTTCAGGATGTTTCCAGAAGGTTCTTGTTTTGCAAAGTGTGGGGAGGTTGAGGATCCCCCCACCGGTCCTGCCACCTTTGCTATCACCTCCCACGTTTCCAACAGTTTTGGGGATGACACCGTACTTCAAGTTGGGCAAGACTATGCTGGAGGCATGTATCACAGGACAAGCTCCAAAAGCAAGTGCATCTGGCTACAGTCGGTACCATCGAGCGGCTGAGGTCAGGGCCAGCTAGCTGAATCGATCGAGAAGGAGGGAGGAATGGATGAATGGATACCATGACCTCTTGGTGCTTGTGGCTTTGGTAGATACTGTGCAGTACGAAGCCGGAGAAGATATGCTCTTTGACAAATGAATCTGCCTAAACATGAAATGAAATAGTTCGATGGGCACTGTTGAGACCATCTGAAAGACTTGCCCTCATCATGAACAAGACAGTGGTACTCTTCATCCCGAACAAACTAGCGTACTCCTTCTAATCTGAACCCACAATAAACAGAGGTCGGGGTGGGGCAAGTCTCATGGCCTCGTAAATGTATCTTTCTCGGCTTTCGGCAGGTCAGTTTCGTCTCAACAAGGAAGGCGCGTCGCTCGAAACTCTGGACCGATCTCTCCATAGTGCTGGGCAAGCTGGTCTAGCGGAGTCTCGTGCGGTCCAGCTTCCCTATCCCCGAAGATTTTGCATGCCCTTTTCAATCATTTCCTTGGGATTAAAAACTTCTTTCGGTGTTGATGCAATGAAAGAATCATGACAGACTGTGTAAAATGTCTCTCCGGCCAACTGTGCCAGTGTGCCAGTGTTGGCCAGTGGCCAGGATGTCACAGCGGCTGCCACGAGTCAGCTTGCAGGTTGGCAAGAGCTGACAAGCAGAAAAGAGGAGGGAATCGCAAGGTTGGCAATGGATATCCGTTTGCAACAAAGCATCACCACGAAAAGGAGCTCCTCAACCAACATGTTGGATCCAATGTACAAGCCATAAAGGAAGCATTTATTTGTTCGGGCACACCGTCCAATAGCAGTTGATGGGATTGACACAACGATCTGGGTCTAAGCAACACTACAGGTCTCCTTGTCCGAATTTCCCCTTGGTCTGTATATGTTGCTCCATGCAATGGTTTCCAACAACGTGATTCCCGACCACACCCCCGACGCAACAAAGATCGTGTACAATGAATTTTTGGAGGAGTACGTCGAGTTTGAAAAACACAAACAGCGACGCAGCGATAGAGTGTGGGGAGGGCACACCGGCGTGCTCAAGAAGACGATTGAGTACACCTACCTTGGCGTCGGCGCTGCTTTCGTTCTTTGTATGCGTTTGATGTCACTCAAGCCTGCCTGTGACGTTGATTCTTTTTGGTTCCATCTGCACCATCAATACTGTCGTACAATAATTGAACGACGAGTTTGAGCAGTCCTCCACCGAGGTTGCGAATCTGGTTCGGGACCGTGACAAAGACGCGGCACGGCATATGCTTCAAACGGGCCATGTCATCACAGCTCGGGTACAAGAGAAGTACGTCTTGGCTGAACCCTCTGTTGGTGGATGTGCCGCCGCGTTGTTCCCTGGATTCCTTCGGCGGCGATCGAGGTTGAGAAGGAAACCTGCTTGTCCCCAACAGACCATCGCACCTATGTTTGCAAATTCGTGATGGGAATGATTCAATGGGATGTGCCCCTGACAGCATCAGAATATTACCAGGTATAGTATACTTGAAAGCAATGTAGCTCTTGCTTATAAGTAATCACCACCTTTGCGTGTGCTTGGACATTTGGATGGAGCAGGAACTGTGACATGAAGTCACCATGGCAGTCTTTCAGAAAAAGGGTCATACAGGTACCAGGTACACGAAGGTTTCGCTGGATCCAAGCAACTCGAAGATGTAAATGGTAATCTTTGTCTGGCATCGCATGATATTCTGGTTGTGCTTTGGCTACCTGTTTCCCTTGCTTCAACCCCGAAAACTTGATGGGGTATGCAGTACGGTCTGAAGCTTCATGAACCTGCCCTACTAGCTAGTATTTGGTTTGCTCCCCTGCGAAGACCTTGCCCTCTCGTCTGGTCCTAGAGCTAGCGTGCACTGGTCGCTGGGTGAACACATACATCGGTACTGTACGAATAACGCACTGGCTTATGCAGGGATTTGTTTCCAAAATCCGTGGAAAATTCAAATTGTTCACTTTTTGTCCGAATACATGTAAAATCCTTCTGGTCTGGGTGTGAACACACGCCCAACAACCCAACAAGCTTTTAGTAAGAGCGGATCTTTGGGGTCAAACCCACATACAGTACAGAAATCTCGTAGACTCCAGTACGAGGTCTATTATTAATACGTCAAACTGAAGTTGAGAATCATTCAGGACTTAATGACATAGCTGTCGAGCACGCTTTTCGGCGCTCCTTTTAAGATAATTAAGTCATCCGGCTCCAGCACATTTTAAGGCTGCATGGCGCTTAGATCCAGATGGCCTTGGGAGCCATAAATAAATTGAGAGCGCGCGTTCCTCTACTCCTAAGTACAGAAGCTTTCTGGAAGGATCTTAACCGTTGGGTCATCGCTCGTGGTCTTCTCCGAAGAGTTTCCGAAGCCAAAGAAAGATCCTGACATCCTGACACCTGACACCCTTCATTTGGTTGGAGTTGCGGGAATACCTATTTTCCCGGTTTGGTCAGGCTTCAATTTCTTTCTTTTGAAAGAATGACTTTTTTAAAAATGGAAGATTGACTGAAAATGAAAGAATGACTGAGTGTGGAAGAATGACACAACCTGGAAGGGTCTACATAGTTTTGCGTATAAATCAGTACCACTTGACGGAATCTGGAAGAAGGACATAATCTGGAAGAATGGTGGAATTACAAAGCATGCCTCAAAGTGGCAGTTTGACCAAAAAGGAGGTGCTTCAGAAGCCCATTCCCCGCAACTCCGTTCGTCTCCAACCACCAACAACAGTGCCGCCATTTAGTAATCCTGCCAGGTGCAGTAGAGGTCGCAGTAACAACCACAACACCAAACTAACTGAATATCATACCATAGCAAAACCATCTTATTTACTGCATTCCTCTCACCAGAAAAAGATACCATGAGGCTTGCTATTGTAGCCATTACCACCTTGCTCGCTGCCATTGGCAACACGGTGGCAACTGATGAACGTGACCTCCAAGTTGTGGCTTGCACAGCTGATTTTAACCCTGTCAAATGTGGCTTGAATGGCGATCAATTTGATAACCAGTGTTTGGCGAATGCTGGTGGGTACACTCCTTCTCGCTGCTACCCTGCCACCTGTACCGATCCCGACCCAAACACTGCGTGCACTTTTGAGAGCAATCCTGTGGTTTGTGGTGGTGACTTAGCTTGTTCGTACGGCAATTATTGTCAAGCTCAGGCTGCCGGCTTTCCACCTACGGCCTGTTTTGCGGCCAACTGTCCTGCCCCGTCTGGAACTGTTGCCTGTACCTTGGAGTATGATCCCTTTATCTGCCTTGTCGAAGGTACGGGCCTTTGTCAGTATTCCAATGGCTGTCTTGCCACAGCATCGGGTCAAAATCTAGAATCTGGAAATTGTGTCCGACAAAACGACGTTCCCGGCGGAAACCCAAGCTCTTGTCCCTCATTTCCTGGCAGTGTCACATGCGAGTTTGACTTTGACCCATACCGCTGTTTGGGTGAATGTTATTACTCCAACTTTTGCGAAGCCAATGATGCGATTACTACAGCTGGAATGGACATCAATGATCCCGCTGTTTGTCAGTCGGCCAACTGTGCTTTGCCAGATCCCAACACTGCGTGCACTACCGATCAGAACCCTGTCATTTGCTATCCTGATGGCTGCTATTATTCCAACAGTTGTCTTGCCACAGCAGCGGGTCACCAGGAATCCAGTTGTGTGAGTGCCAACTGTCCTCAACCACCTGCCACTTCTATGTGCACTCGAGAATATGATCCTCAAGATTGCGACAATGGATGTTCCTACGATAATTCATGCATTGCCAACGCGGCTGGAGCCACTGGATGTGTGTCCCGGAATGATCCTACACCCCCAGCAAGTTGTCCGGCATCTGACTCCGGGACTGTGTGTACCGCCGAGGTCAACGAGGTCCTGTGCGACTCTGGCGACGGTGTGGACTGCTTTTATTCCAATCCTTGTTTGGCACTAGCAGCTGGATTCAATAACCTGCAATGCAGAAGCCCCAACTGTCCTAAATCAGATGCTACAGCTGAAACGTGCAGTGGCTTTGGTGTTGAAGAGGTCTTGTGTGGTCCCTACCAATGCCCTCATCTGTCCTGGTGTTTTGCCAATCGGGCTGGATGGGTCTCTGCAGAGTGTACTCCCGCTAATTGTCCTGCTTCTGATCCCAATGTAATCTGTACACTGGAATATTCTCCACACGTTTGCTTTGATGCATCTGTGTATGCGTCAGCATCCTGTGTTTATTCCAATGGCTGTCTTGCGCAAGCTGCTGGATACAATACCAGTCCCTATGCGGGTGTTTGCGTCGAACCCCTGGTTACCGTAACTCGTTCTGCTTCCTTTACGCTAACTCCGGACGGCGCCACGGCAACGGACGCCACCAATGAAACAGAGTCGCTTGGTGAAAGCGCCCCAGAGACCAATGCCACTGATGCTCCTGCCGGTGATGGTACCACTGATGCTCCTGCCGGCGATGGTACCACTGCTCCTGCTGACGGCAGTACCACTGCTCCTGATTCAGGTGCTGCAGTTTGGTTGGCTGGAAAAATGGGCATGCTGTTTGCTTTTGTGGCCTACTATCTCATGGTCTGAGAATTCGAAAACTGACTGTTTATTGATTCATTTGTTTGTAAAAGTGATGAGTTTGGGAGAGTTTAGTTGAATGAAGGCAATGTAGCTGTTTAATTGATTAGTAGCAATTGCTCACCTCTGCCCTTTCCGTCCTTCGATAGTTGGCTCATGAATGAATCCAATGAGGGAGCTGTAGCCACCATGACAGTCTTGCTTTGAGAGCAAGTATGGCCGATTACACGAACAAGTATTTGTACCACTTCGTACTTCCAGTAGATGATTTGCAGTATCCCCTTCTTTGTTCGGGGCTCCGTACCGTACGGTGGACCTGCTATGGCGCACGGCCTGCCTATTATCGCATGTGCTACCGGTATAGCTTGTTGCACACTAAATGGGGGCAGACATGAACCCGGCGCTACCACCGGTAGCCAGTATCTCCCGATACCTTGGCTGCCCTCCCGTGCAGTGCATTCTGCTCGACATGGCTGATTGAATGTTAGCCTGTTGAGTTCCGGAGTAGACCCAGAACCTGGTCTTAGGTAAACGTGGCAGGATCATCCGACAACTTAACGACCGTTCCTGCATTTTCCCGCTACCTAGCTACCGGTAGATAGCTACGATATGCTGCTTCTTGCATCGATGTTGGGCTGAGCTGCTTCGGCTCCGGTACGGCCTTGGAACACCACCCTTGCAATGTATCATAGCTTCACTGGCTACTAGTTCACATGGTCGAGATGATGCTCACTGGTTACTAGAGTCATACCGGATGTTCCACTGACATTTTTTGCTGCAATTTTCCACATACTAGTAGTATTGGTCGCCGATGACCTTAATCCACGAATTGGTTTACAAGTAGTACAGACATTTGGCAGTGGTACTTATTGCATGAATGCCTCCATGCCTGAATCGAATTCTCGAGGGTCAACGCACGGTCGCCAAAAGAATGTGACATCAGAATTCACTCTCAATCAACCGACAAACCGACACGCAAGGTGCTTGCTTGATCGAACGATTGATTACCTCGCATCAAGGCGGTGGTGCATCATTGAGTTATCTGGATAATCTACACCAGTAACAACCAGCTCAAACGACAAGAGCCATCTCACTTTCTCTCTTACAAACCTATTCTAAACTTTGTCTGCATGATACCCTCGAGCACTTCAATGCCTGTTCGGTTTATCCGAGCCATGGCGGTGTTTCTCTTGCTACAGCAGTCGGTTGTGCGTGTCAATGCCGAGACGACGACGACAACACCAACGGCGACCAACAAACCTCCTCGAACAAGATTGCAAGGACGATCTCCCAAGAACAATCCACAACAGCAACCACAACAGCAACGACACTTTCAACACCGAACTCCCAAAACTCCTCCTACGACAGCCAAGAAGAAGACGAAGCAGTCATCACCCATGCAGGGAGTGTCCATGCGAGGCGCTCACGATGGAGAACACTTTAGTTTCCAAACCGCCGATCCCGAATTTAAGTGCTTTGAATCCAATACAGAATTACGAGATGCCGTCGTGCGGTACGAATCCTACAAAGTCTTTGACGAAGCATTGGCAACGACCTATGGATGGCCCATTGGCAATTGGTGTGTGTCGCACATTACCGACTTTTCCAACATTTTTCAACACAAACGCACATTCAACGATCCCCTTTCGGGATGGGATACCTCGCGAGCGACGTCCATGCGGAACATGTTTCAAGATGCCCAACAATTCGATCAACCCCTGGGGCATTTCAATACTTCCGCCGTCGTAGATATGAGCAACATGTTTGAAGCGGCGGTGCGATTTTTAGGAGATGGATTGGAGGAATGGAATACGCAAGCGTGTCAATCCATGGACTTTATGTTTATGCACGCGCTCAATTTTCAACAACCCGATATCCGTCATTGGCGGGTCGATAATGTCGTGTCCATGAAGGGCATGTTCAAGGATGCACGGTCCTTTTCGAGAGACCAGCATTTGCAACTCTTGAGTCAATGGTCCTTTCATCCCATGGTTGACATGACACAAATGGATGCATGGTGGTTGGATGCTTCCAGTAGTACCTATGGGAGGGATGAAGTCATTCAAATAATGACCAGCACGGCGGCCACCAATGCGTTTGTGGGGGGTACGGATACAACAGCAGCAACTAGTGCTATTGCTGGGAGCAGTGGCAGGGGCACTTCTAGCTATCTGAGACGGTAGGTAGCTGGCTCAGTTCGTGATGAATGGGGTACATGAGTGAGACATCCAGCGGGAACCTTGGGGGGTGCTTTGCTAGCCAGAAAAGGGTTTTGACTCACAAAATTGTAGAACAGCCAAGTAAATTGCCAGTGCTGTACGTAGCAGCTGGAATGGGGGGAACAAAGCAAAACGCACACTCTAGCACTCAGCCATAATCTTGTAATTGGGAAATTATCATACAATAACGTTAGCCGTCGCCAGCAACAGAAACTTAGCATGACGCACTTTGTGCTTTTTGAGATCCCTCGATGCCGCGTGCAGGGTGAGCGATTTTCTGTTCATGACAACGTACCGGCACCATGGCGGTACCTCTTGCAAGCAGTCAACAGTCAAGAAGCAGGATCCAGCGTCTAATAGAGTGCAGATGAAGCTGCGGTGCAGTACCAGGTACCGTACCGCTACAGCTACGTACCTCCTGTGCCCGAATAAAGGTCGTGGATCTTGAGCGAATGTGCGGTGGCAAGTGGAAGCTTGGGCTTTGCCATCATTCGCACTCCATAAATCAGTTCGCCTGCTCATCCCCGATGGTGCAATGACAGGGCCTTTTGGGTGCGGCTGTCACTCAATCAATAATAAGAAGATCACACCCGGAATGAAGTTTTTAAATCCTGAAGTCCTCCGAAAATGTTCCAGCCGCGCGATTACATACCGTTACATGCACTGGTACCTGGTGCCTTCACGAGCCACCATTACAATCCTCCGACCTCCGACTGAACAAGAAAGTCTCTACATGTACTTAATAGCTACTTGCAGCTACTATGCAAGGGTACCAGTACCGGTACCGCAAATAAAGTGAGGTTCCCAGTGCATTATTTCACCAGAGCAAACCAAGAAGAGAACCTGGGACCAGCATCAAAACCAACCGACAGGCCAACCCAACCATGACATGTATCACTTTCAATCTGCCGGATATCGTATTCTCCAAGGACTTTGTGGAGCGCACATACACCATTCTTAACATCAAAGCCTGGATCGCCTTGTACTGCCTGCTCTACACCCTTCCATGGATTCTCTGGATGGTCATTGCCGCCATTGTGGGAACAGGTCCTTTTCCCTGGTGGGTTGCTTTCATTCTATTTAGTCAATGCTGTTCCCTCTATTGGGGCGTCTTGTCTCGTTGGACGGTTCGATTCACCGTCCGTGCCGACCGCACCGTCGCGCACTACAATATCTTTGGACTAGCCATCTAGCCATTCTTGGTCAAGATGCGATCTCGTATGACAAGTTCGAATCCATTTCCTACGACGAGAAATCTCGAAGGGTGGTTTATGCCAGGACCCCGCAGTATGTTGAGGAAGTCAAGGAACGGGTGCCGTCGTGCTTTCGTGGATTTGTCTGTGACAAGGAACGCTACCATGTCAATGAACTGGACGTGTTTCTAAAAGATCATGGAATGAAGGAGGACTCCACAGAATCGGCTTGAGAGAAAAGAATGGTGAACATACATGAGTAGCTAGTTTGTGTGAAGAAGTGTTGTTTTACTGGATTGCTTATTCCGTTGCCAAACGAAAACACAATTGAAGTGGCTTCGCTCCGTATCGGTAGATAACTTCCCTATGCATACTCTAAAACCCATCATTAGTGGTAGCAATTCGTCAGCCGGTGTTGAGGACGTACGTCGGAAACTAGAATCATATGACGCCACGAGGATGACATGTTTTGGCCAGTACCAGAATGCTGAAAGCTACTACTGGTATCAAGCAAAAACCACACTTTTGATTCTTGCCTGTAGCCATACCGGTACCACACAGCATTCTTACTGCGAAGGGCATCAAACATGGTGTACAGGATGGGGGCATGAACTTGGAGGCATCATCCAACCACAGTACATACTTGTACTGTATCCCAAATCATACAACACATCATTCCAGATCCTGACAGCACACGTTGCAGAACCACCTGAATTCTGGGACAAAAGCTTTGGGACGAGGACCCCAAGCTCCTTCAGCATAGTTCAAGTTGCAGAGCCTCACATTCATGCCCTCGAGCTTGTTCCTAGGGATTTCTTCCCATGTAAATTCGCTTTCAAGCGCAGCAAGATATCTGACCTGTGGGCAGGCTTTCTCACAGGGAGAGCACTTCAGGAAGATAATCTACTACGTACCCACTCTAAACCCCCATCTCACTTCCCACAGCCTTCCCACTATCTTCTAGCAAGCTAGCCACAGCCGTAGATATCGGTACCTAATCAATCGCAACGATGCAATCACCAATGCGCCGGCTCGCGAAATGATGTTAGGGATGAGGCTAATCGCCTGGGCTGAGCCAATGACGGCCAAAATTTTGCTGTTTTCTTTCTTTCTTTCTTCTAATCATTCCTCTCTCGGGGAGGAGACCTAAGAGCGCTTCTTTTAGATGTGCAGCACCCATGACAGAATCGTTGAAAGATGAAGGGGAATGGAAGGAAGAGTTCAAGGAGGTCCTTGATAGCCTCGAGAGCGGTGGTGACTTTTGCGTCGCAAAGAGCGTGACGCCGCCATGTCTGCATCCCAAGATCAGGCTAGATGGAATGGCTGTTGCTGATAAGGACGATGAGAGCAACGAAGATGAGCGACTGGCGTTTCCGCTGACCCAATCACAAGCAAAGCAAATCAAAGCTTTTGCTGAAAAGGCTCCATTTGGGAAGGGCATGCAAACTGTGGTGGATGAAGAAGTGCGGAAAGCATGGCAAGTTGACAGTTCCAAGGTTATCTTTGACGACCAAGATGAGTGGAACGACTTCTTAGAAAGCGTGGTACAAGATTGTGCAGGCTGTCTTGGAATAAAACCAGATGTCAGGGCCTCTGTGGAAGCCAATCTTTACAAGCTGCTGCTCTATGAGCCGGGAGGGCACTTCAAGAAGCACAAGGACACCGAGAAGGAGCCAGGAATGTTTGGGACCCTTGTCATTCAGCTTCCTGCAAAGTACACAGGTGGTGCCTTGCTGATTGAGCATTGCGGTGACAAGAAGAAGATTGACTTTTCTTCCAAGAGTCAGGATGTTTTCTTTGTCACCGCCTTCTTTGCAGATTGTGAACACGAGCTTCAGGAAGTGACAAGTGGTTGGCGACTGTGTCTAGTGTACAATCTTGTCATGAAGTCACAAGGTGGGCAATCCTCAGTTGCCCTTCCTTGCGCGGAGGAACTTACTGCCCACGCATCAACGCTCCGGAACCTCGCTCGGCAGTGGAATCATGAGGACTCTGGAATCAGCCAAGATGTGCTAGGCTATGTGTTGGAGCACCAATACACCGAGACCAATCTGCGTTTTGCAAATCTTAAGGGTCGCGACAGAGCGGTGGTGGATACCCTGAGAAACGCACGAGACTCCAATGGCAGGCCCCTGTTTGTTGTTTGTTTGCTCTTGCTGCAAAAGTGGGAATCTGGATCTGCTGAGGATGACGGAGATAATTACTACTATCATCGACGCGACCGCGACAATGCGACCTATACCATGGAAGAAGTTCATGAGACTACTACCTCTACATGCTTGTGGATTGGACCAAATGACGAAGAGATGGACGAGTTCAACCTGGATTTTGATCTACAAGAGGCTCTTCTGGCGGATGAAAGTTTGGAAGATCTATTTGGTGAAGACCCTGACAGGGAAGAAGCCGAAGGATTCACGGGGAATGCAGGCCCTACCCTTGAGTACTGGTACTACCGTGGTGCTGTCGCCTTTTGGCCCAACTCAAAGAACCTAGACGTCTCCACTAAGGCTGGTCTTCCATTCTTGGCCTCCTCTATGTCCTCCGTGGAGTCATCTCTTGTTCCTGCCTTTGCGGCGTCTGTGGTTTCCCTGCTCGAACAGAAGAAAGGATCAATCGACGGCGATATATTGACAGCTCTTCTTGCAGCTAAGGATGTCAACCTGATGCAGCGAGCGTTTGAAACAATAGCTTGGATCAAGGATAAGGCTCTTGCCACAGAGATGGTGGAAGCTATGAAAACCTTCCAAGACAGCAACTTAAACAGCACCGCATTGGCAGTTTTGGAAAGAGCATCATCCTTCAAGAGCTCATCTACTCGAGCCCAGGGAATCGACACCGCGATAGTTTTTCTAGGGCTTTTGGCCCCAAACAGCCTAGAGCCGTTGATTGGTGAAGCCCGAGAGACAATCATCCGAGGGGCTATGTCTGACTTGCAGAGCTTCCTGACATCAACCAAACAATGCAAAACTTTGGCACCCCTTGCATTCCATTCTCCATCTTTGGGTACTTTCGTCGACGCCATTATCAACAACGCCAATGCAACCAATGCAGCCATAGCTAGCTCCGTCCTGGCCGAATTGATGAACATGGATGACTTTGCAACCAATGCGGAAGTGTTGAGGCTTGCTAAGCATCGCTCTGCCCAACTTGTTGAGGCCACGAAATCAGGCATGCCCGCGTTCACCTGGAGGCAGCCGAATGCCAGAATTACTGGAAGCAGTTCATCGGCTACCCCCGCAGTGTTATCATTCTTGCAGAGCGACGCAGAATCACAGACTTTTTATGGCTTTGACGGCATAGATCATGCTCGAAGGTTTTCGTTCAAGTACTTTGGCAATGGAAGGGAGTCCGGGTACAGTGCAAGTGCTATCCCTGGTGGCCGTGGCAGAGACGCTTATGTGACTATTACCAAGACAAGTCACATGTATGATACGATCACAAAAAAGTACAAGGCCCAAAAGATGGAACTAGAGAAAATACTGTCTGGTTTTGGCTTTGACGCGCCTGTTCCTACTGGTAGGAGGCGCTCTGCCGAAGCATTGGCGGCCGCAGAGGCCGCTCCCAAGAAGTCTAAGACGAGTGGCGGTGGTGGGCCCGATGATCCGGTTGAACTCTAACATTTCAGCACTACCTCTGCCTGGGATGTGGCACCTGCCCCAGAGCACCTATATCACCAACAACTACTAGTATGTAGCCTAAAGTACATGTAGAGATGCTACAGAAATCTATTAACTCTCTTGACGCTAGCTAGAATCCGAAACGGAGCTGACCACTCAGCAGAAGTGATAGCGCCACTGGCTTATGCCGATATGCACTGAAGCTCTACATGTACACCCTGTCTGTAGCTTTGAATTTTCCTGGACGCGTGATGGACCATCTTTGGCTAGACGTCTCGACTGGAAAGAATCGAAAAAGTACAAACCGAACGTGCTGGCGGCAAAGACGCTGATCGTAAAGGTTTTGACGGAGAGATTGAATGAACACTTATTGTACTGTCCATTTGATTACTATGTTCAGGTTTAGTCTCTGGCTGCTCTATCCGTCGCAACTCTTTGCAGGCAGACTCCCAGGAATGCATGAATAGAAAATGGGGCGGTTGCCAGTGGTTAAACTGGCCAGGATATTGTACAGGTACCATTGTGTGTACGAAATGTTGTGTGTTGGCAGAGAAAGATTTCATTTGTTGGTGCAAATACCTGCAACACATTTGGCTTGGAGTGCATCCTTCGATGTAGCATTGTTGGCAGCAGACGCTTCCTGTTCCATGACGTTAACCTCGACTGCCCCTGTGTCATTCTGGATGCCATTACGACTCTTGTGAATGCGGATTGGGCGCAAGAGGGCAGCGTTGCCTCTCATGTATGAAGCGGTACTGGAGGATGGTGTCGCTGCCGTGACAACTTCGGTGACCTGATGATGATGCTGCTTGGGATTAAAGATCTCTTGTGTGTTGATCGTGTCCAAGGATCGTCCCTGCCGTGCCCATTGTTGCGTCCAGGATTTCCACAAGGTGTCTTGTCGGACCGTACCAACCTGAAAAGCTGGAACTTTGTGAAACATGCGTTCCATCTGAGCAATGTTATCGAGCTTCCACGAACTCAGGTCCTTGGAAAAGGATGTGGCATGGAGAAACATATAAGAGGTATCCCGGAATTGCTGTGTGTTCCATGACGATAGATCCTGATCAAAGGCATGAGCATCGGCAAACATGCGACTGACATCCACCACTTGTGTGGTATCCCATTGATTCAAGGGTTGATTGTAAGCGGTAGCTTTCCAAAACAGTCCCATCATGTTGGTCACCCGAGCTGTATTCCATTGATTCAAGTTGGCATTGAACTTTTGCGCCCCAAAGAACATGCGTTCCATCGTTTGAACGTTTGCCGTATTCCACTGTTCCAGGCCACGTCCTTCCCAATGGGGACACTGCCAGAACATTAGTGCCATGCTAGTGGCTCGAGAGACATCCCAACCACTCAAATCTTCGTCCGCGGCCAACGGGTGGTTGGAAAAGACTTGCGAAAAGTCGTCCAATAGCGACACATTCCACTGCGACATAGGCCATCCGTAGGTCGATGCCAGGTCGACATTGTAATGCGTGTGGGACGAGTACTGTTTCACGGCTTGTCGTAATTCGTCTGTCGTTTCAAATGCCTTGCGATGGGTACAGGGACCACAGTAGTCTTGTTCTGTCGTGTGATGATTGTCGGGTTTGCGCAGCACGCTATTTTGGCGGATGCAGAGTGTCATGAACTCTCTCCCATTGAAATGGCACATTTGAACTCGTCGATTGCCACAGGGAAATTCATCGCACTGCAGAGTGGTACTAGCTCGCGCCAACGACGGCAGCCACAGCCATGTGAGACACGCTGCTACTCTCAACCAACGGCGACTGCTCGTTGTAGGCATTGTTAGGCGGCTCACATGCCTCATCTTGTGCATACTACAGGTGGCAGGTAACAAACTTCCAAGGGAGTGATTGCAATAAAACCTGGTGGACTGGTTGCTGGGGTCCCTTGAGACTTGCAATGTTGGGAATTTGTGAGATGCTCTGAGAGTTGCTTTCTTCCAAGCCATGATTGAATCCCGATTTATACTCTTGTTTCTATGGTAAAAATTTACTGTGACTGAGCCCAGCTGCATTATGCCCCTGATTTATGGGTGGGATAGGGCTTTTCAGTAGGAAGACTACGTAGGTGTACGGAGCATCTGGTGAAAAACGTAGGGCCTGCGAGTTGGGTGACCGTTTGGTCGTCATTGTTCTGGTCAGCCAGAAGCCACAACGGCAGAAGGGTGAAAGGCTCCTCGTGAGTGAAAACGAGCTACGCCGGTACTGCAGCCAGTACATGTGGCGCTTACTTCAGTGAAAGCGGAAGCTTGACAAGGTTCTCCTGGGACTTGTAGCGCTGCAGCAATGCTGCTTCAATGCTCGTGAATCGAAGGCGGCCGGCAGGCATCTAGTAGACCTGCCTCGTCTTCACTTGCCCTCCAGCTCCGTGGACACATACTAGGCTGGCTGGAGCCGTGTTGGAAAGTTGGGAGGTACTACAGTAGTCTATTACATGTATGCATATTGCTGATTACATCTTGTACAGAAACACAGAGGCTGTGTAGATGTGGCGTTTTCACCTGTGCTTTCATCGACATCCTCCTGTGCAACCACACTCCAACCTGGGACCAACCTTTTCTCAAGAGGACATGACCCAGTACCAGTACTGCCAATGGATCACTCTGTCCCTTCTTGAAGGCCAACTACTAGTAGCCATCGGGTAGCTGCCCTGAGCACCATTTCACTTATTTGCTCCTATCAACTCACACCCTCACACCTGTCTTTCATCCTTGGCTCACAGCACTGACTGGGAGGGCCGCACTACGAGCCAAGCTTCTCTGTCAACTAAGGAGATGAGCCATAGAGTAGTGCAGTAGTATCTTATTCTAACCTAGAAATTCCTAGGTGCTGGGTGGCTAGGGTGGGTCCTGCTGCCACAGCATCCCGTGTTCCCCAACCCTCACAGCACCGGTGGAGATGTTGTTTTAACAAAACTGTATATGACCGGTATGTAGAATAAAGCCAATAGCCAATGGTTTAGGTGCCGCTGTGCGCCAGGACAGCCAACATTGTTCGTGAATCACGGGAATCAAATGGACTGGCTCTAGGCCGTAAAACCAAATGAAGAAATGAGTGTTTGTATTGCTGTTTCACGCTGAGTGCCCTGACGCAACAAGGTACATGTAGCTCCAACTAGCTAGCTCCATCAGCGGTTGCCAAAACACCATAAAAATAAAGATGCACTGGCCACAAGTGCAGACAAATCTGCCACTGAGTAGGCAAGCAAGCTGGTAGCAAGGTACGAGTACTAGTACACGTAGTGTGCTAGCATCTTTGTATCGCGCAAAAGGTCGGCGTTACCTCTCGAAGAGCGTGATGGACTTGCTGCCGCATTTGTGCAGGGAACAATGAAGTGAATGGTTGCCTCTCGGCTAAGCCCTCCTACCTACCGGTCCATCCAAGACCACCAGCGGCCCTCACTACGTACTCGGAGTTGCTTGACTCGGGAGCCACTTGCTCTTCTCGGCTCACTATAATAAACGCCATTGTCACATACTCTAATACCTGCTGGCTGCGCGGTGACTGGCTGGCCGATAGAGGTGATCATTCTGATGGCGGCTGGGTGACCGGTTTAATTGTAACGAGCAGGTTCGGTCTTGGCAAGTCTGTTTGTACTACAAGTCTAGCTGGAGTAGGTTGCTTCCGCTTTTGGCAGACAGCGTTTTGCGGTCCCCTTCTTTTACCATTGAACCTGGAGAGGTACATGTATATATTCCATTCCTCCGACGAAAACTTACTGGTGGTATTTCCAAGTAGCAAGGCTATCCCTCGGACACACCGTCGGTATGCTTCTTAGTTTTTCTGGCATGTATAAAATCCCCGGCAAAGGAATTTTTCCCTTTCATCGTTCTGCGCCTGGTAATCAGCAGTGCAGCTACTACTATAGCTAGCTAGTGAACTCTGCTCCTACTAGTATCATAGTTGTTTCTCTACTAAGAACTACTACTGGTTGGTTGGTTGGCTAAGGCTAAATTGAGTTGTTGATGTGGAAGGTTTCCGGAGATGATTGGTGTTACTAAGGAAAAGGAAGAGCCAAGCAAAGGAACCACCCGGGAAGAGATTGTTCAGTTCATCTTGACTGGCCATGGTGCGTGTTGTCTCTGTTACGACAAGAGTTGCATTTCTCGTCGGTTGGTTCATGGCGTCATTGCTGTGATGACCGTTTCATTGGAATGTTCTACCAGTATGATTGATAGATGAAGCAAAGTGCCCAAGATGATTGCCTAAACCTAATGTGCTCAATCGGATCGTTTGGTGGAGTCCTTGGATGGAGGTGCAAGAAGCAAGAAGAGAGGAGCTACCAGAGATTGATTCGTGCACAGATGCCAGGTTGTTTTGTGTTGTTTTTGTGGCTGTCGCCTTCACCTTATCGATTCTTGACGACCACCATGGAGCTCATGACAACTGTCATGGCCGCCATGACATGGGTGGCGCTGACACTGGCAATCTCCAAGTGTCGACCGGTCCATCGGATGGCTCGTGGCACCATGTCGTCGGGCACCATCAGGAGCAGACTGGTTACCACTGGCTTGATGAGTCTGGGCGGTGTGACATGGGCATGTCGGGCCTGAAATTGAGTCCTTCGTCCTCGATTGATCCCTTTCTCATTCGAAACGGAAGAGCTATGAGTGGCGCGATGGAAGGAAGAGGACGATGCACTTCTACTGCTGCTACTGGAACTAGAAGAGTCGTAGTTTCGCATGGACTCTTCGGTCGCCATGTTCCGATGAGTGGGTGCCACCACGGCCCACACAAAGCTCAGGGATGCCAGCAACAGCACCAACAAGGGAATACCAACACGCTTTCTCATTGTCTTCTTTTGTGGATGCAACAAAGCTTCTGAGATGGGGTTTGATTCTTTCTCTCGCCGAGAATTCTTTGGCCACCGGTTGCGATTGCTATGGTATCTGAGTCAGGGTACGTGGTGCAAGATTGGTTCCTGCAACTTTGGGGGGTTTGATTTTGTGGATGCCAAGATGGCTTCCTGGCTGTTCCGTTCGGTACACTACTAGCTAGTACCGGTACGCTCAGAAACGCGTTGTGTGCAAGGCATCTGAAGAGTTAACCAATCAGGGAACATCATCTGTTTTCAACAGGAGTATGGGGCAACTATAGGATTTAGATACACAACATGGCACTGCCATCCTTTAAATAGCATGGCAGTTATGTGCAGTTACGTTTTGTGCAGTTACGTTCTGTGCAGTTACGTTTTACTATTGAAATTAGTGTACTAAAGTTACTTGCAGTTACCACTTGTTACGCAATATTACGCGTATCTACGCTCAAACATGCATTCCGAAACAAACTGTATGGAAATCCATAAGTTGCCCCATACCCCAGGCAATGTATAGTACAGCGTAGTACCGAGCGACGACAACTATGGTGCGAACTCTTCCACGGAGCGAACGGCCACCACACCTCTACCACTAATACAACAAGAGGCTGCTTCTCTACAACTGCCTTGGGTGATGGACTGACTACCAGCATGAATTGTGCTCTTTTTGTGGCCATCAAGTCGACAATACCCCTTGAAACTTTGAGTTGGGTGCTCCAGTCTTCATCCAAAGCCACCCATTTATTTACATGGCTCTACAGTGTTGATAGAGTGCTGATAGTGATGGTTCTAGCATCTTTCCCATGGAGAAATTCATACCAGAATGACAACAAAATGGAATCCAAGCCTGATTTTTCCTTGATGCTCCATAGGAAACCTTGGAGATAGCAAATCCTTTTTGAGGGGTGGCTCTGTGAGTGTGTTGGGGAGCTAGTTCTGGAAAAGGATTTGCTATCTCCAAGTATTGGTAAAGCTAATGGCCATTTGGTCAACACTGTTGCCATGGTGGTAAACTTCAATTTTATTTCTTCAATATTATCTTTCTAGGAAGTAGTCATTGCTATTCTGAAATCGTGAAATAACCCTTTTGGTTAGAAATGATCGCTTATGATTTGGTTTGGCCAAAACTAGAATCCATTTTGACACCTGTCAGGGGTGAAAAACGTCAGCCCGTACTTTGTTGTTGATAGTGACCAGTGACCAGACCCTCAAGAAGGTTTAGGAGTGCTTTGGAAATCGGGAATGGGATCATTGCAGCATAAAAGACTAGATTACTAGATACAGCCTTGTGGCTCCAAATCCGGATCCACAAACAGCAAGAAAAATACGGGGTCTGGGGGTCTACGGAAGCGGTGGAGGGCCTGGCATTGGCAGCTCACAGGTGAAGTTATCTACAGCAAGAAATATGATGCCTGTGGGTTACCGGCACTAGTAGTAGTACCGGTACCGGTATGCAGCCAGCCCGCACTACTGAATGCTTCACGGTACCGATACGGCAAAATGGTTTGCAGTGATCATGACAAGATGGCAGAGGAGCCATTTTGAAAGAAACTATAGGCTCATGTGTGCAGTGTCGAACTGTACTAGTATTCAACAGTGGTGAAAAAGTAAGTGTTTTCAAAGGTGTTGACTGAATGAAGTAAAATATCCACATGGAAGTGCCGGCTTCCAATGGCCGCAATTGACTCGGGCACTGTTCAGGAATTCTCCGCTCCACCTTGGCTTTTAGGATTATAGGCCCACAATTTGGCTTTCTGACCTGCTTTCAGTATCTCCCTCCTTACCCGCTCACCATTCATTCAGTTAGACCATGGCCACCCGGAGCGGCCATCAGGAAAACGGTGCTTCCGCCCGCCCTATGTCCAGTTTGCATAACAAATACATGAAAGAATATCCCCAGGAGTGTTATGATGGAAGTGAGTACAACAGGGCAGATCAAAAGAGAATTCATCGCGTGCCAGGGAGCAGATTTGGTACTAACTGTTCTGTATGTTCTTTCATTGCTTGCCTGCTACCTGACGCTCCTGTCTGAACCAAGTGCTCCGGTTGGGGAATGAAGTGCCTGACTTTTGCGCAGAGACTACGCAAGGACCGATGACATTTCACAAGTGGAAGGAGGGGAAATGGGCTATTCTATGTTCACACCCCGCTGACTTTACACCCACCTGTACAACTGAACTCGGAAGTTTGGCATCCAAACATGCTGAGCTCACCAGAATGGGTTGCAGAGTTGCTGCCTTGTCGGTGGATCCTTTGGAATCGCACAAGGAATGGATCAAAGATATCGTGGCTTATCGCGCCCTTACCCATGATGAAAAAGTTACTGTGGACTTCCCCATCATATCGGATTGCAATCTGGACATCTCGACTTCCTATGGAATGCTGGATCAATGGAGCTGTCCCTGGGATAGAGACATGCCAAAAAAGCCGCTGACTATTCGGTACGTGCGTCTTGTCTTTCTTTCGATGATGGGCCGACGTCTTTGCATGGCAAGCCACAAAACACACAAAGAGATAGCCCCATTCTCATGCTTTCTTCCCTTCCCTTCTCTTGTATGCTACTGTACTGCTGCAGGGCTGTGTTCATCATCAATCCAGAAAACAAGCTCATGCTAACTTTGAACTATCCTGCATGTGTGGGAAGGAACATGGACGAGGTTGTTCGTTGTGTCCGGGCGTTGCAGCTGTCCTACAACAAATCCGTGGCTACTCCCGCGGACTGGCCTCGCAACCATGGCAATCTGACTCTGTCCAGCAGTGGGAAAGCCACCAAAGATTTCGAAGGGGCTGTCTTTTTGTTGCCCACAGTGTCAAAGCAAGAAGCCGAGGTTCACTACCCAGGGTATCATACCTGTTCCGATATCCCTTCGAAAAAGGAGTACCTGCGCTTGGTCAAAGCTTCAGACGTTGTTGTTGGGTCCGTTCCACCAATCTGCACAAAAGACAAGCAAAAACGATCTCAGCGTCTCTTGAAAGGAGAAGGCAAGAAGAGGGGCGTGCTGGGAAGGATCTTTCGTAGAATCTCTGCCAACAAGGTTGGAAACAAACCACCTTTGCGCACCGTGACGGAGCAAGCTTCGGGCACTCTGACGGAGCAAGCTTACTATGATGTGTAGACTAGCTACCGTAGGACAGTTTGATGACGTCTATTGCTTTGATCACTATATACCTGTACGTTACATAAATATAGTCTTGTATACCCATCATCTCGGATCCCACCAAACCATGCTACAGGACAGTCTTGGTTAGTTCAGTTTCCCTCGTCATCATCATCACTCGAGTCGGAAGACGAGTCTTCTACCGGAGGAAGTGTAAACTCCTCTTCCGGTTGCCCCTTGTTGGTGCCTGGCAAAACTGCTCCCGAGTTTGCACTCGTACTATCACCGGCATCAGGATGCTGATCATCTGCAGTGTTGCTGTCATCCTGTGTTTGCGACGCATCTTCCTCCTCGTCATCGTCGTCTCCTCCTCCAAACAAATCCAAGAGGTCTTGCGTGGTCATGACACCACCTCCGCCGCCACCATTGGTTGCACCCTTAGCCGTATGGACACTATCGGTAGTTTGCGCTGCAGGTGGTATGGGTACTGGCTGCTGCTGCTGTGGATTGTTGGTGTACTCCTGAGGTTCCCCTCCAAATGGAGCATTGGAGGATACATCAGTGGAGGAAGCTCCACCAGAAAACTGATATGGATTTTCCTTATTGTTGTGCTGCTCATTGTCGCTGTCTTCTTCGTCGTCGTCGTCATCATCATCATCATCGAATCCATAAAAGTTTCGCGGGTCAAATCCATTGTTGGAAACAAATTCGTTGGTGTTTTTGGCGCTGGGGAACGCTTGTCGACTGGTAGAATGCCCCGTGGTTGGTGGTGGATGTACCGGTACAGACGGAGCAGAAGGCGGGAAACGAGTTGGTTGTGGCAGACTGCTATTCTTGTTGTTTGGAACAACAGTTGACGGAAGCATCCCACTAGCAGTACCACTGTTGTTGGCCACACTGGTGTATGGATTTTGTCGACTGGGAGGCAGCTGGACGTGGTTAGCACCATTAGGAGCGGGCATTGGCGGTTGATTGGCTACACCATTAGGAGTTGTCTGCGGCACTTGATTGGCCCTATTCAGTTGTTGGCGCTGGTTGGTTCCATTGTTGTAAGGATTCGTTGACGTCATCATCGATGCGGGGGCCGAATTCCATGCGGACGATGGCGCTTGGTTCTGATTCTGGCATGCAGGTGGATGAATAGTGTTTGATGGCTGTTGCGGTGGCGGCGCCATGAGAACTTGATCTCCATAATGCTGTCGTAGTAAATCTCCCGGTTGCAATGGTTGACGACGTCGTTTGCCAAGTGCCGTATTGTTTTGCTGTCGTTGCTGTTGATTGGGCGGTGGTGGTTTGTAAGCACCGGGTTTTCGAAACTTGCTGGTGAGTAATTTCTGCATGGAATTGGACACCAAGGGTTGCCGACGACTGTTTGTTGTATGCATAGTAGAAGTGGGTGGCACCCAGGGACCTTCCAATTGAATGAGGTACTTTTCGGCTTCAATCAGTGTCTGCTGTTGTTGTAGGACCGCTTGGACATCGTGACGCGAGAGCTGGGTTTCCGCCAATACCGGATTGGACGATCCCAATGCCGGACACGCTTCGTAGAGTCGACCATGGCCCGTGAACTGCTGTAGGACAAATTTCCCGTCGGACCATTTCTTGCGCTTTTGTGTCTTTTGAGGAGTGTACAGACAGGCGAATGCAGAAGATGATGATGGATGCTGTTGTTGTACTACAAGAGACTGCTGCTGGTGCTCTTCTTGATGATGGAAGGAAGTTTGGTGCTCTTGCTGACTCAATTGTTGCTGTTGTTGCTGCTGAACGGGTTGCTGCCGAGCCGTGGCATTTGGCATCGGCCGCTCCTGTTGCTGCATCATCGTCTACAGATACGGCAGATCAAAGCATCCAGCAACACCCAACACACCCAACACCACAAAGTCTGGTGAAGAAAGAGGACACCAATGAGATCGAGTTCGAAATGCGTTTTCGTCATTTGTCATTTTTTGAATGAATATCCATTTTGACAAAACAAAATAGGAAAAACAAAAAATGTTCCTCGGAAATCTTTCTCGCACAACTCACAACTTTCTCACGTGCTTTTTGGATGGATGCATGATTGTTGCTAATGTTGTTGTTATTGAGAAGGACCTGTCGCAGTGGAAACAGCCGTCGCCCTGTCTCATCTTTGGCGTCTCCACAGCTACTATCCATAGCCGGACCATATAGCAGAGGGCTTCGCTTTCGTTTCTACTGGATCCAAGCTTGGCTTCAAGTCTTGTCGGTTACGTCTGCCTTTATTACTACTACCAGCCGTCCAGGAATCACCAATCCTTTAGTACGGACCACAAGTTCGGCCGCATTCCTTCAGCACACAACATACGCTACCAGAAGAAGATTAGCATCCTCCAAGTCTTTCCTTGTGGATGCTACGTATCCAAACACCCACAGTTGCTTCACAATAAACGCAATGCCTCGCCAGTCACGGCGCCTCTTGGCCACCCAAAGCAACAATGACACTGAAGACAATGATGTCCAAAAGGATGACGATGAACCAGAGGTTCCCAAGGTGAAAAAGAGGATAAAGGGAACCACTGCCAAGACCAAACAAGTCACTCCAAAGAAAAGAAAAACGACTGCCAATGACAATGACGACAGCGATACAGAATTTACGGTTTCTGATTCGTCGACTACTGCCAGCAGCAGCAAAGCCAGTCCCAAGAAAAAGAGCGCGGCAAAGACCAAAACCAAAAAAGTGACCAAGAGAAAGGGGACCACCACCAAAAAGACAGCCACCCAGAAAACAGCCACCACAGGCGCAATGACTGCCGAAGATGGGAGCGATACCGGCAGTGATGTAGAAACAAAATCTCAATCCACTACCAATACAAAGAAGAAAAAGACCACGAGAAAGAAAAAGGCCCCGATCCAATCCATTACGGAACGGGATGAATTGCCCAAACTATGCAATCCAAATGACAACCAACACAGTAACAGTTACCTGCTCAAAATTGCCACATGGAATGTCGCGGGTCTCCGAGCTGTTCTCCGAAAGGACCCCGATGCCTTGGCCACATTGGTCGCACAACACAATATCGATATTTTGTGTCTTCAAGAAACCAAAGTCCAAGAAATGCACCTCGACGATCCCAAACTGAAATTGCGAGGACACTTGTTGGAAGCGGAAGGATACGATGCCTACTACAGTTGTTCCACTGCCCGTAAGGGATACGCCGGAACGGCAGTGTTTGTCAAGCGAGCCTGTGGGCTAGTGCCGGACAAAGTATCTTATGGACTAGGCATGGAAAAACACGATGCCGAAGGCCGTGTCATTGTCTTGGATTTTGCAGGATTCAGCCTGGTCAATCTGTATGTGCCCAATTCGGGTCAAAAACTGGATCGACTCCAGTACCGCACCGAAGAATGGGACAAGGATTTGCTGGCATTTCTGCAACACAAACAGAAGGATGGTCCCGTCATGTGGTTGGGCGATCTCAATGTGGCTCACCTCCCTTTCGATGCCTACAATTTTGGAGCCAAACATTTGGACAAACAGGCCGGATTGACACCACAAGAACGGGCATCCTTTCAAGCACAACTGGATGCTGGATTTGTCGATGCCTTTCGTCACTTGCATCCCAATGCCAAGGGACACTACACCTACTGGAGTCAACGAGCGGGAAATCGCGAACCCAATCGAGGACTGCGATTGGATTACTTTGTCTGCGATCCCACATTCTTTCGTGATGACGACGACACGGCAGCAACAAGAGTCATTGCCCGGGATTCCTACATGATTCCAGAGCAAATGGGAAGCGATCATTGTCCGGCTGTGTTGGAATTGGAAATTATTAAACCGTGAACGACGACACAACTGGCAAGACGGGGCACTTTTTGTAGGCCCATTGTTCTCCCGTGGAATCGAATCCGAAAGCCTAAATTGTGCCACCAGCTAGCTAGCGCGTTTTTGAAAACTTCATTGACCTGGATTGGTACTTTCTCGGGCGGCGTCTTCGGTCACTTTCTGTGTGCCAGGGTGCCTTTTTGTAGCGAGGGCAGTCCTTTGTTGAGGTTCCTTTTGTCGATGTTGTCAACTGAAAAGGTTGTTTACCTCGTAACAAGGATGTCGTTGCAAGAAGAACGTGGGTCACCAGCTTCCTAAAGTGAAGACGTGAACGTGAGCTATTGTCCTGCTACGATCGTTATGGTCGAAGGGCATAGCAATCCACATGGATACCTGTGCCTTCGTGTAGCCACATTGGAATTCCCTTACCAGACTTCCTACTGCATGTGTAAGCGACAGCATGTGTAAGTGAGGTCTAGAGCAGGAAGGTATCTACGGAAGCCGGTGTTGCTTTACTACTGTTACCAAACTCGACGATGTAGCTCAAGCACTGCTGGACAGAGCAACAACCGGATCGCAAGCACAGTCCGTTTTGCCCGACTGAACACGTGGGTGGGTGTATTGTCATGACGTTTAGAATACGGGCAAGCGAGCATGTGGTGGCAGCCTCCATTCTCCGAGCCTGGATTACAATTTGCCATCTCCTCTGGCATTAATGATCCCATGCCTGCGGCAACTGCTGGTTGCTCCCGCTCTGGACTGCAGTGAGGAACGGGGCGATACATGTAGTGGGAAATTGTGGCAGGATTCATTCCTCTTCCAATTGGAAAATCTTTTCACTCTCCATGCGGATTTTAAGGCCCTTACAGAAGTTGGACAAGACTCTCTCGGTAGCAACTTCTGGGGTTGGCTGCAGGTATAACTTGTCCAATCTTCCTCCTCCTGGCAATCGACACCCAAACTCCCATTTGGATCCGATTTCCTTGGGAATCAATTTTTTAGTCATGGCACTGATAACATTTGCCATGGAGGAAGTATTATAGAACTTTGTAGTGACATTGGCTGGGAATGCTCCAATTGTCTGGCAAGTGATCTGTCCCCCAATCTTGACATCCACCATTCCTATGCCCAACCGGAAACCCTCACATTCAAAAATGTCTGTTTTCCCCGCTCTCACAATCCCCAAACTGGGAAAGGTTGCATAACTCACATAGAAGGCGCCTCGGAGGATAATTTCCATATTCTTGGGGTCTCTCCAGATGGTTTGGCGGAACTTTGTGCAATCTAGGACCATCACAGACCTATCCTGCTTCAGATCAAAGGAGTAGGACATGAACGTTAGTGGGAGCAGTTTGATCATGTCCCGAATACTTCGAACACCATCTTCATAGGTTAATTGAATCTTGTACTCTTCCCGAACTTCTTGCATGAGGTAGGCCTTTTCCACTGCTTCTTCCACACCCCCAACTAGAGCCATGTTCGCATACATAAAGTCAGATAAGATGTCAAGGTCGGGGAGGGATTCGATGGATTCTTTGATTTCCAAAGCCAATTCTCTCTCTTCCTTGGACAACTTGAACAGTGATGGGTCAAGCGTCAGTGTTGGTCCCTTGGATGATGCAGCCGCTATAGCAGGACCTCCAGTGGCCGACCCAGTACTTCTATCAGTTCTCTCTTTCTCCTTGCCCTGTTCACTTTCATCATCTGCCGGCCTTGGTAGAGAGGCCTGAGATGCAGATAGGTCGACATGGCTTGGCTTCTCCATGGTGGTTATGATATCTGTTACGATGTTATGATGTTATGATACACCCTCACCTCGTCTTGCAGTGATTACTGTATGCCCGAAGAGCTGCGAATAAGAAGCATCAAGCAAAGTCAATTGCAAAGTGGGGCACACTCCCTCCGTTCCGAACCGGAGTACTGTACATGTACTTCGTAGCTCTTGCAGTGCGCTCGCATAGCTTCTTGCATGCAGTTCCCGTTGCCAGCTTGCTGTGAAACAAGCCTTCGGATCGAGTGCGTACTTCGTCCGGCACACATTCTACGGGCACCGGTACAATTGCTTGCACAAGCAGTACTTCGGTTACCACGCCATCTTGGGGGGTTGCACAAATCAACTTACTATTTGACCTGCTTTTGGAACAGTCTACCTTTTTTAACCATTGTTTACCACTTTTTACCGCTGCACCGTCTTCAACCGCCTACTTCTACGCCTGCTCTACCGCCTACTTTACCGTCTATTACCACTCTTTACCACCTCTTACCGACCTCCACCACCCTCTACCGCCTTCTTTTTGGGCGATAATGCGGGAAAACCTGAGATTAGAGCCTTGGGGTTCGCAACCTGTTTTCGCAGGGAAAGACAATCACCGTTTTCATTTAATTCACGTGTCCTCTATCTTATGATCGCCGTACGTACCGTACTGCGTACAGTACTGTCCAGTACCGGTACGGAGGAGCAGAGTTTAACAGTACGGCAAACGACAAAGAAGCTTACAAGCCTTCGTTATAAGATACAATTACGATGAAATGGGAGGCAGGGGGTTCTTAGTTTTGCAACAATACATGTAGGTAGGTAGGTACCTTTAGTAGCCTCCGAAGTACCTACTAGTAAGAGCCACTTGATCCAAGTGGTCCCATAGTATCTTATGCTTACTAATTTGACTAATAAATTGACTCGTATTAGTAGCTACAACTAAGGCTCTGCCTGCACCGCCCTATTGTCCCAAGCGTGTTGTACAATGGTAGGAAAAGGGTACCGGTATCCTTGCCTCATGCAAAACTTTTGAAACCACTTTATCCTATTATTTCTTATGGTAATGGCAATCTCAATACTCAAATCGGTGTTTTCCTACTCATGTGAAAATCTGAGGCCCAGCGTACCGGTATGTGTAGCCACTTGAACTTCAGCCCCAATCTGAGTAGTACGGTATAAGGTATCTTATGGATGCGGCGAAACTGTAATACAAGCTGAGTTGTCAGTGGAAATCGTTCTAACTCCTTTGGACGTCTCTCATTTTAACCACTAGAACTTTGCTAGTTGCAAGGATATAAAGGAGCTTTGAAGGCTGTTTAGAAGTCTTCTCATTGGAACTATGAATACTTATCAGTTACGTGCCTCGATGACGAAAATAAATGTATCGCGAACGCAACCGAGCACTCCCGTCGTACCGTACGCGCGTACGCGAGTATCAATTGGAATGCCAACATGCCAACATCACCTACCGGTATCGGATGCCTTGGAATTTGGATGGTAATAACATAGCTTCTCGTACCGTATCTGCGCATACTAGTAACCGAAGTGCATGCACTTATCGTAAAACTCGCTAAAAGTAAGCAATAGTAAACCTAGATTATGCGTAACTGCGTGCAACGCAAACTGGAGGTACTACATGGATCCATCACGACAGGTAGTTTAGACGCCGTACCCGTATGGGTATGGTAGTCCTTGGCAAAGTAGCTCTTGGTGGTTGTCTAGTAGGTACCCCTGGTAGCATGAGCGGCGCAAGCCACTGACCGGAAGGGATGGTACAGTAATAACAGACCGAAACACATTGTCATAGATGGAGTCCGAAGGTTGCCCCATACTGAAGCAACCCCGGTATCAACACCCTTCTGCACCTTCCCACAAGCCAAGTTGAGAGATTTTCTACCAGGCCGATCACTCAGTTCCGTGGTTCCTCGCCAAGAAATATGATACTTGATAGTAGGCAGTCTGGGAGCGAATGGCTGGCTGCTCACCTTTGAGCGCGACTCGGATTGATCCTGAAGGACGAGCCTCCAAGCAAATTGTGACAAAGTGCTTCTTCCTTGTAGGGTACAACGCCATTGGCATTGAGATACTGTACCATCTGTTAGACTGACAGATAGAAGATCCACTTAATTGCCAGACTTGCGTAGAAAAGAGCGACAGAATCTGTTTCAGCAGTAGCCTTGTCAAGAACTGTTCGCCTCGAGCACACGAGCAGCAGGGATGCTTTGGGCACACAACGTGTACTGTTGATGTCGGTCTATATATATCAAGCGTCGAGTGAAATCGAATCCAAGCCGTCCACTAGCTGGCTAGGTATGACAGACTTTTTGTCAAACACGCACCTTTAGAAAAAGCTCGAGGCAAAATATGTTGCTGGAATGTACATCTATGGATTATGGTATATGTAGAGTCTATGAAAAACTGAGAGCCTCAATTCACTCCCGCGTGTGGCTCGTTCTTAGGGTGGTAGTATATGTATGTAGCTGACTGAAGGAAGGAAGGAAAGCACAGAAACTACCACTGATGACTTCTGACGAGAACTTCTTTTCGTTTCAGAATTGTCATGGCAACAGTCATGATCAATGGCGACAATGGAATTCGAGGAAAACAGAATCGTGCCAATAGTGTGGAAAGAATGGCGTGTCGAAGAATCTCTCGTGAAAATGATTTGATGGAAGATGGAGCCGTGGGAGTTCGGAGCGTGGGGAATGTAGTGGTGTGGATGGGGTCTTGCGTTGCCAAGAAAGTGTTTCCCGCTTTTTGTTGCCATGGCCCTCGGTTGAGTTCTTCCAATTCTCTCGCGAACGATTCCATGCCTTTGGAGTCAAACGATGGGCGGATGATCTCTTGTTGTTGCAAAGGTACGTTGTGGTCAGTTGTCTGGACGCCTTGCTGCGGAACACACACCCTTTCGTGACGCGGACCAGAGAGGGTCGCAGCAAATCCATGGCTGGCTGGAATCAGACAGACAATGACCAGGGCTGCAAGCGTAATCTTCATCATCATGGTCGAGGTTGTTGTCTTCGTACTGTCCGGTGAGAGTTGTGATCCATCACCAAAGATACCAAAAAATGCGATGGGTCATTGATGAAAGAACTCTAAACCTCTGGTATCTCTGGTATTGCCCCATTCATGCCAAAGACCGAACTATAGTCTTGAAATGACTCCATTGTTAAATTCTGCAATGTCTAGATTTGTGACCCATAATGCCTGATATGACCGATCAGTGACCTTCGATCGATTGCCTCTGAACGTGGTGTAAAGCAAAATATACTCTGCTGGCTTTTGCGTATCGTACGGTGGCAGCTGTCGACGGATGCAGAGCGACAGCTTTGAAAGTTCCAAAGCTGTCTTTGGAGGTCGAGTGACTCAGTCGCAGCTGCAGAGAACAGTTCGCAGGAGCCATCAAAGAATAGAGACATCAGCTTTGGTATCTTTCTGCGAAGCTGGTTTGCTCCGCCCATCAATCATTCATATACCAGGTACCATAAAATCCACTGATTTAGAAAAGCAAAGAAAACTCTTTTCCACCATGTTGTCTCTTCGATTCTTACTCGTCGCTCTCTTGGCGTCTTGTAGCGCTGCCTTTGTGGTCCAGCCCACAACAGTCTCTTCCTCGTCGACGACGTCTCTCCATTCCACCTTTCACCACGACGACTTCAATGACAACAACGACGCACCACTGGATGTGCAACCCTTGGCGGAACTGGGACCGCTGGCTCTGAAAATGGCGGGAGTTTTGACCATCAAGACGGCCAAAGACATGGTCAATTATCCACCGCAGCTGTTTGATCAGCTCACGCGCAGTGCCAGTGGCAAGAATGAAATGAATCCGGTCGTCATGTTGGCCAAACTCATGGGCGTTCTCGTCTTTAAAATGGCCCACGACGCCGTCTACTTTCCCATGGTATGGACCCAACGAATGGTCGAATGTCAATCTCTGGATGAATGTGATGTCGAGTAAAAGCAGAAAGAACAGGAAAGGACAAAAGCAACAGACATAGAAAGAAAGACGACACAAGCTCTTGCCCTTCCAAAAAACAAAAAATGCAAGCGAAAGATGAACGTGCTGCTCGGTGAATCTACAAAATTTGAAACGATGAATCATCACGATTGATAGGATTGCAGACAAATTTACTCCTCCTCAAAAGAGGAAGAATTTTTTCAAGTGACGCTGGCTGTTGCCACACGAACAATAACGACAATCAGGTTGGCCAGCATCCTTCTTTCTTTGAACACAGCAATGCAATGATAACACTTAAACTTACTAGACAATCTTTTGGTGTATCAAGAAATCCTCCGCGGGCTTGCATGCATATCATAGATCTGTGCTCCTTCTGATGATATCTAGCTAGCTACCCAGGACCTCCCATTGGACCGTTCGATAGTTCGAAAGTGGGACAAACAAATTGGCTCGCTACCGGCACTCTCCCGGTGACCTCGTTTTTGCCTTTTCGTTCTCAAACGGCGAACTGTTCTCTTGTTCGTCTGCCTTTTGATCCAACCTCTTCCAATGCGTGCGCTTGCTTGTCTTCACGCAACTTTGATTCCGTCTTCGACCTGCCTGCCTGGCTCTCCTCTCCTTCTCAAATAACACAACACGTGGTTCCGGCCTCCATTGAAACATCTGTGCTGAGCAGTCTGCCCTGCTATCGAAAGAAGCAACTACTGTGCTATACAGTCAGTGTGCTTCAAAATCTTTCTATTTTATTGTTTTTAAAATGCTTTCCTTTATCATGATGTGTTTATAGGTGCTGGCATGCCGCACAGCCACCACGTAGCTATGGACTACCGTATAGCTAGGCGGCCGTGGGTGCCGCCGATGGGGCATCCGATGGTGCAGAAGAAGGAATGAGTCCAAAGTCGGTCAGGAACGGCGAGATCCAGTCCTCGTGCGTGTTGATAATGGGATCTCGCATCTTCATACCCGCTCCGGACACGCGTTTTAGAAAAAGTTTCATGGATTCCACCACATCATTGCTGAGACTGTCCGTCTCGTCCAAAAACAGAGATACGGCGCCAATACCTTGCTGACGCATCCCCTCCAAGTCGCAGATTTGGAACCAATCCACCGCCAAGGCTGGATCTCCGTGGTCACGGTCGACTCGGACATGGATTCCATCAAACGCGGCAGGAATCAGCAGATTGTGACTTTGGAATCGTTTGGGCTGCAGCAAGCAGAAAGGACGGTTGGGGAAGCGGGTGCGGAACTCGGTCCAGTTGCCCTCCATGGTTGCTCGAGTCACGATACCGGGGCCAGGTGCCGATTCGTCAATAACGGCAATGCAAGCAATCACCTCATTCAAGCTGCTGCCGCCAATGGTTGGGTACGAAGAGACACTGGGCGCCATGGATGGACTCGACGACACGGATGGTTGATGCGACGTGGATGGTGCCGCACTGACACTGGGTGGCATGCTAGGAACACTGCTTGGGGCAGCACTTGGTGCGCTAGATGCAGAAGGACTCATACTGGGACTGTCACTTGGTAAGCTGCTTGGTTGTTCACTGGGGGCTGCACTTGGGGAAGATGAAGGTTTCCCGCTGGGTTCAACACTTGGAGACAAACTTGGACTGGTGCTCGGTTGGCTAGTTGGACTGGTGGTGGGGGTATTGCTGGGCGAAACAGTGGGCACAAAGGTCGGCGCATCGGATGGCTCATCCATGAGACAACTGTCACAGTGAGTGGGGTTGTTGCTTGGACTTGCACTGGGACTAATGCTGGGAGTTTCACTTGGGTTCTCACTGGGGGTGCTGCTGGGACTGAAGCTAGGAGAAACGCTGGGAGAGCTGCTTGGATGTGCACTCGGAGATGTGCTTGGAGATGAGGAGGGGCTGCCACTTGGACTGCCGCTAGGAGACTTGCTAGGAGAGCTGCTGGGCTGTGAACTGGGAATATAGCTTGGCAAAGCACTGGGGGCTGAACTTGGACTCTCACTTGGGGTGCCACTAGGCATTGCACTTGGGCTCGTGCTGGGAGAAGAGCTTGGAGATTCACTTGGGCTGGAGCTTGGTGACTCACTTGGGTTGGAACTGGGAGATTCACTTGGGTTGGAACTGGGAGATTCACTTGGGCCAGAACTGGGAGCTCTACTGGGGCTAGAGCTGGGTGATTCACTGGGGCTGGCACTGGGGCTAGAGCTTGGACTGGAGCTGGAGATGGTACTAGGACTGATACTGGGCGATTCACTGGGGCTGGAGCTTGGTGACTCGCTTGGGTTGGAACTGGGAGATTCACTTGGATTGCTGCTTGGAGATCACTGGGGCTTGCACTGGGCCCAGTACTTGGAGATCTGCTTGGGCTGGAGCTGGGGACCGGGTACTGGACTTGCGGGCTACTTGGACTTGGCTGGGAGATTCACTTGGGCTGACACTGGGGCTAGAGCTTGGCGAAACACTTGGGGTAGAGCTGGGAAACCCACTGGGGCTTGCACTGGGCCCAGAGCTTGGAGATACACTGGACTGGAGCTGGGAGACACACTAGGGGTAGAACTGGGAGATTCGCTTGGTCCGGAGCTTGGGGAATCACTTGGACTGGAGCTGGGAGATTCACTTGGGCTGACACTGGGGGCTGGGAGACTTGGACACTTGGGGTGAGCTGGGACCACTGGGCTTGCACTGGGCGCAGAGCTTGGAGATACACTGGGGCTGGAGCTGGGAGACACACTTGGGGTAGAACTGGGAGATTCGCTTGGCCGGAGCTGGGGAATCACTTGGACTGGAGCTGGGAGATTCACTTGGTGACAGCTGGGGCTGGAGCTTGGCGAAACACTTGGGGTAGAGCTGGGAAACCCACTGGGGCTTGCACTGGGCGCAGAGCTTGGAGATACACTGGGTGCACTACTGGGGAGTGCACTTGGGGCCTCACTGGGAATTTCACTTGGGCTGGAGCTTGGAAAATTACTTGGGCTGGAGCTTGGTGATTCACTGGGGGACTCCGAAGGACTCAAACTGGGTGATTCACTTGGAGACATACTAGGGACAGTGCTCGGTGATCCACTCGGGCTTGCACTGGGAGACATGCTGGGACTCTCGCTGGGGCTGGATGATGGGCTTGTACTGGGTGAAGCACTCGGTGAAGAACTAGGGCTCTTGCTTGGTGAAGAACTGGGAGAGGTACTGGGTGCACTATTGGGGAGTGCACTTGGGGCCTCACTGGGAATTTCACTTGGGCTGGAGCTTGGAAAATTACTTGGGCTGGAGCTTGGTGATTCACTGGGGGACTCGGAAGGTCTCAAACTGGGTGATTCACTTGGAGACGTACTAGGGACAGTGCTCGGTGATTCACTTGGGCTTGCACTGGAGACATCTGGGATCTCACTTGGACTGGAACTGGGGGATTCACTTGGGCCAGAGCTTGGAGAATTACTTGGCTCGAGCTTGGTGATTCACTGGGTGAAACAGTGGGCACAAAGGTCGGCGCATCGGATGGCTCATCCATGAGACAACTGTCACAGTGAGTGGGGTGTTGCTTGGACTTGCACTGGGGCTAATGCTGGGAGTTGCACTTGGGTTCTCACTGGATGCTGCTGGGACTGAAGCTAGGAGAAACACTGGGAGAGCTGCTTGGATGTGCACTCGGAGATGTGCTTGGAGTTGAGGATGGGCTGCCACTTGGACTGCCGCTAGGAGACTTGCTAGGAGAGCTGCTGGGCTGGGTGCTGGGAATATAGCTTGGCAAAGCACTGGGGGCTGAACTTGGACTCTCACTTGGGGTGCACTAGGCATTGCACTTGGGCTAGTGCTGGGAGAAGAGCTTGGAGATCACTTGGGCTGGAGCTTGGCGACTCACTTGGGTTGGAACTGGGAGATCTACTGGGACTCTCGCTGGGTCTGGACGATGGGCTTGTACTGGGTGAAACACTAGGTGAAGAACTAGGACGCTCGCTTGGTGAAGAACTGGGAGAGGTACTGGGTGCACGACTGGGGCCTCACTGGGAATTTCACTGGGGGCCTCACTTGGTTCCTCACTGGGAGATTCACTTGGTGAATCGCTTGGAGAGGAACTAGGAGGGGCACTTGGCTGGAACTGGGCAAGTACTGGGAGAGCTTGGGCTCTCGCTTGGGCTCTCGCTTGGGCTCTCACTTGGTGCAGTACTTGGATTGCTGCTTGGAGACTCACTGGGGTTGCTTGGGCTTGCACTGGCCAGTACTTGGGATCCTTGGGCTGGAGCTGGGAGACTCACTGGGGCTGGAACTGGGAGATTCACTGGGGCCAGCGCTTGGCAACTCACTTGGATTGGAGCTGGGAGATTCACTGGGGCTGACACTTGGGGCAGAGCTGGGAAGCCCACTGGGGCTCGCACTGGGCCCAGTACTAGGAGATCTGCTTGGGCTGGAGCTGGGAGATCACTGGGGCTGGAACTGGAGATTCACTGGGGCCAGCCTTGGAACTCACTTGGCTGGAGCTGGGAGGTTCACTGGGGCTGACACTTGGGGTAAAGCTGGGAAGCCCACTTGGGCTTGCACTGGGCCCAGAGCTTGGAGACACACTGGGGCTGGAGCTGGAGACACACTTGGGGTGGAACTGGGAGATTCACTGGGGCTGGTACTGGGTGAGCTTGGACGACTTGGGCTGAGAGAGACGGAGACTTGCTGGGGCTCGAACTGGGCCTGACACTAGGAGATGTGCTGGGGCTGGAGCTGGGAGACACACTTGGGCTGGAACTGGGAGATTCACTGGGCCCTGTGCTGGGAGACTCACTGGGATTGGAGCTAGGTGGCACACTTGGGGTAGAGCTAGGAGACTTGCTGGGGCTCGAACTGGGCCTGACACTTGGGCTTGCACTGGGTCTTGCACTTGGAGATGTGCTGGGACTGGAACTTGGAGATGAACTTGGACTAGTGCTGGGAGATGCACTTGGCATAGAGCTAGGAGACTTGCTTGGGCTTGCACTGGGTCTGGCACTTGGAGATGTGCTGGGGCTGAACTGGGAGATGTGCTGGGGCTGGAACTTGGGGATGCACTTGGGCCAGAGCTGGAGATGCCTTGGGTGTGCACTTGGAGACTCACTAGGGTTGCATCTGGGGTTGGAGCTTGGTGACACGCTTGGGTTGGAGCTGGGTGACACACTAGGACTGGAGCTTGGAGAATTACTGGGGCTAGCACTGGGGCTTGAGCTGGGGGATTCACTGGGTCTAGCACTAGGAAACTCACTGGGGCTGGAGCTAGGGGACTCACTCGGTGCATCACTGGGAGATCCACTCGGGAAGACACTTGGCATGCTACTGGGCGACATACTCGGCAATCTGCTTGGCTCGGCACTGGGAGATGCACTAGGAGACTTGCTAGGGGTTGAGGATGGGTTCTCACTTGGCTTGCTGCTTGGCATATCACTTGGTTGCACACTTGGGCTTTCACTTGGAGAAGAGCTTGGTAGCCTGCTAGGGGGTCGGCTCGGCTGGGAACTTGGAGACACACTTGGGGTTGAAGATGGGCTCTTGCTTGGAGTTGTGCTGGGAGTAGAACTTGGACTCACACTGGGGGAAGTGCTTGGGTTGGAACTTGGACTCACACTGGGACTCATGCTGGGATGTATGCTCTCCCTGTCACCACTGGGACTTGCACTTGGATGTGTGCTTTCCCAGTTGCCAATGGGACTTCCACTGGGACTTGTGCTAGGATGCTTGCTTTCCCAATTGCCACTAGGACTTGCAGTAGGATGTGTGCTTTCCCAATCCCCCGGGGTAGGCTTGGATGTCATCCTCTTCTTGCTCTTGGAATCTTTGCTTTTTGTTAGCTTATTTATAGTCATCTGCACACACCAAAAAGCAAAATTCAGGTTAGAAATTCATCCAGAGGCTTCATGTATGGGACGATCTCGATTGCTCACCTTCTTGCTGGCTGTACTTTTCATCTTTTTAGTCATCATACCACCCTTAGCTTGACTCTTGGATCCACCAGTTTTCATGGTATTGGATTTTGAACCCGACTTGGCTTGACTCATTGATCCACCCGATTTCATGGTATTGGATTTTGCACCGGACTTGGGTTGACTCATGGATCCGCCAGTTTTCATGCTGTTGGATTTTGAACCCGACTTGGGTTGACTCATGGATCCACTGGATTTCATGGTATTGGATTTTGAACCGGACTTGGGTTGACTCATGGATCCACCCGATTTCATGGTATTGGATTTTGCACCCGACTTGGCTTGACTCATTGATCCACCAGTTTTTATGCTGTTGGATTTTGCACCGGACTTGGCACCAGATTTCTTGGAGCTCGACTTGGATGCAGTCATGGATCCAGCTTTCTTGGAGCTCGACTTGGATGCAGTCATGGATCCAGCACTTGACTTGGAACTAGATTTTGTAGACCCAGACATTTGGTGAGAGCCAGATTTGGAACCAGAATCATTGCAACTGGGGGAGGTTGAGCTTGTGGCCCCATCAGAGGACTTGGATTTTGAAGGGGAAGACTTGGAGCCACCGGAAGAGCCAGACTTGGGACCCGATTTAGGAGCGGATTTGGTGCTCTTCATGGAGTTGCTAGACTTGGAGGCAGGAGAGGATTTGGAGCTCTTCATGGAGTTGCTAGACTTGGAGGCAGGAGCGGATTTGGAGCTCTTCATGGTGTTGCTTGACTTGGAGGCAGGAGCGGATTTGGAGCTCTTCATGGAGTTGCTTGACTTGGCGGCAGGAGCGGATTTGGAGCTCTTCATGGAGACGCTTGACTTGGAATTGGATTGCTTGGTGGACTTGGACGCACTGGCAGATCCAGACTTGGAGCTCTTTGATGGGGGCGATTTGGAACCAGACCCAGACGTCATCTTGGAACTACTCTTGGAACCAGAGCCAGCTGAACCCGACTTTGATGCGGACTTCGAACTCTTGGATGAGGGCGATTTCGAACCAGATCGAGACGCCATCTTGGAGCTGCTCTTCTTGGAACCAGAGCCAGCTGATCCCGACTTTGATGCGGACTTGGAGCTCTTTGATTGGGGCGATTTCGAACCAGATCCAGACGCCATCTTGGAGCTGCTCTTCTTGGAACCGGAGCCAGCTGAACCCGACTTGGATGCGGACTTGCTCATGGTTCCTGTTGCTGCTGAGTTGCTTTCAGACTTTGACTTTGAGCCGGATTTCATGGAATCACTGTGGTACGAGGCGGTGATGTTGGTCTTTGACGCGTAGGTGCCTCCCATGGATCCACTCGCCTTGATGCTCTTGCTCGTCTTGGGCGTTGCGGACTTCCACGTATGGTTGGTCATGATCTCGGACGACGACTTGGTAGTGTTCGTGGTTCCGCCCTTGCCTCCGCCCTTGCCTCCAGTTGTCATCAATCGACGCAAACGGTAGGTATTATGGTCAGGCAGGTTGTGTTTGTTGCTGGGAACGCCACGAAGAAATCCAGCTTCGTCGGCAGCAGTGCGATGCACTTTTCCGAGCACTGCGGCCAGAATGGCAACGATCGGAATGATTGACTTGACAAAGGAAGTCATGGTGGGTTGTAGTAGAAGACGCAAGCAAAAATAGATTGTATCAGAAAGGCGTGGGTATTGTGCTTTGCTTTGCTTGGGTGCTGACAAGTGAACAACGCTGTTTCGACAAGGGTGTTCGAGTTGCTTGCTAGAAATATGTGAGCTTGTTTGTTCGCTCGATCGAGCTGGAGATGAACCTAAGAAACGGTTTTGGCTGTGGAAGCCTTCGATAAGACTGACTGGCCTCAGAGAAACGCGTTGGCTTGATGCATCACATCATATCGCCATGATAGCTATCGATCTTCCACACGTGCAACCTTGCTAAATTTGCTTTAGCAGACCGTGGAACAAAAGCGACAGGTCAGGACGGAACGTCGATCGTTTTCGCAGGATTACGAAATCGACGATAGAGGTGCGGTTCAGTTATCGGTCGGTAGAGAACCATCCTTGTAGTACGGTACCGGTAATGACAGAATTCAAATCTTTCCTGTGCTGCATCTATCCTTGGCGTGCTTCGTAGCTATTACCGCTATCCGTGGCAGGTCGTCGGATGTAATCTGCTGGCTCTTGTTCGATTCGATTCATTCGATCGTTGCCCTTTCTTGTTCATCGATATCCGCACCTCCCGCGCTGACTGACTATACCGGTACGTTTTCTCCGTCTCCTGGAGCTCGAAGGCAGGTTGTTCTTCATGCTAGAGTTGGAAGTACGAATCGAATCATCATTGCTTGCTTGGCTGGTACCATACGAAAGCCGATCGAGTGTCATGGTTCTTTCGCTTCGAGCAGATGTCGATGCATATATCGGTACGCTGATCCCAGTCCCTTCTCTTCTCTCCTCGACGCGAGAGAAGGGCGACGATCAGGGACCTGTTCGGTACCACTAGCTAGCTAGTCTTGGAGCGCGGGTGCAGGAAGCAACCGAGTCGAGTCATCAGCGTGGCACTAGCTGTACTTTTTTCTTTTGCAAAGCAGCCAACAAAAAAGTGCAAACCGGACGGCACTGGAAAACTTCTGGCTGGCATCATCATGTACGGAGAGTAATGGATACTGTAACTGTCAGTTTCTATATTGATTTATAAAGTGTACAAAATTGTGTTCCTTGGCGAGCCGAGACGCTTACCATTGGTGTGTTTGATCATCCATGCTGAATGCTCTTCGAGTGTTTGGTCTCTGGATTACATACACACCCCTCCATGACAGAGAATTTCTCGCGACAAGGCCATGTCGGGTTCCTCTTCATTATTGTCGTGTGTTTGGGTGCGATTATTGTGGTGTTGATCCGCCGCCAATCGGAGGAGCTTGTCCAGACTGACGTGTAGATTGGATTCGAGTTGTTGGGCGCGCAACGACTTGTCGTGGGGTGCCGTAAACATGTGGGTAGTGACAGCTGTTGGTGACAATTTCCACTGCCGGAGCAGATTCCGTTGTACCGTGACATTGTCATAGTAGGGTACTTTGGCAAACATGCGTTCGAACGTTTGGACATTTTGGACATTCCACTCACCCAGATTGGGTTGGTGAAATTGGACGGCATTGAGAAACATAAAACTCATATCGCGGACATTTTGTGTCTCCCAACCACTCAAGTCTTGATTGAACAGGATGGCATCGCAAAAGGTTCGACTCATGGTAGTGACAGCAGTAGTATTCCAGCGCGAGAGATCGCTGTCGAACGAAGTGGCGCGCCAAAAGGTTCCCATGAGAGAGGTGACACTGGATGTATTCCATTGACTCAAATCGGCCGTGAAGGATTCGGCGCCAAAAAAGGTTCGTTCCAGCGATTGAACATTGGATGTATCCCATTGTCCAATGCCAGTCCCCGTAAAAGCGTGGGCGTGCCAAAACATGAATGACAAATCGGTGGCCGATGACATGTTCCAGTGCGACAAGTCTTCATTGAAATTCACTTTGCGGGCAAACAAACCACGAAAATTTTGAATGCGGCCCACATTCCATTGTCCCATGGGATAGCCGTACGTGGCGGCCAATGCTTTGTGGGCGGCACGTTGGGCCACTGGATCCATTGTCAAGTACCAATCGACCGCTTCTTGCAATTCTTTGGTCGTCTCAAAGGCTTTTTTGGCATTGTCATTATGATCAGAAATACAGGGCCCACAATAATCGACGGGATGCAAGTGTTCCACAATACTGCTGCGCGATCGGACACAGAGGGTTGTGAATTCCTTGCCATTGTAATGACACAGTTGAATGCGGTGGTTGTTGTCGCCACAGGAATGTTGTTCGTCGTGGCATCGCAAATAACTCTTCAAATTCTTATTATTATTGTCATTGCGCAATAAACGTCGACTACTCTCAGTAGTAGAGGCTGTTACTGCTTGTAGTAGTGTACCGAGGAGAAAGAAGCCAAGCATTGCTCGTCTTGTGGTGGTGATAATGTTTTTGGCCATGGTGCTCGATGTCCGTTCTTGGTGTTGCGATGGTTTCGAACGGAACTGAAAAGTGATGTTGAAAGGAAGAGGGCTCTTTTTTGAAAGACGAAAAAAGCGCGGACCTGTAGAATTCCTACCATGGTGTACGTGCCAATAATGCAGTCATTGACTTTGCCTACCAAGATTACAGGCCCTTCAAACTCTCAAGATCAACCCTTCGGGAAGAAATCATGGGCCGGTACAACCAATGACGTGGGGGCTGTACGGCGGCGTTCGCCTTACTGATTGGTTGGGCCTTCCTTTTGGGCGTCTTTTGGAGCCACTGCAGCAAGAGAGCGGGGTGACAAGAATGCGATCTCAGAATGGAGGCTCCGAGACTGTCACTCTTATGGTAGAGCGCATGTAGACTACTCTAGTATATGCGTACTAGCTAGTACTAGACTAGTAGCTCGGTATCGTCTGGCTCTAGCTCTCTAGACTAATACCGGTAGGAGAAGAATGAAACAAAACTATCTGTGCTCACAAGCAAGGGGTATGCGCCGTACGGTAGCCGTACCATGCATTCTAAAGCAGAGTTTGATTAGCCACAAGATGGCAGAATGAAAAAGGCAATCTGCAAACGTTCTTTGGTTGGGAGCAGGAGCGAGATGGAAGCTCCCACTGCCTACGAAGGATCGCCGCTGCGGCGCCCTTGGCGTGTAATGCTCCGTTGGAGACCCTTGGAGGCTGTTGACACAAACAAAGCGAGGTACTGGTACCGCACGAGGTGCTGTAATTACTTATATTCTAAAGGAAAGGAATGAAACAAAACCTACTAGTAATAACTGTGCATTCTACTAAAGCTGGCTGAGTTTGATGATCCTCAAGAAGGTGGCCGACTGAGGAGCCCCGGCGGATTTCACGCACAAAGTTTCTGGCTGAATCGATCGTTCACAGTACGCAGCTGCTGTTGAGAGGATAGAATGAAGCAACCCAAGTTTGCTACCGTACGTAGCCAGCTACGGTTTCAAAGGGGGCGATCTGATAGAGGGATGTCCATTGCTCCCGCTTCGAGCACCGTGGAGAGCACCATTGAGAGCACAATGGTGGCACTCTGCAACTTCCGAGCCTTCCTGAAGAGGACGGCCGTCTTGAAAGATGACTACCTCATCTGCTGCTGCTTCCTCTGACTTGATCCTCGCGGTGGTCTCATCCTCACTTGCAATCTCCTCCAAGTCCGCCCCCTGAGTATCGTCTCGTCTGGACGTAGTGCTACCCTTCTCTGGTCGAAAGATCAAGGAGGCATACGAAATGATATGGTGCGCTTCCCACGACGTAAAGGCAATGAACGCCAATGAGGCAACTCCCACAACAGGACGGATTTCTTCTGGGACTCGCTCCATGGCAATGAGACCATTCTCCACAATAAACAGAAACAGGCACGAGAGGAATGCTTGAAAGGCCCGTACTCGAACGTTGTACGTCTTACCCAAAAGATAGTCGTAAACGCGATCACGTTGCATCCCCAGGGCCGTCTTGCCGTAGAGAATGCACAACGAAAACATGATGGTGGCGTAAATGCCAGCAAAGATGGACATGGTGGACACCAACATTTGCGTGGTGTGCAGGATTTCCAGAAACGAGCCGGAAGCGACGGCATGATCTTCCCAGTTGTTGTTGTCCAGAGAAGCTCGGGACGATGTTGCCGCCAATATGCTGACGAGAACATAGTTCCCCAGAGAATCCAGGCGCAGCACTTCTCTATCTAGATCCCATTCGTCTTTGTGGTTCTTCTCCTTGGGCGAATGATGCATGGCATTGTACTCCCGGTCGGTGGTTTTTTCTAGCATGGCTCCCATTATTTTCGGTAGCATGGAAAGCGGACGTCCTGGTGTGTCGGCAGCTGTCGTGCCGGGGAACATGGTTGTTCGCCCAGCAGGTCTTTGAGGAGAAAAGGCAATCGCCGCAGGATAGTGGGAACATACCAGTCCTGAAAGGCCGAGAACGAAGCTTCTTTGAATCTTCATTGTTGCTTGGATTAGATCTGTCTTTGATTTGAAAAAAGTGAGCCTATTTGGTGATGCTCCATCAAAGCTCTCGAGTCGAGTCTGAGATGTTATTACAAGTACCAATGAGGTGGCGGCGTGCCTCTCATCCGAACCAATACAGATCCGTGGCCACTGCTGGAACGGTTAGCATTATTGTGCTCGTGAACGCAACGCAACGCAACGACACCACTCGACTGCCACACAGCCACTCTGCGCTCACTCAAGGTACATTCATCGATAGCCAAGCTTTTGTTCCTATGGTGGCGAGCGTCGAGTCTTGGAAGCTTTCTACAGTGGTGCAGTCGCTAGTTTGCTGAGTGCAACGTGGCTGGCAGAGCATCAAAGGTGCCCGTCATGTATCAGCGGTGTCTTTTTGGCTACTGGCAAGCAAGTTGCCGAGGAAACAACTTGTTCAAGATAGCGAAGACACGCCCTGTGCGGTGGTACATCGTAGCTTCGGCCCACACAGGTGGGTGGAGTCCGGGATACTGCGGCCACACCAACCGACGGGGGCCAATTCCGTGTTGGTGTGTTCTGTAGCAGCTCTATCCAGCACGGATAGATTTGCTACTATGTGCCGAGTTTCAGATTGCTCTAGCTATCAATGATTACTTGGAAAAATGGAGGCATTGGATACGCAATTGTGCTTAGCAGACAAGCCTCATTCTAAACATGAAGCAACTCTAAAAATCTAGACCTCCATAACCTTGACATACAGTTCTGGCTTTTTCTTTGCATCTTCCCCTTCCTGTTCGGCACTGCTAGGTACACTACGATATGAAATAACGCTTTCAGCGAGGGTACCTGCAGACCTGGGAGTCACAAAGTAGCTGCAGGGCGAGGAACAGAGAATATTATCGTGAGGGATCCAAAGTTTGAAACTGTGCCAGAATAGAAGTCAACTCGCAACACTCTATACTCACGTTGTCATGACACCCTTGCCCTTGGCCGTGATCTTGTCTGGTCTCTCCGAAAGCCAGTCACCCTTATTTTGGGCAATCAAAGAATCCGCAGTAGACTGGGAAACGTGAATTCTCCCCTTGACACCATTGCTTTCCATGCGGGAGGCAGTATTGACCGTATCTCCGAAGAGCTGGAAGCGAGCCTTTTGGCCTCGCAACACACCTGCGGTGACGGGCCCACTGTGCAAGCCAACTCGAAAGCCCAGGGTTGCCGTGTCTTCTCCAAGGCTGTCAGACAGTTCGGCTGTGACTTCACTCATTCGGTTCATACAGTCTCGAGCAAATCGACACAAGATCACAGCATGATCGTCTTGCTGTTTGGGGCATCCCGTGATAGCCACATAACAGTCTCCGATTGTTTCAACTGAAATGAAAGGACAGAAGAACAGGATTAGGTCGCCCAAGGTTTCAACATTGCGTAGTCTTCGGATCAAATTCGTACCTTTGAACACTCGCCGGCGGTCCGCAATCTTGTCAAATTCCCCATAGAGTGTCTCCAGCAATTGAAACACTTCGGTGGGCTGTCGTTTGGCACTCCAAGCTGTGGTGGTGTGGATAGGGGGGGCAAACAGCCAGAGATGTGAGGTATGATGGCCTATAGATTCCATATCAATCATTCCAAACCAAAATTGCGCATACCCGTAAAGCCTGCAATATCCGCAAAAAACACGGTACATTCCGGATGAAGCTTGGCGATTTGATTCGTGTCTTTGGCCAACGTCGACGATCGCAGTCCTGCCTGGGGTAGTTCTCCACTCTTAAAGTTTCGCTGTTGCTCTTCCTTTTGAAACTTGGCCTTGTTTTCTTCGTAGAGCTTTTGGGCCACTTCCTGTGGGAACAGGCTGGAAACAATGGCACCAGACGCCAAGGCACGGTTCATGACTTTTTTTTGGCGTCGTTCCACCAGGAAATCGTAAAAGACAAACACGAGCGACGTAAAGACAAAGATGCATGCGGCAACAATGGTCAGATAGAGCGGTGTGTTGGTGCGGTGATTGTCTTCCATGTCCTGTGAGGGATAGATTTTGATGGTATTGGGACAGAAGTCTGTAGATAATGGGACTCCTGTATAGGAGGAGCCACGGTCAAACAAGGTTGGATCAGTCAGAGCCTGGAGTACCACCGATCGGACCATGTGATCGTATTTGGGATCGTGGTGATCCCCCGTGCCAAGGTAGGTGGTTTGGGCACCATCAATGCGATACGTGAAAGGGACGGCTAATTTTTCGATGACACGGGGTTGAGCCAACACATTCGTCACTCCAGCAAACAAACAACTAACACAAAATTTTCAACGTACCAGCACCACAGGATTGTTCGACAACCACAATAATCCCATTGGAGTTTTCGGGTAAAATATTCCGAATCCATGATTTGAATTGAATATTGAGTCCAAAGTACCCCACAAAGTCTTGAGGACTGGCATGACTGCTGTCATCGAGATAGACGGTATCGACGGCATCAAATATGGGCATCACAATGCTGCAAACGGGTTCGGTTGGATCCTCTTCTTTGGGAAGCAATGTCCGATAAAAGGCAATCAATCCAAGGTATTGTTGCTTTTCTTCGGGATTGGATAGATTTAAATTGACATTTTGGAATTGTCCAGTGGCTGCCTTGCGTTGTGTCATCATCATTTTCATGAGCTGCGGCACGAGCATGGAGGCTCGTGCCAAATCAAAATTGTAGGGACATCCGTTTCCACGTCCAGCCCCTGTCACAACGGGATATTCCAACGCCTTAGGAAGATAATAGCCCAGATCAGGACGTGGCATGTCGACCGGTTGTCCTCCCCAAGTGTAAATGTCGAGACAGGTCCTGTTGTTGTACCCTTTGTAGATCAACCCGTCGTAATCGGGATCCTTCTCGGCGATGGCCAACCCCTCCTCAATCCATGTCTTGTAGGTCTCATTGACAAATGTTGTCCATTCGGGGACTTGTTCCTGCTCCACCTTAGGCGCAAAATACAGGTTAAAGCCTTTGGAGTTGCGCAGCATCTTGGTAGCTTGCAGACCAAACGAAGGCAGAGAGACAAAGGGAAAGGCCGTCGTTCGGTTGGGCAGTCTCTTGGGGAGTGTCCGAGCATATGCCACCAGATTGACCAGGAGAGCATCTGCCGGCCCCAATGTGTTTTCCAATGTCTTGCCCGTTTCTTCCATCACCTTAGCAGCATCCGAGTCAAACTGATCTTCAAAGGCAGTCTTTTCACTATTATCCAAATACATGTATACCGATGCTGAAACACCCACAGCGGCACCCAGCAGCACCAAGAGCACCACCATGCGAAGGCAAAAGACTGCCTTGTCCTCCTGCTTTCCAATCACTTCTTGTACTTGCTTGTTGGGATCCACCTTGCTCACATCTGCATGAGTGCTCTCATCCAGAAACTCAGAACCATCCTCGGCACTAGGAGATCCTTGGGTGCTGTCCATTGGAGTGGTAGTGCCTGCCAAAGAGGGCATGGTTGTAGTCGTCATGGTTCCACTAAAACTGTATTGATCGAAGCGAAAAAGAGAGAGAGAGAGAGAGCTCACAGCCAACAGATGAACAACGACGCAATATTGTGTGGTCTGCGTGGCAGCGTGTGCAGTGTTTTGTGGTTCCAGGTTCCAGGCTTTGGCCGGTTTTCCAAAACGACTGTAGAAAATTGAAGTTGCAGAAGCACTACACGTCCGCACATCTATGTACACCACACACGAAGTCTGCTGCTCTACGAGTACAGAGCTTGACAGTCAGAGCTCAGTCAGCAGACACAATACAGTACTGGTAAAGAGCAATGTTGCTCTAAGAATCAACTCACAAACTGGGACATCCATGCAGTCATTGAACATTGAACATTCGCGTCTTTGGGAAGACGGGTCATCTTCAATGAAGCTTTCCAAGTCCAAATAACAAAGCTGAGAACTCTTCTGACGTGGTGGCAACAACCGAACCGGTGACAAGTAATAAGTATTAATTAATAGTGGTGCGAACCCTGTATGAAGACTGTCTTCTGGAGTACCAGGCATTCGACTCTCGACTCGGAGTACTGGAACACTTATCACTCACACTTAAGATTACATGTTGCAACATGTAAGTGAGTTTAAGATACCATGTACCATACGGTACGGTCTCTTTTCAAGTTTGCAGAACCTACTCCCGAAGAAGAAGGGGAAAAACTGACTAGCTAGCTATAGCTAGCGCTAGCTAGCTAGTCTAAAGTCATTGAACCATGCATGCAAAGTTGCGATGGGATAATCCCTAGATTTGAACAACTTGGTAATCCTGGACGCAGAAACGGGGCAGTTCGAGAGCAGCCAATGCTATGTGGCTAATTAGTAGTGATATATGTTGTAGTTTTGTACCAATACTTTATACGAAACTGCTTATGATGATCGCCAGGAGGTTAGGTACTAGTAGTTCCATTCTCGCTACCTCGCCACATTCTTGTCGTTTTTTGGATAAGCCATTCCCGCAACACATTAATTCTTATCCAAGGCACCACGCACTGCAGTACTGACTGGCGAGCTTTGCAGGTGATAACGGTATCCGTCCTGCGCTAAACGTAACGGAACGAGCAAGATCTACCCAAACTTGTCTACCCGACGTTTCCAAATCTGTTGTTCCGCAGGAGACAAGAACACCAGCTCATCGTCGGATAATCTCCCGTCTCGGTTGGTATCTGCCTTTTTGACGTTCAGAAAGAACTCCTCCACGGCCTTGACGTCCTTTTCCGGAATCAATGCAAACCAAGAAGCCAAGGCAGATTGCGATGACTTTGCAAGGTCCACTACCGTAGCCTCGTCGCTGCCACCAATGGCGAGCACTGACTTGAGATTCTCTAAGCTCTTCATGGTTTGTTCCAGCGCGTCGTATCGAGATTGTTTGTCCAAAACTACATAGTTGGGTAGTTCTGCCTTGTCGTATTGAATATCGTTCATGTATTGGAGTCCCACACCAAAGTAGAAATTCTTCTCATTGACAATAAAACCACCAAAGAACTTTTCCAAGCGCTTTTGAATATACGGCCAATTCTTGGGGTCTTGTACGCCAGCGACGACCGCATCCAGCGACAGCTTGAACTCGTACATGGGCTCCAACCCGTCAATGCCTGGCCAAGTTTCGACTCGAGCTGCCTGTGTCGCTCCACCCAGGACTGCAGTAGCGGCAGCAGCATGGGATGGGCGCGAACACGTCGTCGTCAACCCGATGCTGGCAACAAGGGGAGCAATGAGGGCGGATCTACGGGAAATGACATGGTCTTCGTGAACCTGCAGTGCTGTCTTGGATGCTCGTGATGTAGTAGTAGACGCCTGAAAGGCAAAGATAGTTGTGTGAAAAAGGCTCACAAGCAACAATAGGAGGATGCCTTTGGTCGTCATGGTCGCCGTCACTTGACACCAGCTACCGGATGAGGAGAAACAAATGCCAACGGATGAACAACATCGGAGTGTTAGAAGCTTGGCGTTTGACATCTGCTGACGCTTGACAAAAAAAAGATCCAAAAGATCTTTCATTTAAGCCCGCGTGAGCTGTAGACAGCTCAGATCACGTCGGTCAGCTACCGGTACCGTACCGGTAGCCAGCAACCACTATCTTTGGAGCAAAGCCAAAGGCATACAGTTGCACAATTAATCTTTCTAGAGCTAGGACATACTGAGACATAGCATTTACTTCGTACTGGAAGGCAGTCTGACCTTTCTGGTGGCCATCATGATTGGAACAAGACGACATAGAGCGTCTACCCAGTACTAGCTAGCTGTACTTACTCCCGAACAGGCATCGCCACAACCGTTTTTCTAGCTAGATTTGGTGCCTCGATGGTCTTCTGATCTGGCACAACATTATTCGATAATGACGCGAGTTTTGATAAAGAATACCTTACTTTTAAAAGGCAGAGCTACCTTACTTTGCTTGCTGTATCCATGAACACATAAATAAAAGCTTTGATAGCGTCCACCATTGATAATTACCACAACAAAGAATAAGAACTCACAGCAATCGCGATAGCCGTGAAGATGGGCGTGATGGGACAGTTCATGGAGAAAGCACCTGAGGTACTAGTACTAGTACTGGTACCACTGTCCCCATCGTTGTCGGTACCACTGTCCCCATCGTTGTCGTGATCTTGGTCGCCGCCGTCGTGATCATGGTCGTCGTCTCCTGTAGCTGTGGCGTTGGCCAACGGAATGCGTAGGAGTTTTTTGTTGGCCGTGAGCCACAAATAGCCGCCACCAACGACGTTGTTGGCATTCAAATCGTCAATGCGCAAAAAGCCCAAAAGCTCATACGGCGCCGTGCCATTGAACATGTAGACGCCACCGGGGCCCGATCCAAAGAGCACGTTGTGGTCGGGCGAATACGTAATACCGTCAGTGAGTGCTGGAAAACCGCTGTTGGCGCCTTGAATGCGATACGTACTTTCCAAGCGACTTGAAGCTGGCATGTTGAATGTGGTACCGTCATTCGTCTTGTCTGCTTGTGCAAAGAGTTCGAATCGAGGATCTTCAAAATTTGAAATGGGACAAATCATGTCGCCATTGGGTAGCACTGCCACACCATTGGTCCCCTCCCATGGATCGGTCGGACTGCCATAATCCAAGACACGAACAGGTTCGACTGGCGAGTTGGCGGCACCAGGATCGCCTGTAATGGTATAGACACCAACAGCGTCTTGTGTCAAGTTGGCAAAGGCATCGGCAATTGCTTGGTCCCCGGAACTCCTCATTTGAAGTCCAAACGGCGGATCCGTAAAGTAAAGCGTGTCGCCATCCAAGACGAGATCGTTGGGGGAATTGAAGCCTTTGCCCATGTACATGTCGGCCAACACGACAACCTTGGCTGGATCAATCGAGGCTGTCGCTTCGTCCACGTCGTTGAGGTTAATGCGCACCAGGCGATGCTTGCCATGCTGACAGATGAGCAAGTCACCGCCGTCGGCTGCATCGCCCTTCCATCCCCATTCCAATCCATTCGATCCAGCCTCGACATAGTTGTCAATGTTGGCAGGTGTATCACCTGGACCAATGAGACCCGAGCACTCAATGAACTTGCTCAAGCCATCGTCGTCAATGTCGACAGTATTGTCGTACTTCCAAATCATGCCACAAGTCACATTGCTTTCATCCTCCCACGTGACGTCGCTAAACAAGAGGAATTGACCAGATTCGCTCCACACTGGACCTTCCAACCATCCAAACTCTGGATGCTCCGCCATCACTTCGATGGGACCAGAAAAGAGGCTGGCAGCCTTTCCCAGTTCTTCGTCACCTTGAACCATACTACGTGATAAAGCCGAGCAGACGATCAGCAGTAGGAGCGAAAACGACGCATGCGGACGGCCGCAACAAGAATGATTGATGAGCTTCATGATGGATCTGTTCGGAGCTATTTTATGAAGAAAGTCTTTGACTTGTTTGATACCACAAGCAGGAGAAGCATGCATGCAGCAAACCAAACCATGCGCAAAGTGCACGGAACTTGCCAGCGCTTCTTTCGGCTCAGGATTTTTTGCCAAGAATCGAATCGCGTGAAACCCCCGCGAGAACAGTTTTCCAGCCAAAGAAACTTACCGTACCGTATGCTTTTGTGTGATCATTAAACCGGAGCACACAATCCAAATACCTTAGAATCAATCCCTCAATTAACGCTTCCTTTAAACAATCCAGTAAAAAACAAAACAATCGGACGGTCCAGGTTTTAAGAAAAACCAAGCCTCATTGTCCACCTTCAAGGGAGATTTATTGATCTAACGTCACCAGCCTACTAAAGGAGAAACAAATAAATAACAGCGTTTGAAATACAAAGATCCAAAGATCTTTTGTCTTTAAAAGCCAACGCGAGCTGTAGAAAGCTCGAATCCAACTAGTTATAAGCCAAGGAGCACGGACAGCACTGTACCGGCACACCGGCACCAGTACCGGAGAGAACTCTCTTGGAAAAAAGGCAAAAGCATAGCGCAAATAATTCCTCTAGCTAGCTAGCACCCACCGAGAAATAGCATTAGAAATCTTGATGAAAAGTATTCCATGCTTATCTGCTGGACGATTAGATTCTTTCCCAATTTGAACAGGAGGTAGGAAATGATTTCAACGGTCCTTAGTTTGCTAGGCAGCTTGACGGAAGCTCACAGCCTCAGTCTTCTAAAGCCACTGGTAAGTTACAACATTAGATCAGATGCGTCTGTGTGGGTTAACCGTCCTTGCCGGTTCGGCAGAGCTTGCCAAACATGGGATCCCAATCCCAGGCAGATGCTCCAGAGAACTTGGACACAGAACGATCAAAAGCTACTGTAGATAATCCTCATCCGCAGCCACCAAGCCGCCGGTGTAGGTAGAGCTGCTCTAGCTAGCCAGCCAGCTGCCACTTTTACCACAGCTCGCAGCTCGCAGCTCGCAGCTCGCAGCACTCTAGCTAGCATCGCAGCTCGCATCCCACATCCCACACCGATCGCCGCAAAAATAGTCTACATCGTACAGTAATTTGCTTCGAACTTCCGGAACTTTCAATCCTTCTTCCTACTTCAGCTAAGGCTTTCCTCGTCGATTATTTATGAGAAAAGAACACCTTACAGACTCAAAAAATTACAGGTTTTAAGAAAAACACTGCCCTTCATTGTCCGCCCTCAAGAGGAGATTTATTGATCTAGCATTCTGGTCACAGCAGGCTTTTCTTCTTGTTGATTGGGAATCCGATCTCCGGCACCGCCAAACGGCACTTGCATCTCGCATCGGTGTGTCACCAGGATGCATATTATTTTCACAGGTTGCCGATTGCCTGCCATCAGTCATCACAATCATCATCACCAGTACCATGGCACCACCACCAGCCTCCGAAGAAGACCCGCCGCAGGTGGACGCCCCCGAGATTGTTGCAATCGGCAAGCTGGAAGAAGCATCCTGCAATGATGTGGAGGCGCAGGCAGAAATGCATGAAGTCGTCGAGCCAACCAAGACCTCGGAATCTTCATTTGACACGATGAAAGACTTTTCGTTAGAGTCCCTCCCGAACAACTTGAACAATTGCAGCTTGACGACAAAGAAAAATGGTGTTGTCGTAATTGGAAATCTAGATGACAGCATCTGGAGTCGCATGGCGCAGGCATCCGTCGAAGGACGGAATCAAGACAAGTGTGGTCGATGCTTCACCAGAACCGATTCGACCATGGTGATTGCCACCTGTCTGGGAGTGATGGGCCTAATAGGTGCGATTGTCTTTCTGGCTCTGACGGGTCGACTGGAAGCGTCCAACCCGGACGAGTAATGGGATGGTCTCCTGATGACTCGTCTCCTTTTCTCAATCCACACATGGCTGGCTACGATAGCCGCCACACTGCGACAACTCAGACTGTAAAGTCTTCTTTTTCTGGGTGCCCCGGTTCTTCTTCTAGCTCCTGCCTCCAGACACTCCTCTTTCAGTGATCATCTATCACGCTGACTGTATTGGATAAATTACTGTCTGTAGCTATCTATCTATCTATCTAGCTATCTAGCTATTACCGTGCACGCGGACCAATACTTGCTAGGTGAACTAGTACTGTACCGAACTGCTCCAACATGGACTGTATGCAGGACGTGGTGCGGTGGCCATGGTGCTTCTTCTCAAGATACATGCACTCCAGGCAATTGAGGTCCTCCACCATTCACGAATACTGCCGTAGTGCAGTGCGTTGATTGCATGTTCGTAACAGCAAGCAACAGGTGGGTTCGAATAGAATGGATGATCTCTATTCATTTTCAAAGGCACTCCGATAGGGAAGGATGCAAGTCCAGACATTAGAATGGGGACCCCAGGAAACTATGCCAAGGCAGTGCCATCCAAACATACTACCCAAGGATCACCGATGCAAGATTCTGAA